ACCGACCATGCTGCCCTCCTTTAAATTCCACAGCTGCAGTGAGCCGTCTACACTTCCACCAACGACCATTGCTTCATCCGGGGATACTGCTATTGGGCCTATTACTCCTCGGTCGCCATACCAAGGCTTTCCTACTGGCTCTCCGTTTCTTTTCCATTGACGGATTGAGCTATCCTCAGACGTGCTCATTATATTGCCACTGGTGCCCAAGTAGGCAAGGCTCCATATGCATCGAGAGTGACCCTCGATGACGCACTCCGGCATCAAGCTTCCTTCCGGACGTTCCGGCTTGGGTTTCTTCCACGATGTGGTCCGAGTGTTGTGGTTGACAAAGTAGGACCGACCAAGCGGTGAGATGTGCCATTCGCATCCTGGATCAACGAGATATCCAAGATCATCTATACTGTACCATAAATCTGTCGTTCCTAGTAGCATTTTATTCACCTACCTAGTCGCACTCCTGGCAAAGGTCGGTTCACTGAGACCATGGTGAGCTCGTTGCCTTGATATTGAGTTTCGTCTAACACCTTGAACTGATTCCATAGAGGAGGGAGTGCTTCATTCCCGCCTGCTTCACGGTGAGTAAACCAGTGGATGTCGCTGCGACGTAGTTGCTCACCTTCCCAAAGTGCATCCTGGCGGTACTGTGCCCCATAGGGCGGTGGATCCTTTGCACTCGTCCAAAGAGGTGCAACATATACTTGTGAATCTACCGGCGCTTCTCGTCGCACTTGTCTCCGTTTTGCTGATGAGCTCAACTCGTCCACCTCACTGGGCATGACACTGATCAAGAAAGGACACTGCGCTTCCAGAGAATTGGACGATTGGAAGAGGCTAAGCTCGATAATGAGCAAAACCAGTGGTCAACGGTAGAATAGATGATGGATGTGATTTTGCATGCTGTAATCGAAAGTGCCAGTCTTACACTGCATGCTAATGGCAGTGTTGCTGTTGAAAGCGGACCCGGTTCGTTCCGTCTGGCTCCTGGTACATTGCAAAAATCCTAGCCATCCAAGTTATTGACACACTCCTTTTGAGCAACTGATGCGGCCAGTTCTGTTCACGACACAACAAACCATCTCGTGCAGAGTCACTGGTACGTTCGCTTCGAACATCGAGTTCTCTGCGCAGAAGTCTATTAATCGATGAGTTTGACGAGTAAAACTGCTTGGTCAGTCACCTTGTGCATGAGTGATCAAGTTGGTGTGGTAGGGCCTAGTGATACGTTATGCTAGGTGGTGCGACAAATTCAATGCTTAGTGATTACGGCAATTTACCTGCAACCCTTTGCACATGATGTGCAACCTTTGCATGCGCCTTCCTTACATTTCGTGCATATACAATCGAGAATCATATCGAGATTGACACTATCGTTCAGCTGATCTGAAGCAGCAGTAGGAGTAGTACGTGTTCTGGTTCGTGTGTAGTTGCTATATTTCATTTCGCTCACTGCGGTGCCACGGTTGCAGATAGTTCCAGTGCAGACAGTACCAGGATTTGTTCGAGAATAACTTCAAGTGATGTTCGAAAGGCCGATCGAGACGCTCGTGGGTAAAAGGCCAAAAGCGAGAGGCTTATTGGTAGTCTTTGATATGCATGCTAGACTGATCATTCACTCAAGGGCGGGATTGAAAGTAATGGCATATATTACCAGAACTCTCGATCCTCCGTGCGTTGGTGACGATAATTTATGTTACCACCTCATTCACTCACAATCCAAAAGGCGTGTTCATCAACTCGGAGGGGGGGCATACAAATTATCTCTGCTGCTTGTCAGAATTTGTCGTTGTGTCATCATATTGTTTGATGCATGCAGCATGATGTTATACCAAGTTATACTCAAAGGTGGACACGCGCACAACCTCAGTGAGACAAATTCGTTTGGTTTGTGCTCAAGCGTTCACAGCCACGTCAAATTGTGGCATGGGAATTCTCCCCACTGAACGAGATGAACACGTTCGAGATACTAGTATGTAAGGAATGTCATTCTGCTAGCCACGGACACCAGCTATATGGAATTCCCTTTGTACCGGTTCAAAGTACTACTTATGGAACTCCCTTTGTGCAGGCCCCCTGAAGCTCCCTATAAGGTCTGTCCGTCTGGAACCCCCAAAACGGCCCTCAAAAATGCAACTTTTTGACTGTCAAAAATGCTAAGTCGGACAGAGGTCAGTGATCACGTGGTGTGACATTTTTGTGACCCCCGCCAAAGTGTGACAATTTCTCCGTTGTGCAGCGGGTTCGAGATCAGAGTATATTCAAGTTAGTTCTATATTTCGAATTCAGCACATTTGCTGCACAAGATTTTCAGGAAGCATCATTATGAGAGTGTGGTGCTGGCATTGACAAAATCTATGGGATCACATCACTCGAAGTTGCTACACGACCTGCCCTGAAGTCCACCTGAACGGCTGAAACTACCCCAAAAATGCTAACTTCAGACAGACATCGGCCCTCATCGGCCTTCCAAAAGCCTCAAAAATGCTAAGCTCGGACAGAGATTTGGCCAATTTTCGGCCTCAAAAATGCTAAAATTCGGACAGACCTATGGGGGAGCTTCAGGGGGCCTCTTTGTGCTCACTTACATACAAATAGTCGGTCCCTACTTTCTATAGCTCCCCTCACTCATTCTCTCTTGGTCCGAATCATTCCCCGTCGAACTCAATCAACCAGCCTTACAAGTAGTAAGTACTTTCGAACGTTCGAAAATTCATTTTTGAGCTCTACAAGTCAGCAGATATGGATGGACCATTGAGATGCTGCGCTTGGTCACCAATCATGTAATGACACAGTGACGCAAACTTGAACACGTTCGAGATAGTATTTTCAAACTTTCAAGCTCTTAAGCTCCTTGGAGTTGCATCAAACGTAGATCTGAACCCTTGATTCAGTCCACTAAAAATCCGAATTGCGGTGAGTAGCGATCATTGTTGCCTGTAGCTCCCTGAACAGTGCTTGCTGCGAGTTGGCTTCGCACGACGCAAAGTGACATATTATTCCTCCGAATTACCAATAGATCTTGCGTCACAAGGTACTGGGCAATTGTCTGGAATTGTAAGTACATAGGTTCGCAAAATGATTTCAGGTGGGCTTAGTTTTCCTACATAAAGGACAGTTGATACAGCACATGAAGGTAACGCGTCTCTCCTTACTTTCCTCTTCAAAATTATCTGAGCTCATACTAGCGTCTAGTATCACACATCTCAAAAAAAAATGCGTCTCATCTTTGTCCTCGCTGTTGTCGCTACTTTAACATCTGCCACTGACGCTGCCACTGAGGGCTGTCCTTGGCTCTGCCTTTCTGATAATGAGTGCTCAGGCTGCCATGGCGGGCAAATTGATTGTGTGAGTATGAGTAGTTTATATTTAACAAAATAACTCATTGGCGCGGTAGTTTTTTTTCATATGCTCCCCAGGGGTCGCCTGTGCGGGTGATTGTTGAGTTCGAATCATTGGGAATGAAGGTCGGGATGAATTGATAGTAGATGAGTGACGGTTGCCTTGCTCGGGTAGCAAGTATGTCAGAAACACAAGTCTAAAATCGAATCGTAGCGGCACTGGGAAGTCCACTCCAAGAAATGACAATGTATTAAGGCAGTATATCGATATACAACAAAATTCGAGTATGCACAATGATCACCGGGCACTTCACAAATCACATACATATGTAGCGCTGCAGGTTTCGCGATAGTATCTGAATCTAATCATCATCAGTTTCCAGCTCCATGTCAAAAATCTTATGGCTCCTTGTTGGCATCTCCGAGTTCTTACCAGGCAGTGACAGTTCGTCAGTAGCTCCTTTTTTGTATTCATTTTTGTCCATTGAAAGTGTACTACTACATGCAGCACAGCACTACCTAGTCTAGGGGCCTCATGCCCCGCTGCACCTCCGAAAGTTTACAAATACCCTGGTGTGAGGCGTTCCCCTACCAGTCCGCTGTTCCTGCCGGCCATTTTAGACGCGTCGCTCTACGAAGATGAAACGACTTTGGATGTACGTACGGTCAGGGAGTTTTGTAACAGGTACTTGCCTAATATAACATGTAGCTTTTTCTTTTACCGGGCCCACTCGCCTCTGATCACCAAAAATGTAAGGTTCTCTGCGCTCTGAATTTTGAAGGCTCGGCAGGCCTGTCTGGAGCTGCTTTACAACAGCTATGAATCTGATTATTAAGTACTAATAGATAAAGGGACATCCTGTCGTTCGAACGACTCTTGTTGAATGAAGTCGGCACGTGTCGCTTGCAAAGAAATGGAAAATCGCCTTCAGGCCCCATAGTACGACTCTGAACAGTTTCAAGACGTGTGGCACCTTGTACACTGGTCTGTGCTCTCTGTTCGCACAGTTCAGTGATGATAGCGGTAGAATTTATCATCTCGGCGAAGCCAAACAACCAACTTGAGCTGAGGTCTTCGCATCATTCGTTTTCTTCGGCAATACCCTTGCAAAAGATAAAGGGGAGCCAGTATCAGAATTAGGATGCATGTCGTTGATCCCATCAGGGGCTATGCGAATAAAAGGCTTTGAAGGCAAACAACATATCCATACTGCAGTGCTTGTGATCCGGCCGCTACAAATCAGTGAACACCTACGTACTACGGGCAGCAACGGGAAATTGATATGTAGAGCCCATATCATGAAAGGCCAGGTGGTTGTGACGTGGCATATGCGGCGCGTTCGAAATAAATTCCAAATGCTTTTGATCTTGTTTGTGAAAGAATGTCTAAATTCGCGAGCAGGATACGGAGTGCCGAGGTGCACATCTAGATCTAGATCTAGATCTCACCACAATTACGACGCCTTTCCTCCATCCACGTGCATAAACCTTGAAGATGGGTCATGCCTTGGAGTCGGACCACTGAATCGAACGTTGCGTTCGGTTAATTACGCTGGACTTGAACGTATCCGCATACCCGGTCAGTGAGACCAAAACGTTCGAGCATAGTTTGAAAGGCCTTCGCTAAGGCAACACCAGTGTGAGACTGACAACGAGTAATGTTCAGAACACTCTCATTGAAGGTACTGCGAGGTGAATATCACAAACCTCTGCAAGCTCCGCGATATCCAGGAGGAAACAGAACATCTCGCCATTGAATTCCAGGTGCACTGTCCATGCCACGAATGCTCTATGATTGGGTGAAGTCCACGTATCAGTGGCAAAGTGAAGGCGACCAGGATACTCCTGTGTTTATGTCGTAACCAGAAACAGTAGGCGACAAACACCAAGAACTCACTCGAAGTAGTCTTCCAATTCGGTCGCTACATTTTTCAAACGAAGTCTTGATGTCCCGTGATAAGGTAAAACGTGAGGGGAGTTGAATTGATGGGCGACCAGCAGTGAGAAGGTCTCGAAGAGCACGATCATTGATGATATTCAGAGGCCGGTTAGATTCAGTAAGCCATTGAACAAGTCGATGCGGCACTGTCAAAGGCCCATTAGTCATTTTAATCAAAATGTACATACATACCGAACTTGTGGGTTCGTATGGCTGCGGTGTGAGTAATTGACGGGTTCTTTATCTTTGCGTGCAAACGCGGTGAAAATTGATCCCCAGTGAAAACCCACTCTGCCCAGAATGGCGTGCTGCTCAACACCCTCGGACAAGTCGGGGATCCACACCCGTCCAACACCGTAAACCGCGACGGGTATGCACGGTGTACGCGCGGGTCTCCATAATCCACACAGTACCCGTACCCGCCACACCCGTGAGCGAGAAACCGCGGGTTTACCCGTACCCGTGCTCTTCGTTCCCTATAACAAGCAGAGTGTAGAGACCCTAATGGTGATGGGCGTGGCATAGCCATTTGACTCATCAACCTCATGTTTAGTAGGAAAAAAAATGCGATGGCATACGTACCTGACATCTAACACCAAATTCAAAACTATAGGCTACAATCTATCTTCCTGCTTAAACCTATGATGGCAGCGGTTGAGTTTGAGGCAAGGCGCCATTAGTAGCGCTGTGTCCGAATCCACAAGGGCCTTGACAGTATTATTAGTAATATTGCGTTCTGCACATAGATAATTAAAAAATCGTCTTGAAGCATCAACAATGCGATTAAGTGAATTATATGTTTCAAAGTAAAGAATACCGTAACTGGACAGTGTCTGAGTCACATACCAATGCTTATTAATGACCAAGGGAATGAAGCCACCGCAGGCCAATGTAAGCATCAGCCGAGTCGCTGGAGAGAGAAAAATAGCGAGCATATGGGCCTAAGCCCTTTAGAGACCGTAAGGAAACAAAGTGAGTAACCCGCAAAAGTTGGCAATGCAGCAATGTCGGACCAAGACTGTGGGAAATATTTGACTTTGGTAGTGTTTGCTCAGATATACTTTGTACATGTACAATAAGTAGTAAAGTACTTTCAAAATTCAAACGTTCTAGCTGGCGCAAGGTTACACCTCTAATCAACCCAGTCCGTCGATGCTGGTCAGCGCATTCAGTGCGCAACGTTTGTCATTCTTCTTATAATATTAAATAATGCTGATTCTAAGAGTCACTGCAACTGGCGGCGACAGTGGTCATCGGCAGTTAAGCTTTCAAGATCTCAGGCGCACGCTCTGCAAGTCAGTAGATCTTGATGAACAACGAGATATTTCATTTGATCACCAGTCATATAAAATGACGCGAGCACGTTCGAGACACTTTCGAACGTTTAAAGCTCAATTGGAAGCATCACACGTAGATCTGAACCCTCTCGGATTCAGTTCATCAAAAATACGAATTGTTGTGAGTGACGACCGAACTTTTCCATCATCATGATTGCATATAATGCTAACTCCTTAAACTCATCTCCTTGTTGTGACTTGGCTTTGCAAGGCAAGATGATGGGAAGATTGTCGTTGGACACTGATTGCTGATTGATAAGATAGACCTTATTTGGTGGCAATATGCTTGCCAGCATTGACCTTATTTCGAAAGGTGATTCTTGCTCAACGCCAAATTGCTAATAGACCTCGCTTCATGAGATATATCAGTTCGACAGAAGATTTCAGGCGAACTTGATTATCCTACACAAAGAACGGTATACAGCACGTACTAAAGGTAAGGCATCTTCCTGCTTCCCCCTCAGATTTATCTGAGCTCATATTAGGATCACATCCCCACAAACAATGCGTTTCGCTTTTGTCCTCGCCGTTGTCGCTACTTTAGTATCTGCGACTGACGCTGTCAGTGACGGCTGTCCTTTCTGGTGCCTTTCTGCTAGCCACTGCCACTGCCCTGATGAGCCGTTTTGTGTGAGTATAAGAAGGTTTTATTCAACCAAATGACTCACTAGTGTGGTAGTTCTTCTTCATGTGCGGTCCAGGGGTTCCCCATTAGTGAACCAAGACAAAACCTGAGAAGAGCCTATATTGACAGCTATGTATATAGCGGATAATCACCAGCATCAGTGAGATTCATTATAGCTTATTAGATTGTCGTGTTTGATTTTATAGATTCTTATGGCACAATTGCGTTACTATAGTCTACAAGGTTACACAGCAGTGCGTGACAGTTCACCTTTGAACTCTGCTTACCGTTTGATAGATACATCGGTCAATGAAAAAATATTTCATTGCTGTGCAATGCTCGGCCTTTACACTACCAACATCGATTTGAAAAATCTGAGGCTCGGTGATTTCGGGATGCTGGACCCTTCTTGTTACCTCGCAAGCTGAGTCGCCTTTGATCACCACGGAACTTGTGAACGGTTTGTTTCGCTTTGAATTTTGAAGGCTGTCTATATATCTGGAGCCACTTTGACCATGATTCTGAATCTGATTATCAAAATCCATTAAAGTCGTTAATATTTTAATAAGTAATGGACTTCGTATCCAGACTCTATACGGCACGTGATGCTACTTATACAGCGTCTAGACCCCTAAACCAGTCCCAGAGAGTCCATTTAACCGTACTTGGCTTTCCACGTTAGTAATCTTTGGCAATGGGCACCACGTGTGCACGAGCCAGGGGTTTGAACAACTAGTACTCGGCGTCCAATCACCCAACCTCACCCCTCACAACAGCCATGGCCGACTCCGGCAAAATCTACCACCGCTCATGCACCGGACCAGCTCTCCAAACCGTCAAACAACACGCTCAAGACGAAGGTATCACCCTCTTCGCAAGCTGTTTTTGCCCATTCGTACAACGCGTATGGACAGCGCTTGAATATCTCGAGATTCCTTACAAGGTGAGATAACCTTGCCGTGAGTCGAGTGAAGGGCAGACTGATCGAGGGTGGTGATGATTCAGTATTGTAAGTTAGCGTGCCGATCATCAATGATGGTGATTTGACAATGACAATATGCGTGCATCGATGGGCGGCAGACGAAGTCGATCCTTATCAAAAATCTCAAGAACTACTAAACGTTTCCCCGAAAGGCCTAGTCCCAGCGCTCATGCTCAACGCTTTCGATCCGCCTCGCGCACTCAATGAAAGTACCGTCATCCTCGACTTTCTCGAAGAGTGCGTTTCATATCACATACTCACAAGATCCAAACATTGCTGACGACCGCCAAGTATTGCGGCGCAGTCAACGCGGCACAGAAGCCTCTTCCCGCCATCAACAGATCCATGTTTGTAAAACCCAACATAAATTATGAAAGTGCTCACATACATGAATCGCGTTCTTTTGTCAGATGCGAAAGCACTTGTACGGCTACAATCAGATCATATCAGTCGAACGCTCGTGCCTGCGTTTTACAGGTATCTTCAAGCTCAAGATCCAGAGGCGCAAATTTCTGGAGGGAAAGAGTTTCACGCAGCTATTAGGTCATTAGTGGAGCTTTTCGAACGCGCTGAAAGAGAGGTAGGAGGGACAGGGCTTTGGGTTGAAGGTGGCGATTTGGGATGGGCGGACGTCGTAGTCGCACCATGTGAGTTTTAGGTTCTACTCATTGATGGTGATAGAAGGCACTCAAGGCCGTGACGGAGCAGGGATATTCAGAGCAACTAATGTATGGAAACACTATCGTGGGTTTGAAATGCCGCAAGGAACTAAATTCGAAGCTTGGTTGGGGAGGCTTTTTGAGCATCCTGCATTCAAAAAGACTTGTAGTGATGAAGAGTTGTATCTGGACAGTTACGAGCGGTGAGTGCATGTTTCTGACGGGGACGGGGTGGCTTACGTGTCTTGTAGATACGCATTCAATCGCCCGAACACGAGTCAGGTGGCTAATGCTATTAATAGCGGGAGGGGATTACCTTGAGCGAGACGCGCAGGAATCTGATAGTGAATCTGTACGAACTCAAATATGAATGCATTTGCTAAGGGAATAAAAACAGTGCTATGAAGTCTCGACCATTTGTGCTGCGGGAGATGAAATTTGAAAGTTGGTCAGTGGGAAATTCTGTATGTATAGTCTAGGGGCGTCAAAAGTTGGTCAAAAGTATTTAATGAAGTGCATAATCGTTCGGAGCTACAATGTTGCTTGTCGTAGCGCTGTGATTCGTGAAGGAGTATGGCTAGGATAACTCATCGATGGAAATCCTTCAACGGGTCGCTTTTCCAGCGAACATCAAGCTCGCCCATGCAGAAGACCATTGCACAACCAAGAGTTGCATTCCAGAAAATGGAGCCAACTTCTTAAGTGGTGTGGATCCGGGGAAAGCCGTACAAGGGGAAGGAGGCGAACGAAAGGAGATGAATCCGAGTGCGTAGGTGACAGTCACGGCGGCGGATATTGATTATGAGGGGAATCAGACACAGATGCGGGGGAAAGAGAGCTGAACTGAGTGTGCGCGTGCTACATGTCTTCCATCCTTCATGACTGATGCGAAGCAGGACGGCGACAAGCAAAGAAAAATCCGCAGCAAATCACTCCTTCACACACAAAGTCTTGCGCTCCGACAGTTGCGCCTTGTGCTTGTGTTTGGATTGGTTATGTTTGACATGTTTGTGCCCTTGCTGGCTGACCTGATCGCAGTGAATTGTCGGCCTCGTTGCCATCTGTGCGTTGCATAGCTGCGGCCGCTTCTGCATTGGTTTCAGGGACAATACCATACCTATGCATTGTGTTTTAATGGGATGGAGGGAGAGCAAAGGCAAGCCACTCACATTTTCATCTTGAACGAAAAGTACATTGACGACACAGCTTGACTTTCTTACAGGAAGCAAATTGAAATTACAATGTCGGGATTTGGGAGGGGATCGTGATGGTGGGAGCGTATCTCTAGGTTGGGCACTGAACTAAAGGGAACCAAACTAACTGCACCAATGAAGGAAAGATGGACTCGCAGATGTAGCTGCGTGATTTGAATCATTGCCGAAGAAATCACTGCCCTGTATCAAAGTCAGATTAGCAGCTGAAGAACGAAAAATTCTACTAACATATCTCGCCGAGCCTCTGGTATTGGCCTGCAATTGTTTGAAATGCCGCAGAGTGGACGTTAAGAACATAGCGTGACATATGAGTTCTTCACGATTGGTTGGCGCACAACTCTCAGTTGGGCTGAATGTCCCTGGCAAAAAGTGAGATGTGGTGTGAAAGACCAGCGGAGATGACTTGCCTTGAGCTTGGCATTCCCATCATCCGCACCCTAAATCGCCAAAACACGTTAGGCAGGGAAATTAAGTAACAAAGTGCATACATACCACAACTTTTAGCGCCGCCTCGAGGCTCCATACATGGGTTTTTTGTCCAATCCAGCACTGGCAATTTATTTTCTATCGGAGGAAATGACAACAGCCAAGAGCTGATCATCATGCAAGAGTGGATCTCTGACTGCCTGCTTGAGATCCCAGATGCGAACGGAGAAGTCCCTTGATGCACTAACAATATAGCTTTCGTCGGGAGTAAGACAGAGGGATTGGATTGGTTGGGGTGGGTATGACCATAAAAAACGAGTTGCCGGCCATCAATCGCTCGCCATTTTCGGATGACGGTATGCTCGCCTGACCCGGAGTTGAAGATGTGTGCACCGTCCTTGGACCAACACAACGACATCACGTCAATGTGTCCCTTGATTTCAATAAGCAGCTTGCCGTCCCTTGACCACACGCAGATCACCATATCCACGCCGCCACTCGCAAATTTGTCACCTTGTGGAGAGTACTTGACGGCTTCGACCAATCCATGACTGGTCTCTATGAGTGGTGCTATTTGCCGACCAGTATCCGCATTCCAGCGTTGTATGGTGCCATCTTTAGATCCACTTGCTATCTCCAGGGCATTGCAAGACCAATCAAGGCACCTCACTGCAGCATCATGCTCCTCCCACAAATCCCCAATCATGCTGCCCTCCTTTATATTCCACAACCGCAGTGAGCCGTCTAGACTTCCATGAATGATCGTTGTTTCATCCGGAGAGACTGCCATCGAGGCCATTTTTCCCTTATTGCTATTCAAAAGTTTTCCTACTGGCTCTCCGTCTCTTTTCCACTGACGAATCGGACCATCCTCAGATGCGCTCATTATATTGCCACTGGCACCCAAGTGGGCAAGGTCCCATATGCTTCCGGAGTGACCCTCGATGACGCACTCCGGCATCAAGCTTCCTGCTGGACATTCTGGCTTGGGTTTCTTCCACAATGTGGTCCGAGTGTTGTGGTTGATGAAGTAGGACCGACCGGGTGGTGAGATGTGCCATTCGCATCCTGGAACAATGAGATGTCCAGGATAATCTATGTTCAACCGTTAGTTCGTCGCGCCTTGTCCCAATTTCATTCCTCACCTAGTCGCACTTTTGGTAAAGATCGGTTCCACGAGCGCATCACGAGCGCATCATCTTGATATAGTGATTCACCATCCGACCACGTCTTAAACTGTCGCCACCTAGAAGAAAGGGCTTCATTCCCGCCTGCCTTCTAATTGAGTAAGCTGGTGGTTATTACACAAAGTAGCTGCTCACCTTTCCAAAGTGCATCCTGGCGGTGCTGTGTACCGTATGGTGGTGGATCCTTCGCGCTCGTCCGATGTATTGGCGAGCGCAGTAGCGCTTCTCCTCGTCTCGTCGACGTGCTTAACTCGGCCTCTTCGTGTGGCATGACCATGATCGATAAAGGTTATCGGGTTGTACAAACGGAGTGGATAGTGAAACACTGCACAAAGTCAATGATCGAAGGGAAGGTGATACAGGGTTAGTTTTGCGTGTTGTAGCCGCCTTGCTACACTGCATGTCAGTGGCTGTGTCACCATCGGATCAAGTACTTACCTCGGTCCGGTTCTGAGGCAGTTTGATGTACATTGATCTGTCATGTACGTCGTCAGCGTCATGTTCAGGTAAATAACAACTGAACAACAGCGAACTTCACCAGCTTTAAATTGCAGTCAACAACCATGACCTTGATTCACTGACCATAGGACACTGATGTAGGCTACGCGGCATCAACCTGAACGGTCTCACCTGTCTGGGTGACCTGCTGCACCACTTCACTGACAGCTGAACCGTTACCATGTTTTTGTGCACCAATAACAAACTCCAGCACGCTCGCTAGGCCCGTCTTCCACGCAACAATTACTTTTCCAGTGCCTCCTATTGCCCTCGCTCAAACATGCGCGTTGACGAGCAGTAGACGTGTAGAGATTGGGTAGTCTGCGAGAGCTTTCACGAAAAAAGACCGGTACGAATCACTATTCGAAGATCCTGTGAGATAATTATAAATGACAGGATGTCAAGAGGACATACCATCAATCGCACACCTTTCTGCCTGACTTAAACCAATCTGCAGGGTCCTTTGAATATGGTATGTTATGCCCGATGTGCAAAACCCAGTGACAGATTTGGGGCATCATAGTCTTATTCTGCGAGTTTACCGATGAGATTAATGTCATTGTATAACTATGATATGTTTGTGGTGTCATACTAATCTGCCAAATGAACAGCAGATCACTTTTTTTCATGGGATGGCTTGCAGATCTAGTGGGTTCTCCTGGCGTGGACATTGTAGGGTAGATCACACCAGACGGGCACGTTCAGCTGAACCTACAGCAAGAACCAGATATGAATATATATATGGAATTTGTAGTGCTGGCGTATTTCAGATTGCTGGTATGCTTAGTACCTCATTTTCAGTCAGAACAGGCCGTGGGGGGTATATTGTCCCTGTAAATCTTCGAGACAAGTCTCAATGTTCAACCCCAGGGAAAAGCGGACAGATGCCTTCGCACTGAGATTGACAGGTTCGTAAGTTTCGAGTAGTCAGTAGAGTCATTGATGGAAATTCAAGTTATACAAACACATGTTGAACGACCTGGGTACAATTTAAGAAGTACATACTTAATGCTGCATGGAATCCCTTGTCCTGCATACAGTTCAGGTGCCATCTTAGTGTTATGCGATAAGTGGTCCAACTTCAACGTTTTAACGGGTCGCCTTTCTAGAAAACATCAAGCTCCTCGTGCAGAAGACCATTGCACCATCAAGAGCTGCATTCCAGAAAACGGAGCCAACTTTCCCAGTGGTGTTGATCTGGGGAAAGCAGCGCGAGATAAAGGAAGCTCACGAAAAGAGATGGATCTGAGTGCGTGGGTGACGCCAATATAGATTATGAGAGGAGTCAGACACAGGTGCGGGGGAAAGGAAGTTGACCCAAGTGTGTGCATATCACATGCACATGTCTTCCATCCTCCATGACTGATGCGAAGCAGGATGACGACAACCGAAGAAAATTCCACAGCAGCTCACACCTTCATACACAAAGTCTTCCGCTCCGACAGTTGCGCCTTGTGCTTGTGGGTGGATTGGGCGTACTTGAGACACTTGGTCCCCTGCTGTAGCTTGACCTGGCAGCGTTGAATTGTCAGCCTCATTGCCATCTGTGCGTTGCATAGCTGCGGCGGCTTCTGCATCAGTTTCAGGGACAATGCCATATCTCTGCAATGTGTTTTAATGGGATGAAAGGGGAGCGAAGGCAAGCTGCTCACATTTTCATCTTGAGCAAGTGGTACATCGACGATGCGTTTTGAATTTTATAGGAAGTAAGCTGAAATTCCAATGTCGGGACTCGCGAGATGATGGTCGAGGTGTATCTCTAGGTTGGGCATTGAACTGAAGGGAACCAAACCAACTACGCTAATGAAGGAAAGATGGATTCACAGATGGAGCTGTGTGATTTGAATCACTGCCGAAGAAATCATTGCGCTGCATCAAAGCCAAATTAGCAAGAGCTGAGGAATGAAAAATTCTACTAACATATTTCGACGAACCTCTGGTATTGGCCTGCAACTGTTTCAAATGCAGAATGGACGTTAAGACTATAACGTGACATACGAGTTCCTCACGACTGGTCGGCGCACAACTCTCGGTTGGGCAGATGACTTGTCTTGAGCTAGGCATTCCTATCGTCCGCACCCTAAATCGCCAAAACCGTTAGTCAATTAGATTACAGTAAGCGACAAAGCACGACTTTGAGCACGGCCTCCAGGTTCCATACATGGATTTTTTTGTCCAGTTCAGCACTGACAACGTGTTCTTCCATCGGAACATGGCAACAACGAAGATTTCGCCGTCATGTAAGAGTGGATCTCCGACTGCCTGGTTGCTCTTAAGATCCAAGATGCGTATGGAGAAGTCATTTGATGCGCTAATGGTATAGCTTTGATCGGGAGTAAGACAGAGCGATCTGACACCATTGGTGTGACCTCAAAAAACGAGCTCCTGACCATCAATCGCCCGCCATTTTCGGATAGTAGTTTCATATGAGGTAGTAAAGATATATGTGGCGTCCTTGGACCTACACAAAGACGTCACATAGTTGTTGTGTCCCTTGACCTCGATGAGCAGCTTGCCGTTCTTTGACCACACACAGATCACCATATCCATGCCGCCACTCGCGAATTTGTCACCTTGTGGAGAGTATTTGACGGCTCTGACCCATTGATGACTATCTGTATGGGTGGTGCTATTTGTCGACCAATATCCGCATTCCAGCGTCGTATGGTGTCGGAAGGGCTTCATTCTTGCCTGCTTCTAATTGAGTAAGCTGGTGGGTACCACAAAGTAGCTGCTCACCTTCCCAAAGTGCATCCCGGCGGTGCTGTGCACCATATGGTGGTGGATCCTTCGCGCTCATCCGATAAACAGGTGAGTGCAGTAGTGCTTCTCCCCATCTCATTGACGTACTTGACTCGGCCTCTTCGTGTGGCATGACCTTGATCGATGAAGGATCCTGAATTGAATTGTACTAACGGACTTGACAGTGAAACACTGCGCAAAGTCAATGATTGAGGGGAAGGTGAGATATAGGGTGAAGGTTATGAAGGGACCTGCTATTGGGTTAGTTTTGCATGCTGTGGTCGCAGGCGCCTTACTACACTGCATATCAGTGGTTGCGTTACCATAGGATCAAGTACTTACCTCGGTCCGGCTCTGAGGCAGTTCGGTGTACATCGATCTGTTATATACGTCTCGTCAGCGACTGAACTAATATGATGTTTATTTGAGCTGATGCATACACATTTCGAATCCGTACGCTGTGCACAGCGCATAGCAGTACCCCCAAGGCATGACACCAAAGCCAGGCTGCCCATCACCACTAGCAGCAGTATCACGTTTCCATAGAACCATCGAGTTCCATGGAGCGAAACCGAGTTCCCTGACAGTGTGTACTGTGTGAAACCTCAAAAAAGGAGCATAGAAGGGAGGTCCATGGGGACCATGAGATGAGGGGCTAGCGTGGTTCTGCTTACATGTCAAGTCTGTTGAGTCAATTTAGTATGCAGTCACAGTCGTGCCCAAAGTCTTCTCGTCTTAGTTAGCAGAGCGTCCAAAATTGATGCCGAACTCATGCTCAGGTGAACGACAAGAAACTTCACCAGCTTTCCCACAAATTACAGTCATCAACCGTGACCTTGATTCACTGACCGTAGGAACACTGATGTAGTAGGCTACGCGGCATCAACCTGAACGGTCTCACCTGTCTGCGTGACCTGCTGCACCACTTCACTCACAGCCGAACCGTTGCCGCGCTTTTGTGCGCTAGTAACAACCTCCAGCACGCTCGCTAGACCCGCCTTCCACGCGACAAGTCGCTTTTCCAGTGCTTCCCATTGCTCTCGCTCAAACGTGCGCGCTGACGAGCGGTAGACGTGTAAAGATTGGGTAGTCTGCGAGAGCTTTCCCGAAAGAAGACCGGTACGGATCACTATTCAAAGATTATTTGAGATGATCATAAACGACAGGATGTCAAGGGGACATACCATCAATTGCCCACTTCTCTACTTGACTCAATTCAATCTGCAGGGTCGACGCGACCTCTGAATATGGCAGGTCATGCCCGACGTGTGCAAAACCCAGTGATGCAAATGACAGAAGACGGATTTTCCGTTCAAGCTGTGCTTGGTCGAGTTCTGCAAGCCCATGAATAGTTCAAATATGTGGCATCAATCATAATGAACCGATTTACCATATTTTTCGAGAACAGCGGGATGGCTTTCGAGCCATGAATTTAATTCTGGTAGGCCACTGTTCAAAAACACCTGAAAAAGCGAGAAAAGCTCGTGATCTTTTGCTGAGACGACGGCGTCCAACTTGAACAATGGATCCAGGTCAAACAAGGCGGGTAAGCGCAATGCCAAGGCTATGGCATCGATCGCTGCAGATTGACTTTCAGGCGAAGAGGATGATAGCGAAGAAACGTAGGAAAGTGTGTAATGATAAGCAGTTTCTCTGTATGAATCAAATGTCAATCACAATCTTGATCGGCCAAATGTAATGATACGCACGGCTGGCCAGATTGTATGAATGCGTCAACAATGGACTTGAGGAATTGACTGCGCTCTTCCCCAGAGATATCCCATTCTTGCAACCACTGCTCGACATCTTTTCTGGATAGACGCAAGGCCTCGAGTTCTCCATTTGCGGCGGCGACTTGTAGTAACGTGGTGTAAATAGGGAGACGGAGGGCTGAATTACGAGGAGTAGCATTGAACAAATTTGAAATGCTGTTTAAGAACTGAGCATACAGCCTGCATAAATGTGCTCTGGATGTAGTACTTACACGCGGTACCTCACTGATGGATGCTCGGAAGGTGATGAAGCAAGAACACCCAAGAGCGAGGAAACGTGATGTTTAATTTCTGGTGAGTCGGTCGGCCACAGTGTTAGAAGGTGAGAGAAGAGAAGGTTGAAGTAGCCCTCGATTTCTGCATTTCAAAATCAGACCTGCAGAAAATACTGACGATCTCCGGACGCACCTTGTTCTGATCCATCGCCCAAGCTTTTCGTTTGATCCCGTACAAATGTCAATGCGTTCCGTTTTGTTTCTTGATCCTTTTCGGTAGGTTTGGCCCCTTCATCTAGCTTAATAATATCTCGGAAAGATTGCGACGCAGCAGCACGTTCATCCTCTGCACTACTTCGAGTGGCATAATCCACTAGCTCTTGTATCTGACCGGAGATCAGAAATCAGTCTTCACGAGGTGAGTATTATATAGCTATACCTGTTCTTCGAAAGTTCCTTCTGCAAACACTGACACTGAATCTGCGGTAGCCATTTTGTTAGATGAACTACATATACTTGTGGTGCAATTAGATCCTAGCTGAGTTTAAAAAATATAATCATGTACAAACAAACTGCCAACTTGTCAATTTGTGTTACTGCGCAAGTTTTGGCACTCTAGCAATTGCTGGGGAATTAGGAGGTGGCAAAAATTTTCGCGATTATGAGTAGTATTAGATCCGTCGAATGAAATTTGGATAATCTGTGACATATTTCCTTCATGTTCGAACTCTATTAGTAAGCTGGCCGTTATTTGGCTTTATTGAATTCAGAAGGTACTGTCGGATAAACAGTCGCAAATAGGCACCAGCCAATGCGTTATGGGGTCACATTACTAGTAGGTCATATGCATCATGTCATTTGCAAGTCTGAAATCTCAAAGGCAATCTAAGGCATCAAGATCGTATGTAACTTTCACCAATAATTCACAAGAGTCCCACTCCACAACTATTCCAAAAGCGATACATTCTAAAAATCCAAATACATCAACTCTCAGCAATGAAGGCACTGTGTACCACGGCTTACCAGAAAATGTGGAGATGCAGGTATCAGACATATCAGGCAGGGGATTATGGGCCAAGAATTTAATCAAAGCTGGTTAGCAAATTGTCGCAAGATCTGACTCTTGGACCACACATCGCTTACACGACATAGGCTCTGTTATTTTATCAGTAAGACCGTGTTCATTTGCAATTGCTAGCCGTTATCTGGACTCCCATTGCTCCTCTTGTGCTGCCACATCACACTCGGGATTGTTGAGGTGTACCAGATGTCGCACAGTTCGGTATTGTAACACAGTTAGTTGCCCCATAAAGTGCTCTTCACTGGTCTGATTCTTCATTATTAGACTTGTCAGACGAATGACTGGTCACTCCATCGACTCGAATGTTCTGCATTAATGAAATGGGCCAAGTCAGCACCATCGAAAAGCTTGTCTATCCCAAGTGATGCTGTCAGGTGCCTGGGACGAATTTTGTGGCAGAAAAAGAAGGAAGGGTTTGATAGCAGTTGGGTGGGTACAAATTTTTATTTCATGGATGACAACGCTGACAGCACGACAGTCAAAGGAAATCGATTCATTACAGTCTCGTGAGTCGTATGTCATATTCAAGTGCAGGTTATAATTGAAATGGAATTAGATCGACATTCTTTGCAACCTGTTATCGTTGAAAATAATACTCACCTTGCCCACTCTCTCGTTCGATATCTTGGCTTGTCTTCTCCTGGGGATTTGTCGGAGTTTGGCATCTTATCCGCAGGCGACCTTGCTGATTTAATTTCAAGAGTAAGCATTGTTCATCAAACGACTCGGGCATCGCATGTTTAGTACCTGGCAGTTTGTGACTAATACTTTCGCATTAACTTCGCCCTCGTTGACACCAGTGGGGGTGTCGGTCTCGCCGCTTGTTGCGCTTTTCAACCATTCTTGTAATCCTGGTGCAGTCATAGTTTTTCCTCGGTCTTCTCGAAATCCCACGGAAGAGCCCCAGATGCAAGTTATCGCTCTCAGAGACATTTCACCCAATGAGGAGGCGAGTATAAACCATTTACTCGAAGTGCTTTCACTAACCAACGATTACTATCAGATTCTGACCTCCTATATCGACACTACCCAACCTCGTTCTCTAAGACAGGCTGCGTTGAAGGAGACATATGATTTCACATGTCAGTGTGAGCTATGTCATGATGGCAATGAAATAGACCCTCGTGAGACAATATGGTGTCCAAAGTCATGTGGAGGGATGTGCCCTGCGCCTAGTGATGGTGAGAACGGTCGGCGCTCTGCTGGAAACTTTGGTCGTTCATACATTGCATTTATAATAGAAAGTGAGATATATCAATGCGTGAAATGTCGTGCAGTCGTGGCTACACCTGGATCTATCATGGACGCTCTTCGTATTGGACAAGAAGCATTGGTGAAGGCAACTTCCATTCAAGATACAGGTTCGCCCTCCATGTTGCCTAGAAAAGACATTCACGTAAATTCTTATATCTCCTACAGATCATGACAAAGCCTTACAGCTGACAACCAATATTATTCCGATACTTGTGTCTGCCGGCCTGACGCCATCTTGTCACCCGTTATTGCCCCTGATAGGACTTCATAAATCGCTTCTTTTGTCTTCGTTGTCAGCAGACATGACACCGGAACTGTTGGACGAGACAATCCGTATGGCAGCTAAGCACTATATTGGGCTATCCACCATTCTCTGTGATGGCCACCCTGTACGTGCCGTCGCCCTCGCAGAGCTCGGGAAGCTTTTGGCCGTCGATGAACCCTTCCCGGTCACGTCACCAACCACGAACATCGCGTTCCTACCATCCGGCCCTGCGCGACTCAAAGCTGCATACGAAACACTAGTACGTGCAAGACACGAACTGATGATCTGTTTTGGTAGAAACAATGACGGCGGTGAGCTTGGAAGAAATATTCGCGAAACAGTGGTATCGTTGGAGAAAGAGCTTGGGACGTGGACACAAGGCATACACAACACTCTTCAAGACTTGCTAAACTTCTCGAGAAAATGAATAACAATTGAGACTTTGAGTACGCTCTTGTTGATTTCATATATGGTACCTCTCAATGCAGTATCTCAGGTCGATGTGCTCTCTAATAATTAGCTCTGAGACTTTTTTTAGCTGGATCCATCATAGTGACTCGACATCGTGTGAGGCTCCGCAGCTCCTGTTTCGAATGAACTTTGACAAAACTGAGGCACTCAATTTCACAAATAAATCTCAAATTGAGTTGGGCTAATCAATAACATGTTGAGATTGACACGCAGGTCATAGTCTACATTTGGCGCCCTGCCACGGATTCATCATGAAGTCATATGGACCAGTGAGTCGTTTCAGAACGTTAATTTGGTTTGGTCTGAATACCACTAAATCAATCGTTATTAAGTTTGATGTCATACTGCGTCGACGGCGTCGTTAGGCGCTGCTACACCAGACAATCGCTGAATGACGCAGTATGACAGCAGTATGATATCAAAAGTTTAAATCACATTCCAACTCAATATTGATTTTATTGTATTGATCTATAATAGCGACGTCATGATGAATCCGTGGCAAGGGGACACAGTGAATACGGCCCGCGTAGCAATCTCCGCTGCAGAAGCGAGTGATCATCATGATATCAGAAGGGTAAGATAACACCAGGGCTGAAATTTCTTGTCAATTCTACCTTGCGCGCGTCCATTGATAACAATCAGGTACGTTCCAGATACGTTGAAATATTTTTATTAGGCTTACAAGGTCCCAAGGAAAAATACTTAAATTGCACCCATTCTTTGGAGCTTGTGTGCTTCTCAAGAACCCAGACTTCACCATCGTCACGGATCAGACAGTGCAACAGATACAGATCCAATCGCATTCATGTCCACTCGCTTCTCCTCTGTTCCCCTCTATGTTCTATTTGCCTTGATCTCCTTGGCTATTTCAAGTAAGGCTGACTTCCCACAATTTAATTCTGTCGGCTCACGATGCGATGTGTAGACCGCGGTCCCACTGCCGTTCAATCGTATGATGGGGTAAGTTTTGCTTTGTATCAAATCTGATCACCGTGAATTTACAATACAATCTACCCAGGTTGTAAGACTTACATTTTATCAACGCTCATCACATTGACCTCATGATACAATGTACTCAGGCGACCATTAATTATAATGTAAGTGCCTGGTACCAAACCTTGTTATGTTATTAACCTCAGATGTAATGCGCCCAGTACCCTCGTATGAGCCTTCCATTAAATCCGTGATTTGGCCTCATGATAGTGCACAGGGCAAACCCCCAATTAGATCTACTATTACCACAGTGGTTCGCGAGACTCCAGCTTTCCATGTAAGGCTTCTGCTTTATATCAGGCCTCGTCATATTGACCCCAGATGTAGTGTATCAGGGTGCCTTGTGTAAGTCTTGCTTCACCTCAAATTCAATCGGCCTCGCGATGTTAAGTTTTTACACAGGCCAAAAGCTTTACAACTACGTAGTGTTACCACGGCGTGAAGTGGACCTGAACTGGCTTTCTAATCCTTTCCTCGAAGTTTACTGTCAAAATTTTTATATCAAAGTGAAGCCTTTTGGGTCATGGACCCTGTGTTGGATATGTTTCGTCATTTGCATCTTTTCCTTCGTATATACGTGGTTAATGTGAAAGGTTAGATTAGATCAATTGAACCTGCGAGTGTTTTGTCTGGTTGTGGTGATCTCGGCAGGTTTTCGTGATCGGGATTGCTCATTTCTACTTCCATAGTATCCACAGTTTCGCATCAGGTGTGGCTATCCTTTCGTTGTGGAGTGTGAGGGTGTTGTAGTATGGGTGACAAAACATAGTACAGATTGTTGTTGTTGTTATTGACGCGGCGTTTGCGGTGATAATCTTGATTGCAAGGTCACTCGCGGCCTGTAATTGTGACTAAATTTATGCGGAAAGTAATGCACAATTGCACGCTAATATCATACTCACAAAACCAGTAGACATCAACGGGATCCTGCCGACAAAGTTCGTCCTCTTTCCTCTAGTGGGTAGACACACTTGATTATTCGGGAAATTTTGACTCGTTCGTTTAGATTAGTTTGGAGTCTTGTGCGCCTCTGAACAGACAGTTTATTGGAGACACCTCATATTGCGCAAGTTTCTCACCTAGACGGTACTAGAGTATCAATCCTGGTGGATTCCCGTAGATATTCCTATTCCTCACCGAAAACATGAATTATGATATGATGGGCACCTCTTCCTTTAATCAATGTGAGGGATCCTTAGCTCGATATTGATACAATCTCAGGCCTGTGTCGGTCCCCTCAAAAGACACAGTTAGATATATCGCTCTTTCATTGCAGAATCGTGCCACACCCACCGTGAACCAGCTTAATTGGAACGTACACAAGCTAACTGCATTTGGCTCACCAATTTTTTTCACTAGGTGATCTTGAACTGACGCCAACGAAACTTCCCGGATTCGGACGAATGTGTTTTCAAATTTCTACGCGATCTGGCGAGAAGCTTCACTCAAGTGAACATCTTCGTATTGAAGACATGCTAGATGACTATCGAGCGAGTGTGGCCTTGCTAAATCGTGCAATAAATTATATATACAGTGTGAAATTAGGGAGAGGTGGGTAGGTATAAAGAAAGACTGTCCTGAATCGAGGTGAGGATGTACGAGGTACGACGAACTCGATGTTGTGGAAGAGAGAGAAACGGAAGCGAATAGCGCGTCTGCTAAAAATTCCGGCGAGCTATGCATACATTGCTCGGCACATATGTAGTCGGACAGCATTGCGTTGTTAATAATAATCATTACATAATTCTTACGACCACATTTATGATATACAATGTAATTGTATAACATAATAATTCAATCCCGTGCCCATCATTCATGAGAGCACGATAAGAACCAGTTGAAGCATGTGAGCATCCTCGCGGCTTGCCAGTCTTCTCACACGTCTGGACTCTGGTCCCCCTCAACTGGCGGGATTTTTTGAAAGGTTTGCCATCCGAGACGTGGTCGGAAAATATGTGGTTCTCTTACTTGTCACATCGTCGTGCTTGGTGAGCCTTATATTACCATTGTTTGTTTCCTTAGCAGACTCTGACATAGAACATACAATAATGCTAGTCGCGATAAGCAACTAGAGCGAGAAGAGCGAATCGCATCTCTCAAACCTATCTACCACCAGTCTCTAACATCCCAAGACAAAGAGATTCTGTCTTGCTCAGTTTCGTCTCTGGTGGCTGCTGTGCAAACATCGTCTCTATCTCCATCAGACATCCTCGTGGCCTACTCTAAAAAAGCCCTTCAGGCGCATGCTCAGACAAACTGTCTGACGGAGGTTATGATTGCATCTGCAGAAACTTGGGCTAGCACTGCGAACAAATCAGGTCCGCTGGCAGGCGTCCCAGTCTCGCTCAAGGACCTGGTAAGTGTAAAGGGATGGGATTCCTCTATGGGATACTCAGCTCTTGTGGGCAAACCCATGGCCGCCGATGGCGCGTTGGTGAGGTTGCTGCGGGATGCAGGTGCCGTTCCATATGTCAAGACGAACGTTCCAATGACTATGCTCTCATTGGAGTCGACAAACGATGTTTTTGGTTCTACCGAAAATCCCCACAAGAAAGGCTATACCTCAGGAGGCTCGTCAGCAGGTGAAGCTGTACTCCTTGCGCTCGGTGCAGCCAGACTCGCGATAGGCACAGATGTCGCGGGGAGCGTTCGAGCACCTGCGCACTTCTCTGGTGTCTATTCAATCAAAGCAAGTATGTATAGATTCTTGAAGCAAGGCAGCATGTCCAGTATGCCTGGCCAGGAAGGCGTTCCCGCAACACATAGCCCTATGACCAGAACGTTGGAAGATCTAGAGACATTCTGGCGTGCTGTATTCCAGATGAAACCTTGGAACTATGACTACTCGGTAACTAAATTTTTCGAATCTTGGTCTTGTTGTTAAGTTGGTGTATGATACTATAGGTTCTTAGAATTCCTTGGAGAGATGTCAAACTTCCAGAAGATCGCCCCATCAGGTGGGGTGTCCTGTGGGATGACGGTAAGTGGAACATCTCTATGGAGTTTAATCTCGGCATATTCATGATTACACAAAGGGGTTGTGACACCCTCCCCTGCCTGCGCGCGAGCATTGAAAACGGTTACTGCGATACTCGAGAAGAACGGTCACGAAATTGTCACATTGTAGGTCAAATTTTCTCTTTTCTGAAAGCATTTTTCATCCCACTTCAGGCAGTGCCCGAGCCCATACGAAGGCCTTCAAATTGCGTCACAGCTCCTCCTTGCTGATGGCGGCAAGACAGCTTCCAAAAACCATCGCGCATTTGAGTCGAACGATGCTGGAATGACTTCAGCGTTCCGGGGCCTTCGTCTCCCCTACTTCGTCATGAAACTCTATGCTTGGTATCACCGCTACATACGCCGCGATCCCATCTATGCCGGTCTGATCGACACTCATTACGAAAAGACTGTGCCAGAATTCTATGCCTTAATTGCGCAAAGGGAGGACTATCGCTCTCGCTGGTTCAAAGTGTGGCGAGATGCAGAGGTCGAAGGCCGCCAGGGCGATGAGGGAGTCGACTTCATTCTTACAGTGCCAAATAGTCTTCCTGCTGTTCCCCACGGAGGGATGAGGCATGGATGGAAAGCGTGTGGGTATACGTTCCTATTCAATCTGGTACGTTCCACTCTTCTTTAACTGCTCTGATCTGGAATTCGATTTGAAATTTTGAAAAGCTTGATTATAGCGCGGGGGTTATGCCAATCACGCATGTGGATGCGACAACTGATGCTCTCCCGAGTACTTTCCGTCCACGAAACGCCATCGAACGAAACTACTACCGGATGTACGATGCAAGTGCTATGGAAGGTCTCCCCATTGGCGTGCAGATCGTAGGAAGACGGCTTGAAGAGGAGCGCGTCTTGGAGGGCATGAAACTGATCGAACGCCTGTTGAAGCAAGCAGGTGCTGGTTATGTCGGTTTGCCGCTGTAGAGATGCACTCGTGTGCCAATCCCGACATGTACATCATCCTATTTCATTTCTACGGAACTATATGCAGCGTTTTCGGAAGATGAGACCCTAATAACAGGCAGACGGGAAGAGACACGAGTTCCGGATGCTTCGTCCCGTATTATTCCACACAAGGTACTGTAGACATCTTTCTTTTTGCGCAGGGCCAATATGAATGTCTGTCTTCAGTGTTAAGTAAGGTACCGGGGTCCCAGGGTTAAATGGCAACGCGGCAACACGTCAACATATCCGCAACATTTTAAACGACAGCTCATCGTGACGCGTTGCCAACTGGATGCTGAACTTTTTCAGGGACATCGAACTTAGTCCTCGTATTTATCATATCCAGTTGCCAGGTACTTGAACCCGATATCACGAGGCTGATTTACAGCCAACTTGAATGATGTGGCGAATCATGGTGCTATCATGATTAGGGCGGTGAGATTACCTACATGATTGACTCGAGACTGGCACAGTAACTTGTTATTCATGGAGGTTAAAACCCAGCACTGAACAATACAGTAATCCAGGCTATCGTCATGTTAGGAGGAGCCACCAAACTATCATCAGATCAGCAGCTCGATTAGCACATGACATATTGACTAGGAGGGCCACTTACTTTCTCGTCGAACTCTTGACTGTGTACAGGTCCTGTTATACCAAGATGGACCTGAATGACACCATGCCAAAGGCCAGACCCCTGAGGTTCAAGGCTTGCGCCATTCATTTCTCAGGTCAATTTGAAAATAGTTGACCATGGTGAACATTTAGGGCCCAGACTGGCAGTCCGGCTCATGCTAGCATACGATCATGGATGGCGCTCATGCGTAGACGAGATCAAGCACTGAAGCCATCTGCCAGAGGTTGCAATGATCGTCGTAGTGACGTCATGTAGTAAATCAACTGGCCTTGACGGTTTTCAATAACTTTAAGCGATATTCAGAAGTGCTGACCATGAATAGACTCGCACGATACGTTGATACCTGCGCTAGCTGTTCCAGCTTCTCATTCAACCCCCGTATTCATCAAGCCTAAATCTGATTGCTATTGCTTGTATCGTAGTACACCAGCGTGAAACCTGACCTACAACTCATTCTTTTCTATATCAGCCAGAAAAATACATATGCTGCACAAAGTGCAATTAAAACTTTCGCTTGAGGGCTCGTGTTTGACCATACGGTGGTTAAGCTGTTTGACACGTTGTGAGTAGGTGCGGACGATCCGCCTTTACCCGAAAGGGTTCGGCCTTGTCCAGAGAACCCACCAGAAGATGCAGGTTTAGCATACTGGGCGACAGTCGATTTGAGGGCACTGGGATGGATGTTTAAATGCATTCACAAAAATGAAAATTCGTGAACGAACCTCGGGTTAGCGCCACGGATCCTGTGCACTTCTTCCTTGCCTACCAGGAAAATGAAAGTTGGCCTGTAGAATATAAGCACAGAAGAAACATTCCAAGATAATGAAAACTGACATAGCAGTGACGGAGTACTCAGTGGCGAGCTCGTTCGTTCCCTCCGAGAGGTCGACCTTGACGAAGTTCACGCTGTCGTTCTCATTCGCGAGGCCTTCAAAAATCGGCTTAATCGCCTGGCAAGGAGGGCACCAACTCGCAGTGAAGTCTATGACCTGCAAGCAAATGTGTCACTCCACTTCGACAAACTGAAGATACAGATATTTACGGTGAGCTTGCTGGCATCGTTGGTCAACTCCTCGAGCTGTGCCTTGGTGGAGATCTCGGCAACCATTATGAGACTAGATGAAGTATGGGATGTGAGAAATTGAGAGATGCTGCTCTGTGGGCGATGGCTTTATATATGTCCCAGTGGGCTACGTTGCTGTACGGTATAAGTAAGCACCTGCCAGGCATGACGTGCTTGTAATCCGGTCACGTGAGGTACACAAAGCATTGACTCACGATCAGTAGCTGAGTACTGCCCAGCCTACGTTCCATAATCATTCGCAATTTCGCATGCCCATGTCTTTCAGGCTATTTGTCGTCTCTCTTGTCGTAGTTGTGTGAAGCATATTCCAGGTCTCATCTACGGGGAAACACTTGGTGTCCTCGAAATTTTCTTAGGGAACGCTATCCGGATTCCGCGACTCTGTCAAGTGACTTACATCGAGCATGCCAAGCGGCAAGCCCCACCATCAGCTTCCTTCAGTGCTTGATTTCTCATCGGAACTATAGCAAAACAGTCACCGCTCTCGATGTCGTCTATGCGCTGAAGCGGTCGGGGTTCACATTATACGGTTTCGAACTTTCAGTGCATGGTCAAAGCATCATGTATCATCACTCTCCACGCATAGTGACTTGGATATATCTTTCAATCTGATCAGCGTGGCTATTTACCATGTCTTTTTAGAGATCCTTCAACTTTAGGGCGAGCGCTCGAGTGTGTGGTCGTGCTCGGTTGTTGTATACTCGACGATAGCGATTTGTGGGGCCTACTACACTTCACATAACCAGCAGATGAAGCTGTGTTGTTGAGTAGCCTCAGATTGTACTCCGTCTATCTGATGGTTTCACAGTTTAATTCCGCTGCGAAGCTATTAAACGAGTGGCTCACTCGGGTCCTCTGCCTCTATTGGACCATCCAAGATCCTTCCGCGTGTAATACCCCGTGCGCAATCAGGACCTAAACGGAAAACTACTACGCATGCGTAGTGGTTACAAACATGGACTATCATTATTTCATTGATCATCACAATGAACCGTCACCATGTTATCACATATCTATGGTCATGGACTACGCTGGAGTGAATCGTTGGCCAATCATTGTGGTCCCTACATCAATTAGAAACTTGCCCAGGCTGCTGAAACTGAAACATTGAAGACCGAGAAATGAACTGCGATTCCATCAGGTGTGTTATCTCTTGTTGATCATTTGCATGACGGCATCGATAGCCAATTGCGTTGTGCATGAATGAGGAAAGTTCAAAGATAGCACTAGTTCTTGGATGGTTCGAATCCTATTTCAGATGCCCGTCCTAGATCATCCAGCGACATGCGCAACTATACAGGAACTTGTCATATGATGACTGGCCGTACCAAACTGACGACATTTAAGAGGCAGATTCAGCAGAGCAAGTGCATGCTCGAGTATTCAGACAGTATGACCAGACAGCTATTGTCAGTCAGTCAAACAGTTCGTACCTTGCTCCGAAACTCTCGTTGATGCGCAGTGTGACATCAAAACAGTAAGAAATGAGAAAAAACAGAACAATGCTACGAAAACACAGCAAAACAGACGATCGAACCTCATGGATTCCTCTCCACCAACTCTTCCACCTCCGCCTCTTCATCCACATCATGTGCCTCATCTGTGATATCACTCTCGCTCTCCGGGGGTATTGGCTCCGACGGCGGGGGTTCGCTCAGATTAAGGCTAACCTCGAGCTCCCTGGGAGAGTCGTCAACAGGAACAGACTCAGGAGATGATGGTGCGGGAGGTTCCACAAGGGCGGCTACTGCTTCTGCCTCAGGAGAAGGGTCGAGGGGTGCCTCGAGTAATTTTTCAGACTCTGGAACTGGTTCCGGTGAATCAGAGTTTTCGGCATCTACAGACTCCTCCACGATATCAGGGCTTGCAACACTAGCCTCAACATTTTGAGTAGCTGCGGGGATTACTGAGCTTGGAGGCTCAGCCAGGGCAGCGGTCTCTTCGTGAGGAGCTGCAGGCTCGACAACTGGCTGTTCCTGAACGGTCTCAATGGATGTTTCAACAATTGGAGCCGTCTCTATCTCGGGTTCCGGTGCATGTGGCACAGCAGGTGAAGCTGAGCTGGAGTCTTTAAGTAGCGTCAAGGACAGATCTTCAAGAGGTGGAGAGTTTGATCCGGTGCCGGCTGCCACTTCGTCGACGGGGACCTCTTCGACGTCGAACCCAAATTTGTCGGGAGATAACTCACTCAGCTGGCTTGTCCATGAGGCTTGCGAATAGCTCTCAGGCTCAACAGATAGCGTAGTATGTAATAAAGCACCGCTTTCGGTGACACCGTGGTCGCCACCTTTTGCAAGCTCCTCCGCGACATTGTACCCCTCAGTGAACACCATAGTATCTGTTCGATTGCGCCCAATCCGGCGTGGACTATCGGTGCCATGTGGGCTATCATTGGACAGTCCCGGAGGACTCTTCTCGCGAACATTCGAAGATTGTGTTTGTTCTGCTGTAGGTGCATTTTGATCCTCCCGCTCACGCGGCGGGTTGACGGCCGCTGCAAGAAGACGTGGAGGTTCAACATCCTCGTCGCGTCCCTTTCTGCCTGACAGGACAGTACCTGGGGGGATGACAAGGAACTCGGTAGGGACAAGATCGAATTGACTAGTAAGTTTCAAGAAGCGAGCGTAAAGCGATGATTCTGCTTCCGCTTGTTCAAAGGCTTCTCGGTGATGGAAATATGCATGTGCAAATATTCTGCCAAGACGACGAGCAAGCGAAGAGAAGTGTCGATATGAGGTAGGGGGTATGGAAAGACTAATATCGCGAAAAGGACGCATGATTGAGTTGAGTTTGAAAAAGGCGATGTAATGAAAGATATTAACAAAGATGTTATGGGACGTGATCATGACTCACCGAGATGGGAAAGCTCGAGGCGAGTTTAATAGTGCGGTTGCGCTATCCAACGTATGAAGGATGTAATCAATAGCACAGCATTGCTGAGTACATACATAAAGAGTTAGAGGAACCATATTTATTTTTTAAAATGACCGTCGGACGAACCTCCATAGCACCGTCATTACCGTGTGCGACACACAAATATAACCACTCTCCCGCCTTCATCTCGGGACAGGCTATGCGAGTACATTCCTGCTGTAACATTGTGATGAGGGGATGAGATAGGTCTTGTGCGAGACGTCTGATGGACAAATACAATTAACGCATAAAAAATTGGGCGAGTGAGTATGAGAGGTACCGTAGTTGTTCATAAATCCAGCAACCTCGGTCGACTGTTATGTCGTTTTTGCGTTCAGAATCATCTGATCTACGTTCAGCTTGATCAGAAAGATCAGAAGATTTTTCTTCGGTGTCCTTGAAAGCAGCTTTCCCCGGAAGAGACACTATTGAATCAACATCATGGACGTCAAGACGAATAAGAAGCGAAATGTATTCCTGAAGCTGGAACGCGCTATCGAGAGATGATAAGGATGGGAGAGCTTTGACAGGATAGAAGGAGGACACGCGTGAGCCGCGTAATGGGCGTTGTACAGCTACAGCCATCGTCAGTGATAGGAAGCTCGGGGTTGTCGTCGCTGTTGAGAGCGTCGAGCGCAGTGTCTCACAGGTTGACTAAATTTCGCGGAAAATGATCGTGGAAATAAAATTCCGAGTTAGTATAGACTGTTGACTAAATTAATTTATCTATCTGGAAATCCTTGAAAATATTTTTGAGACGATCAAGTAACAATTTGTGATTGAAATTTCGGACGATGGGGACAGAGCGGACGGGATGATGAACGGATGGAGAGAAGGGTTAGCTTATTTACACATGAATTTTGTTCCGAATTTGTCACGTCACTTGTAGTACCTGATGTGGTACCACATGATCATCGAGATCTCTTCTCCCGGTTGTTTTGAAACGTCCAAGGCGTGGACATCTCACTTGAATGGTGCCTCACAATCCTTATAATTAGGGCGCTCCTTGCGAAGCTCTACAATTGCCATCCCCCGTTCATCTCCACGATGTCCGACAATCATCTACACGAGAAGAACTCAGTCGCAGACCTTGAGAAAGATTCAGCGTCTAGTAGGGATGGCATCTCTGTCATCATCCCTGGAGACAAACAAGGATGGCTCTCCCACCCGTTAGCAAGGTCTCTTCTCAGCTGGGGCGTGGAGGAACGAGGTTGGTTTTCCCTACAACCAAATACTCATCTGATAATCTTCGTTCATAGGCACCGTTCCAGTACCTGAAGAGGAGCGGATGGATACGCAATACTATAAAATTTTCTTCGTTTGGTTTTCAATGAACTTCAACATCCTCTCGTAAGTTTTCAGAGAATTTGGACTATCAGCTCCTTCTTACAGATAAACCTAGCTTCTCTGCCGGAACGCTCGGCCCAATCGCCTTCGGACTTGGACTTCGGGATTCTTGTCTTGTCATCTTATTTTTTAATATCCTTGCATGCGCGTTACCTGCATATTTGTTCGTATACCTTCCTTCCTCTTAACATGGACACCGGCTCATTACTTCCACAGAAATACTTGGGGTCCTCGAACCGGCATGCGTCAAATGATTCAATCTAGATATGCCTTTGGGTATGAGTGCTTATTATCTGTATATGCTATTGGCTAACGCCCTTTCAAGCTATTTTGGTGTTATTATACCTGCTATCCTCAATTTGATCGGCCTGTGTGGCTTCAATATCCTTAATGGTATACTCGGTGGACAGGCACTAGCTAGCGTGTCTAGTAATATGAGTTGGGAGTGCGTACGGCATCTCACAACATCGCTTCGACTTACCTAATCCGTTTCAGTGTCGGCATCGTGATTATCTTCATCATTGCCCTCCTCGTGCGTTCTCTCACGTGACTCTCGAAATCCTTTTGTAATGTCCACCTCCAGATTTCCTTTATGGGCTACAGAGTACTCAACTGGTAAGCGGCATCCTCTGTTCATCATTATTCTAGTCTGACAGTTTCAGGTACGAACGTGTTGCATGGTTCCCAGTTCTTATCGCATTCTTGGTTGCACTCGGCGTGGGTGGCAAGAACTTGTACAACGTTCAACCAGCGGCTCCTGCAACCCCTGTTACCATTCTTAGCTTCGCATCGGTTATTGCTGGTTTCGTTATCACCTACTCGGCAATGGCATCCGATTTTACGATGTACTTCTCGCCCACCGTTTCTCGGTAGGTTTAATCTCATGCCCTGTGGCGTTACGTTTAGTATCTTTTTTCCAGGTCCAGGATCTTTTGGTATGCATATCTGGGGTACATCGTGCCTATCGTACGTCAGCCTGTCTATCTATCCGGTACCCCCTAAACAACTTCTGATCGATCTCCAGGTCCTTCTACAGTGCCTTGGGGCTGCAGCAGTCCTTGCTGCACCAAACGTTCCTAGCTGGAACGAAGGTTACGGAACAGACGGCAACGTCGGCGGCCTTTTAGAGGCAATGCTCAGTCCGGTCGGTAACTTTGGGAAGTTCCTCACCGTTCTTCTCAGCTTGAGCGTCACCGGCAACATCGCGTGCACGCTTTACTCTATGTGTTTCAATTTCCAAGTGATGGTTCCAGCCATGTCAAGAGTCCCAAGATACGTCTTTTCGATCGTTGGCACTGTAGTGTCAGTTTTCCCATTTGACTGTCTTCCCTGTCACCGGCTGATCTCATTTTTCCCCGTGGACCCCCGACAGTGCATTGCCTTTATCGATCGTGGGCGCCCATAAATTTTATACGACATTGACCGATTTCCTTTCGCTCATTGGTTACTGGGCAAGTGCGTACGGCGCCGTCCTCCTTGTCGAACACCACTACTTCCGCAAAGGTGACTTCAGCACCTATGACCATTCCATATGGAACGTTCCGGGACGCCTGCCCTGGGGCGCGGCTGCCATCTCAGCTTGCATACTGTCTTTTGCCCTAATTATACCCTCTATGAACCAGGTATGGTACCAGGGTCCCATCGGCTTCACCTCGGGCGATATCGGGTTCGAGGTTGCATTTCCTCTTGCAGGCCTACTGTACTTCCCCCTTCGAAAACTAGAACTCAAATACCAGAGTATCGAATATTAAGCACCGCTCGGTTGAGATAGTTACAGGTTAGATATGCGATGTGCTACGGAACGTGTACTGTCTTGCTATGCCCATAATCAATCTTGAATAAGAACAGCAGTCTGGGGTCGCACTGACTTACTTTAGCCTATTCATCCCTGCGCGCATCTTACACCATTGTATGCTCACAGAGAAATTGCAAATCGATGCCTTTGAAATATCACCTGCCAACTAGGGCCGATCCCGGGCATAATAATATAGCCATCATAGAGAATCCACGCCTTTCGCTCTCGTAGGTATGTTCTTTGGAGTTTGAGTGGGAAGAAATGTGGAGTGTGATTGATAACGTGCAGCAAGCTGAGAAGGATTATCGCGTATCCTTGAGAAACTGCTGCGCCAAAGCGTGTGTCAATCGCGATGAGCCCCAAGTACCAAGAATAACACGTGCGGGTCCTGAGATCGTGTGCATACGTATCTTAGGAATCCATTAATGCAGCCGGTGCAACAGAGGGCAACGGTGCAAATTCCACTGGAGCATATCTGAAATTTGAATCATGATGTCGTGTGATCTACTAACATGGTCTAAAAGGTCTTACCTTCGCTACGAAACATAAGCGATCCGATTGGTAACATGGGCCAAGGTGCTAGTTGTTTCACCAATACAGTGGGATATGAACATGTACAGGAATTGCTCGAAGAAAAAGTGCGGTGCTCCGGGCCTCATGCAGTAGTGTTACCCATATCAATCGGCTGCCAAGCCATGGCAAAATCTAGGTACCCAGCAGTGACGTAGCAGTGGCAAGACGACCTCGGAAACCTTGTCGGCCGTTACAAGAAAGAGGCAAAAATATCAATTATCAGGTCCTTTCGGTGAACGAGGGCTTCACCTTCTCGAGAGGCAATACTCGGTACCTTGTTCAATTTAGATTGAGCAAGTATATCGAGAGTTTATTAGTTCCTTTTGTACATAGGCACTAGAAGCAAGTAAAAACTGTGTAACTCGACGTTCATCCGAATTATCTCACTTCGAGCGGTCGGCGATCTAGTGTCTTCTTAATTACCGATTCCGAATGATTTGTACAGCATAGTCTACTCTTTCCAGGCCAATCCGCAGAGAGATGACAGAAATAATAGGCTTAGCTGTAGAAGAACCTATCAGCCTGCACGAAGCAGAAAATAGGTCATTCTCGTACCTTCAGTGTTCGACCACTTTTCTAGAAAAGAACGCAACGGCCGCAGTAAGGACGATTCTACGCTCGCGATGTTATCCGGGTCTCGTATACCAGTCTGGGACATCGTCAAACTTATTTTCATTGCCTCGGACAAAATAAGATACCTTATTGTCCCTGTCCCGTTGTAGTAGTACATAGTAAAATGATAGTACCTCTGCGATCCGAGAGGGCTCCAAGGATTTCTCAATGTCACCAGCTACCCGGACCGTCGACAAGTAATCAGATGGCATTGTCCTGAATAGGATCGGTCCGAAGGACCTTATGAGCAGTGGTGACGCAAAGACATTTTGTTCGCCCGACAATGCGGGGGCCTGTAGTGCTTCTAGCACAAATTCCTTAAGGAGACCTATAGCGGCCGCCTGCATCTGAGGAAACTCCGCGTCGGATGCCAGTGTTATCAAGATCTGCTGCTGTAACACAGATGGTAGTCGCGCAAGAATCAGTGCAATCAGCCGAAGACTGAAGTGTCTGATAAATGGGTCAAGATGGGTGCTTGCCAAAGCGGGAAGAACTACGCATAGCGACGTAGCAAGTTCGGGTGGGAAGCTGGGCTGTGTGAGATTTTGCGTGACGGAACGAAAGATAAGGAACAGAGATTCGTCGAGGGCGAAATTCATCTGAATCGAAGTCGTAAGCATCGAATGCAACTTGGAGGGTAGATCTTTTGATAGAGGATAGCTTTCATCTTGGTGAGCAAGTATGATCAGAGAACTTATTGTCGGATCATCCAAGACATCTTGTGATGACACGTTCATTGCTCGAAGGGTAGTCTAATACCATTCAGAATTTATGACGTTCCATGGCTTCGCCGACTTACCAGTACGCTCATAATAGCCTGCTCCCCTTCTTGCCAGTCGGGTTCGATCGTCGAAGACACTGTAAGACGCGGATACTGCTTCTCGAAGGCTCTGGCGCATAACGATGCCCTAATGCACGATGCACACGCCAAAACAGTCGTGTCCAGAAGTAGTACGATAATTTTCTGCAAGTTCGTTAGTCTGCAAAGCTGTCTACCACGAATGTTGTAGACAAACCCTCGCCTCTGCAGCATCTGCTTCGCTGCCTGTTTTAATTATCCACATGTAGAATTCCTGCGACATGCGAGAGACCTCCACAAGTAATGAACGACCAATATCCTGCGTGAGGTTGCTTCCTATCGAAGAAACCGCTGAACTAACAGCGGAGACCAATGGTGAGACTACGCTCAACGCGGTTCTCTTTCCAAGAGTTAATCTTGGTACAGCTATGAAGTCCTGAGATATCAGCAATTGACAAACACCTGCAACATACTCACATTTTGTAGACGACACGAGAACGTTGATAAGACACTGGACAAGCCCAGGAACATGCTCCTCTTCAGCTCCATCTTCACAAGCTAGCTGTGTTATCTGTTCCAGGGTTTCTTGAATGACAATTAGTACCTCCTTCGAACTGCATTTTTCGGAAATTAGGATAATGAGGTCAACAGCCTCTTTACGGCGCCACCGAAGGAGACCAGGCAGGATGTCAAGGGGTTCCTGCAGGAGATCCATTGAGCTCCAAAATACGATAGAACATGTCACTTACAAGAAGGGCTGGACCACTGTGGTATTGAAGAATATTATCGTATACAGTCTTGAGAGATGGCTGGTGTGTTTCATCATCAACTGCAGCTGTTATCGTGGCGGAGATGCCTCTGCTGATTGCCTTTGAATCGCCTCAGACAAAAATTCAAACTATGATGCGAGGTTGAATGCCTCATCGTCAAGGTCAGGCGACAGTTGTAATGCCTTAAGCAACGTATCCTTGGAGTTTAGAGCCATTGATACGCTAGTTCATAGTTCGTAGTTGCGCCTGTTGCGGTCAGGATATCCAGAAATCATTGTGCTGGTTTGTATCTCCGACTCCCACGTTAGTGTAGGAGGCTCTTGTCGAACTCCGAAGACGTACTGCCAACTCTGCCGTTTGTCATGATGCCATGCTCGGCGTGCTGCGTTCATCCTTAGTACGCGTATGTTTGTCTCCAATGTCGTCCCGCTGCGTAGTTGATCGTATTAGACTGCACTATTGACATTGTAGACGGCATTCAGAGGGTCATGGCATTAATACAAGCGTCATTCATTAGCTGGATACAAGCAGCCCTATCTCCTGCTTCTTTGTATTCGATTTGCCCTGTCTATGATATCTAACGTGTTTCTCCGCACTCCATTCTCATAACTAGCGCCTAGAATTCCATTCGATGCGCGCATCGCATCTCCTGTCGCTCGTTCCCACTCAGCGTGACTCTCGAAGAAGTACGCGTGAAGACCAGGACTACGAATCATCATGAATAACAGAGCTCAGCGGGTCTGTTCAGCTCGCAAGTGGCCATAGTGTTGTCCCAAACACCTCGGGTTCTACGAATGGATCTCGTACGTTCTGTGCACACTCTGCCTGGCGCGCACGCGGACTCTTATTGATGCAATTCCACATATGTAGATGATGGCTGTGCCTTCGCTTGACTGTGCGGCATATTATGAACCTGCATCGCTCACTCGTCACAAACCCTCCCCGCCATCCGTTGATCTCAGCGACTTCGACTAGTGATGCTCGCATACTGCAATTAGGTGCACCCGTCATGGACCCGGGGTCCTCTTTCTTCTGTGGCTTCATTCCACCTCCGCTGGGGTTGTCATCCGTCCATCAAGATACTTTGTCCCTCGCGACTGTGATCGGCTGTGCTACCGACAAATCTAGCCACATTTCCCTATACAGTAGTCAAGCCAAAGTCTCTGTTCATGCTTATCTTGTATCAAATTCAAACAAGGAATTTGCAAAAAAAGTATGGATATGCTTACCAGGTGGTGTGTATTCGAATCGCGATAAAGGTGGTCGATACTGATAAAGATATAGATGTTCTCAAGCAGCTGTTCTCGGGTAAGAGGAGACAGCTTCAGTTACCACGACCCCAGACGGAAAAAGCAGGTGCATCAGGATCAAGTAATGATATTGAAAGCAGAGGTTCACGGCTGGACTCTCAAGATCATTTTAAAACTGCCATCAATCTCCACGGCTTGGACGACATACTTGTGGTGGTCCCGAACGTGCGAGATGTGGATGGAAGCCTCATCCCTCCATCAGAGTACTCAAAGCGATCGGAAAACTTTACTCCAGTGGCGGTGGAAGCCCTGTTGCGACTGCGGGTTCGATCGACGTATTGAGTACTTACTGAAGCACACATAGCTAGACTTTCCGGACCCTCAGAGGACAAGCGGTTCACAGGTTCACTCATATACCAGGCTTTTTTGAGGTCTGTTGGAGCTGAAGAAAGATGCTGTATCAAGTGTCTACGACATAGCGGGAGACGACAAAGAGAGGATGGTGACGAAGGGAGAATATTTTAATACCAAACTCTAACGAGGTCTCTGAACGGTGTTCTGCTGTTGACAGAGAGACAAAAACTTTGAAAGCTGTGTTGTACAAGAGCATCAATGAGCTCGAGCGTCGTGCTAAAATGGAGTCGGGGAGTGGGCGCGTACTAATAGTACAATGAGCTTACGCAAATTGCAATGTAGACATAGTACTGGCCGCCACATCAAAGCAACATAACTTTGCAACACCATCATCAACCACTTACATAGTCCCAATCACACTCTTGAACTCCAATTACTGCAGTTCGGCTTGAAGGTGGACGACTTGACGTCTCCTCATAGCCGGCAGACACGGCGCGAGGTGATACCGGTACCCAGGTGTTGCACACCGTCGTTTGTCCCACAACGACACGCACCGTCACCTCACGTTTCGACAATCCCTTCCTCGTGTCCTACTTTTTTTTTTTTTCTTTTTTTTTTTGTATCCTTGTTTATTGTCTGGTGGGGCGATGCCCTATAGTAGACAACACCTACAGTATGTACCTGTTTCTAATTACGCTATGTATTTGAATGACTTTGCTAATGGTCCCGGCGGTTAGGCGAGGACTGGGACACCAACTGAAGGCGAGTGATGATGGGTGGGTCAAGCGATGTTCTGCTTGACGCTGGTTCTGTCATTGTTCATGTTGTGTTCTTGGGTGGGGTTACATCTCCGAAAACTTGTTCCAGCCTTCTAGTTCATGCGATGTAACAGAACAATGGTTTAATGAAGTCATGGTTGTTGAGGAGCATGTGAAGTTGACTTATGTTGGTGCCCGCTTCTTGGCGTAGTGCTGCTTGTTGATGTGCGTATCTTGGACATGTGAGTAGGAAGTGTTTGACAGTTTCTTCGTGTTCGTTGCACTACAGGCATCGTGCAGTAGGAGATTTGGATATTCGGTGGAGGTATTTGTTGAGGGGGGCATGACCTGTGCAGAGTTGAAACAGGAGGGAGCAGAGGCATTGAGGAAAGTCTTCAATAAGGTTGGCAAAATGATCTGATGGCATGGAGGGATCAATTGTGCATATTCTGTCATAATGCAGCGAGTCTTGCATTGTTGCTTTCACTTTGTCTTTGATGAAGTCTTTGAATTTCTGTTTTGCGATGGCCTTGCTGCGGGGTAGAATAGCCGGCATGCGTGTTTGGGCCTTCCCTTTCAATGATCTTGGGGGATGGGCTGTCTCTGAGGCTTCACCTCTCGCTGCGTGCTTGGCTTGTACGTCTGCTGCTTCGTTTCCTGCTATGCCCTTGTGACCAGGGGTCCACTGAATTGTGAGCTTTCATCTGTCCGCGTTGGGTAGGAGGGATCTGAGGTCGTCTAGGAACTTGTCGACAAGATAGTGACCTGGTTGGGATTGGAATGCGCTTGTTGATCTGATTGTGGCCTGGTTGTCCACTCCTAGTGCCATGGTGCCTTTTCCTCCTGCCTCTCTCAACAACTCGACTGCTAGGATCATCCCCACTATTTCTGCTTCGTACACTGTGTGATCCTCCTCCTTTCCCAGGTAGAATCGTCTCTCGCTGAGCATAACTCCCCCTCTCATCAATACCGATGCGCCTCCCACTCCCCCGTCTATTGCCGACCCGTCCGAGTACACCCTAAGATCTTTGCTTGCTTCCTCCTCCTCTCTTGCTGCATCTTTCTCCTTGCTTGCGATGCTGATAGCTACATCTGGTTCCCATTTGGTGGAGTGTCTTGCTGGTAGGATCTTCTCCATTGTTGCTGGGTCCATCTTGAATTCATTGAAGAGTCTGTGCAGTGGGGAAGGGTGTCTCTTGTGGCCCTCGTAGTTCCTTTTCTTGCAGAAATTGGACGCCGCCGTTATGTGCTTTGACAGCGGGTGGGATTCTGGAAGGGTGGACATTCTGAGAGTGGCTCTGTAGCACGTATAGCGTAGGACCTGTTGGAAAGGGAGAACATTAGCGTGGCTGTCTAACATGTCAGATGTGGATGAATGAAGGCCCCCTGTTATGTTTAGTGTTGCCATTCTCTGGATGCGAGCCATTTGGGAGGCAAAACTCCTTGTGCCTCTTCCTCCTTTCTTGCCTCTTCCCTTCGACACCAGGTTTGCGCACCATATGTCCGTTGTGTATAACATCTTGGGGAGGACTACACATTTGTATAGTCGGTTCATGAGTCTTCCATGGATGCCTTTAGTCGGTTTGATCATGTGGTTGCATGCCATGACATATTTGGTGCCTTTTGCCATGGTGTGAGTGGCATGTTCCTTGAAGTTGAGGTCTTGGTCTATGATTACTCCTAGGAACTTGTGGGACTTCGACAGGTGGATGTTGTGTCCTTGGATGACTATGGGCGGATGGGGGAGACAGTCTTGCGAAGGTTGTTTTCATCTGGTATGTGTTGCTTAGTCAGGCAGATGAGTGCAGTTTTATCTAGCTCAAACTCAGTGTGGTGTGTTCTGCTCCATTTGAGAGCGCTGTTTTCCTTTTCCATCATGTGGGTGAGCTTGCCGTGTGCTTCATTGTACATTTTTCTGTTTGCTGCCAGAGCGACATCGTTGAGGAAACCTAAGCTGAGCTCTCCGCTGCGGGTCTGTGTGTTAGCTACTCTTAGTACATCTGAGTTGTAGAATATGAAGCCTAGTGGTGATAGAGGGCATCCCTGGTCAACACCTCCTTGAACATTGAATGGGTCAGATTGAAAATCATCAAAGATGAGGCATGTGTTGCAGCTGTTAAGTTGTCTATCATACCATTCTGTGTATTCCTTTGGGATGCCCGCTGTCCGTAGGTTGTGTAGTAGTCTGCTCACGACCATGCTCAGGAATGCGGCCTTGATGTCTAGGAAGAGCAGGGAGACAAATTTGTTCTTGGAGGCCCAGGAATCTGTGATGAACTTGGTGAGCAGGTGTAGCGAGTCTGAGGTGGATCGGCCTGGTCTGCCTCCAAAATGGGTGGAAGGGAGTAGGTTGTGTTGTTCTGAAATGAATGTCAGATCATTGACTACACAAGATGAAAGGATCTTAGCCATGGTGTCGAGTAGCATTATTGGTCGGTACACTTTTGGAGCGCTGTAGTCTGGCCGGCTGGGTTTCCTCAGAACAATTGTTGTAGATTGCTTCCATCTGTCTGGGTAGATGCCTAGTGAAAAGGTTGCTTGGAAGATTGGTGCCATGTATGGTACTAATAGGTGTGCGTTCTTTGTGAAGACTACATTGCTTATGCCATTCGGTCCTGGGGCCTTGTATGGGGAGAGGCGCTTGATCGCTCTGTGAACTTGCTGGTTTGTGATCGGGGAGAACTCGCACACTGGAGGGGGGTATTTGTAGTCTGGGTCTAGATAATTGTTAGCTGGTGGGGGGCAAAAAAATATCTCATAGAGCAATTTGCTCTTCCTTGTGTTGTGTTTTTTGGGTTGGCTGTTGGGTCCTGAAGTGTCTTGATGTGGGTGTGTATTTGATCTGTTGAGTTGCTTGCTGCGTATCTGTGAAAGGACCACATGTCCGTTAGTGTTAGCGATTTGAGCCATTCTGTCCAGTGTTCTTCCTTTGCTTTTCTGATACTTTCCGAGAATTTGTTCCTAGCTACTCTGTATTCCTTGTGTATTGGGTCCTGTCATCTTGCAAGTTTGGTGTGAGATTTGTGTGCCAATTTGTGTACAGCTTTGCATTCCTTGTCTAAGGTTTTGGACCACCAGCGCTTTGAGTATGGGAACAGTTTTGATTTCGGTACACATTTCATGGCCATTTCTTCTATGGCGTTGGTGAGGTTGGTGTAAAGAGTAGATCTGGGCTGGGCTCTACTGAATGTGAGTCCCTAGTCCTGAGAGATGCGAGTATGCTTCGTCCCAAGAGACAACCTAAGAACTACCTTGATAATGCAAGGGAAGTCTTATACAGTTAGAGAGTAGACAAGATATTGGAAGAAAACCTCTTTAATGTTCGTCCGTAGTTCCGAGACTACTTCCGAAGTACCAAGAAACTTGTCCGAGGCTGCGAAGGTGTTGTCCAAAGTAGCACGATGCCTTCCGAGGCTTGTGAAGGCTGTCCGAAGGTCTATATATGTCGGTGTGTCGATGTGTCGGTATGTCGGTGTGTTGAATAACAGTATAAGACTTTGCGCAACGTCCGAAGTCCGGAACAACACTAATCTATCGGGACTTGAGAATAAACGAAGTGCGAAATTGGCAGCGGTCTAGCCAGATAATCATTCTGAATGGACAAGGATCAATTGTGCAGTTTACGATTATACCGAGGTGACTCTACTAATTACTATTCGAAGTACGGGAAGTGAAGTGTCCTATCAGTAGCCAGCGAGCAAGATTATATCCTACTTCCGTGAGAGGCTGGAATCCATAGGCGAAACTAGTAGCAAGATAAGCAAGTCCGAACCTATGTAATAAGCCGCCATGTGTACTGCTTATACATATTCCGAGACTCCCGACAGGATGCCGATGTTATCCGTGTAGCACTAAGACGTAGTCAACATATAGTTAGAATAAAGGAAAATGCACCAGCGAAGTCAAAAGGACGAGGATAGGACATGGTATGGTAACTTGCGAGGTTTGGACGGGTCTCGGAACACGAGAACTGCCTGCAGAAAGTTCGGACAAGTGCGCGCGGCCTTCGGAAGGTCAAGGGAGGTCGGGGAATGGTATGACGTAGGTGTTGGATTGCCTGGTTCTGAGCCCAGCGCCGTGACCATTGTTACATTGGCGAAAGCTTTGTTGAATTGGTCAGCTGTGGTGATCTCCATCGGGGGCGGGTTGCGACTGAAGTGTGCGGCTAGTTCGTCTTTGAATTCTTCCCAGTCTACTTGATGGTAGTTGTATCTGGGGATAGGCGGCGAGTGTTCTGGTCGGAGGTCAAATATACTAACTACTGGGAAGTGGTTTGTTACGACTGGTCGGAGGTGATATTCTACCTTGCAGCTTATGATGTTGTTTGCGAGTCCTGGGGTGCAGAAGACATTGTCTGGTCGGGTGAGGTTTTTGGTGTTCAAGGCTTCTAGGGTGGCTATCGCTGGCAGGAGTATCTGTACAAGGTTATATATAGATATTAGATTTATTAACAGGCCCGCCACGTCTAGGTTGGCTGCAGTGAATAATCGGCCATTATGAGGCATCTCCCACATGGGGTGGTGGCAATTGAAGTCACCTAACCATATTATATGTTCTGTTGTGTATTGTTGTCCGCCTTGAGCGGTTCTGTGCGTATTGCTTTCTGTGGCCATGTGCCTTTCGAGAAAGTGTATTGTGCGATCACTGTCACACGGATTATATATGTTGTATATACACACCTTTCCGAATGGGCCTGTGAGTTCGAGAGCCATTATGTTTGGTGATTTAATTGGTACAATGTGCCAGTTGTTTTTCAAGAGACATTTATTTACGAGGATGATTACTTGAGTGTGGTCGGGTGTATTGTTGTGATCCGTGGGGTATATTACATCCCAGTAAGCTCTGAGGTTTGATGTGTTAGCTAGGTTGACAGGGTTTAGAAAAGGTTCTTGGATGCATGCTATGTCGTATTCGTTAGCATTGAGGTTCCTTAACATGTGCTCCCAGGCACGAGATGACTTTCGAAGGTTTTGTTGGCAGATCCTGAGGTCGTCCCATGGTGCGTTGTTGTTAGGGTTGTCTGTCATTAGTTCCATCCTGTGGTGAGTGCTGATCTGTCTGGGATTAGTATGTCTTCGATTGGTGGCGGCGTTGGTGACCAGTATCTTGAGGAGTCCTTGTCAGATGGGGTTGGGGATGAGAAGGTGTTGCGGGTGTCGTGAGGTTGTTGTTGCTGCGTTTTCTGGGTGGGGTTTGGCCAGTTGTCAGTGAGTCGAGTTTGCGTTTGAGTCTTGGGTCCCAGGGGTATGTTGTTGTGGTTTCTGAGGTGTGAAGGAGAGCTGTTGCGGTGGTCGGTGTCTACTGTGCATCTTTCTTGTTGGTTTTTTTGAGGTGAGGGATATCCAGTGTTCTGCTGTGTGGGAGGAGTTTCGTTAGTAAGGTTTGGGGGAGGAGCGTCTTCCCAGTTTGAGTAGGCTTCGGGGAGTGTTTCCCAGGTTAGTGGGTCTTTGGTAGGGAAGTAGATATACTTATTCTCCGTATTTCTGTCCTTGTGAGCCTCCCATTTCTTGACAAAGGTTGGGCAGTCCCTGCTCCATGCAGCATGTTCGTGTTCTTTGCAATTGATGCAATAGTACAACGTTGGATCTGTGACTGAACAGGTGTTGGTGCGGTGGTCCTCTCCACATGTTCCGCAGGTGTCTTTTTCTTGTTGGCAGTCTGTTGCTAGGTGGTTGCCGTCAAAAGAGTGGCATCGTAGACATCTGGTCGGTTCTGGGAGTAGTTTACATTCATAAACTTTCTTTCCATCGACCGACAGGCCGAATCTGATTGCTTGGTTTGCTCCTACCTTTGTGGTGAAAGTGATGGCGATGTGGGCTGTTTGTTGGTTGGGGCTGTGGCGTTCTATTGGTTTGATGTACCTGGCTTTGGTTATGGTGCGCTGTGGGAGGCCGGCCTTTTTCTCTATGTCCGCTAAAGCTGCTGGGTTGTTGGGGACAAATGAGATTGGTACGTTTTCCATTAGAATGTGGAAGGATCTGTCTTTGATTGCTACATTAGTACCATAGAATTCTAGAAAGTTACTCTTGTTGGCAGGGGTGTTAAACCATTCAGCTGACTCCTTGGTGTTGAGTTCATAGAGAATTCCTCCATGCGGAAGCCTTCTCGCTGAAACAAAGGAGAGGTCTTGTGGGTATTCGATGTTCTGTTGAGTCATTAGTTCTAGGGCCATGGACGCCTTTGTGACCAGCTGGGACTCTGTTAGGTCTCTGAGAAAATTGGGGGACAGGAGGGATCTTCTGTCAATGAGTATTTGATGTGTTTGAGCTTCATTGTGGGTGAGAATTTTGGTCAGTTGAGCAGGAGTTCCTGCTTTGATCGCATCTGCATAAGTTCTAGGTCCTCCAGACCCTCTGAGCTCTGTTTGCAGCCTTGATTGTTGGTTAGTCTTTTGGATCGCTGATTCTAGTGCTTTCTCTATTCCTTCTGGGGACATATTCATTTGATTGTGTACCTCTTTTACCGTTTCTTCCATGGTTGTCTTCTGCATTTCTACAAGTTGTGTTAGTGCCTTGACATTGTTTTCTAGTTTTTCAATTGGGTTTTTGATTAGTGAGTCGACTTTGGTTAGTATGTTGTTTATGTCACAGGTTTGGCTGGCCTCGTGGAGGATGAATGCAAAGGACCATAGTATTTCTGTGAGGGTGGCTCCTGTGTTAGGGGTCAAGCTCAGTTCAAATAGGGCTGCTGTGATCTCTTTGAGTGCATTTCCTGCTACTGGGATGGTGAGGCCGTGGGTGGTGAGGAGTTTTCTTGCTGTTGCAGTGCTGCTGATGTCAGTTTGAGTCCCGGTGCCTATAGCGTGGTCTTCTAGGCTCTTACTGAACGACAGCAATGGTTTACTGGCTGTTGTTTTCCAGCTTGTTCTGGTTGTGATGCCTGTGGGAGCCATTGGAGTCAGGCTGGGGGCGCCGCTTGGGGCCATTGGTGCTGCTTGGCTGGTGGCGGGTGCAGATAATCTAGGTGATATTAGTTAGTGGGTAATGGTAGAGGATAGCTGAAGGTTTGGTGGCGCCTTGAGGCGTCGAGTGCGCTGTGAGGCGCAGTGTTGGAGTTTGAGTTCCGGGGTCCTTGTCGGGGTGCCACTTGGTACGGGTCCAAGAAACGATACTCGTGTCTTATATCAACTTGAAGTACCAAAATCGGCTTCTGCTTCTCCATAAACGTGGCCTTGTATTTCAACATACAAAATGCGTAGCGTTTACCTTAATTTCATCTTCCATTCTTCTCCTTCCCCTACCGGTTCTCTATAGAAAACCTCGCCACATCATTATTCTCAGTGATACCTTTCTAGATTCGTACATCTCGTCGCCCCCGTATACGAAGACCCCGAGAACAACCAACTTCCCATTCTAGAAGCAAAACTCTTTTACGTGGTCTTGGCTGAGCACCATAAACCGGATTCATTCTCAAATTCAAAAAGTCCGTCTTTTATGCTGTCTTCAGCGTAAACGACAGTTTGGCAACTCAGGAGAAACACGTTGTTCTTTCTTGATTATCGCTGGTAAAGCGACGACAACTGATTATCGTCATCCCATCTACTGATTCCATTGTTCATCTCCAATATATTTCGTCGTCAACATGCTGTTCATTGCCACGTTAAGGGTGGATTTAAAGGAAATGTGGAATCAAGTACCCGCTGATCGCAGGCTGACCTATATATTCTGCCAAGGAAAAATATAGAGAGAGATGATGACAGGGATTCCCCCCCACTGTTGCGGAACTGCCAGAAAGGGAGGTAACCATTTTGTCACGGTACGCGTATGAGAATAACCTTTATCGGCGACATGATAACAGAATTCTGGGACATGGGGTATGGGAAGGATGACTAAGGGCGTGGTCCGGGACACGCTATGCGACGATTCCGGGTAGCGCTTGCTTGCTGCGTGTCTCAACCAGTGGAGGCTGATGCACGGGGAGAAAGCCAGGGATGTTAGCGTTGATGATGGCCTGTGGTACAGCGGTCAGGGCAATCTGGGGTAGGCTCAGGGACATGCTGCCCGCCCATGTTACCAGGAAATTCCCGCGCTACGTCTGCGTGTTCCAGAGCCTCTTTCCTGTGGTCGCTCAGAGCGCCCAACCTTATAAGGTAAATATATGCTGGTATAGTTGCAGTGATGAGGTCGCTTCCTGATGCCCTTTGGGATCCACGGCATCTCTCATGTAATTATTAACAATGTGTCAGACTCTCAGCTATTCTCAACAAGTCTTCATATAAATGGTTTTCTGCAGAACGTTCGAAATTCGCACCGTTGAATACCATCCCTCCAATCATCCATGTCCTCTTCAGAATCTGCACCACTGCTCGGAAACGGTTGTTATACAGAACATGGTAGAAACCTTCCCTTTCAAACTCTCAACTGCATGAAAGGCGAGGGTGCCGGTGAGCCATCATGGGAAGAATCGTTCAAGTTCTTTATTTTTGGGTCATGGCTCAATATCCTACTCATATTTGTACCTCTGAGCGTCATCTCACACAACATGAACTGGGACGGTGGCCTTGTATTTTTGTTTAGCTTTATGGCCATCATACCCTTGTCTAGGGTGGCAACTACTCCTGTTATCACCCTCTTGGAAGACTAACATCGTCTTTTTTAGCTGTTGGGCGAGGCAACAGACCAGTTGTCGGTCAAATTAGGAGAAACTATGTCGGGTCTCCTCAATGCATCCTTTGGGAATGCGGTAGAAATTATCGTCGGCGTTGCTGCTTTACTCAATGGTTTGTCCATCGCTCCGAAGTGGTTTGCAAATACTCACGATGATCCTACCAGGTCAACTACGAATTGTTCAGATGTCTGTGAGTGTCTTCACACGGTCACTATTTGCGATAGAATGACCTTGAGCCAGATGATTGGATCGATATTGTCAAACATATTGTTCGTCCTTGGTTGTTCGTTTTTCGCCGGTAAGGGACCTCTGGTTTTGATGGAGGATAATCGATAAGGGCTCACTCGTTATAGGTGGATTATATCATACACAAGGATTGTTTAATGGTACTGGAGCTCAGGCGTGCGTTCCATGTTTTTCTGCCCTTGAAATTCTTGGTTGAATTTCAATAATTTTATAGATCTGCATCCGTAAGTTATCTTACTGATCCATCACAATGATAACCAACCAAGTCTAGCTTATGACGCTGTCATGCATCAGTATGATCGTGTTCTTGAACTTGAGAGTTTCGCTGATATTTCACAGCACTTGTTGTTCCTGCGGCCTATACAAGTACCACAGAAACTGGAATGGAGAATCATTGTGGTGATCCGGATAAATGTCCCACTGCGGGTCTTCTCTTTATCTCCAGAGGAACCGCCATATTGCTCCTAGGGGTGTACTGTGCCTACCTTTGGTTCCAGGCATGTTCTAATACCTTATCTCGTCAGTGTACTCATACAAAGGTCTAGTTAAAATCTCATCCCAATCTCTTCATTGCTCCTTCACCTAAGGATGAACAAAACAGTGATATAACGGCGGCATCGTCGGAAACGGACGAAACGGAACCTCGCATGGGAACAGCCGCTGCTGGTGTTGCGTCAGTTATTTCGTCATTCATCACATCGAGTGCTCATCCTTGTTTGTTAGACTTGTATTGGTCACTGTCGTCATCGCATTTTGTGCTGAGTATCGTAAGTGCCCCACTTTGTTCCTTTGGCCTTATGTTCAATTATTATGCCAGTGATCACCTCCATTGAAGAAACTACAGCCCGCTATTCCATCTCGAAGGCCTTTATTGGTGTTATTTTGTTGCCAATCGTGGTATGTTTCAAGCTGTATCCGGCTGACTGCCTACCAACATCGTATGTAGGGAAATGCCGCAGATCATCTCACTGCAGTCTGGATGGCAACGAAGAATAAATACGAGCTTACCATCACCATTTGCGTTGGGAGTTCGATTGTATGTGTAGATCGTTTATCATGAGATTATGATTGTACTGAATGTTGGACAGCAAATTGCCTGCCTCGTAGTGCCGCTTCTTGTGATCGTGGGTTGGATGTACGATTATATGTTGCATCTCGCGATGTGTTCTCACTATCCTTTTCGTTAGCGTTGACCAGCCCCTGACGTTGCACTTCCACAACTTCGAGGTCTGTTTATTCAATATTACGTGTCATTACCTGAGTTTCTAACGAACCCTCAGACAATCATCTTCTTTGTATCTGTCTGCCTGGTCAATCTATTGCTCATGTCAGTTTCTCTTTTATCGCATGGCAGTTTCCATCTTGTCGAGACTTACCTCGCTTGTTTCAGGGATGGAAAAGCCAACTATCTCGAAGGTCTTATGCTTCTTAGCCTCTACTTTGTCATCGTACTCGCATGTAAGTTGCCCATTGAACCCTTTAATCATATCCTCATTGCCACTAGTCTGGGTGGCTTGAGATACCATCGATGACATGGAAGACACAACACACAAGTATCGGTACCATCCAGAACCGCGGCAACACCCTGATGGCTGCCAATATGTTTCATAATGATACAAGACTTGAATCAAGATTTTGACGTTCGGTGATGTTTATACCTATCTTGAGAGCCTCATAGACACACATACGTATTCATCGCTCGCAGCAGGTGCCACATATCCAAGTACTTGGAGTAGCCATGCATACAGCGACTCGTAATTATTACCTACGCATTGAAACATTAATGATCCTTCTTGGTGGCCACGTAATACCCAATCGATGGGATATATTTAGGCTTGGCATTTGTGTCGACCGAGATTCCAACTTACATTGCATAAAAGACGCCTGAATATTTGTTCGCAATGTGAATGCGACTGGGCATAGCCGCCGCCATAGCGTGCTGCAGTTTGCAAGTCTCGATAAGAGTACGAACAATGGAAGCAGAACGCGCGAATATGACTGAATTCAGTCACTACCGTGACAGCTTCCCATCGCGTTGCAAGTTTCCTGTGCTCCATTTCTGCCTAATCAGCAGCTCTGCCTGGGGGAACGATGACCTAGATTGTCCGATAATACATCACAAGATTCGTTTCAATCAAGCGCAGCACTTCTTCCTACAGAGAGATAACCTCGTGCGTATCTGGATGTGCACCTTGGTGATGGTAGTAGAACGTGAGAGAAACCGCCAAATTGTTCAAGCATTCAGTATAATCAGAAGGTTTCTGGGGACACAGAGGAATGACTTCACGACGACCTTGTATGTTCTCGTTTATAGCATTATCGAAAGTGTGCTTCTACTATCTGTGTAAGTTCGCGAAGGGCCCTGGGACGCTGTCAATATTGATAGTCTGAAGGATAGGGCTGAGAAGGTGAATGCTTTTGTCGCAACATTGCAGAGAGTAGCTTCGTGGTCAGGGTGGCCGACTGGATTGCACAGCAAAGTTCAGGTGCGAGACCCCCACTCTTGCTCCTCGTGTATTCGGAAAATCATACATGACCTGCATGCCAGATCTGTACACAGTACAAATGAATATTAGCAGCATCGTGTCATTGTCCAGTACAACGACACACCCATAACCAGCCCCCTCACCAAGCCGCCGTTCAACAAGTTTCATGTGTACAAGAAACAACAACTCGCCGTTCGTGTAAATGGATGTCGGGGACATATATTTTGTTCATGCCGCCTGCATTTAAACTCGTATAGTAATAGTGTTAGTAAGTTCAATTTCATTCATTGAACATGGCTGCAAAAATTACTGTCACTGACTGGGGGGTGTCAAGCCAGTATCAGGCTCATTTGACGACAGAGTCCATGCGTTGTCTCGGTGACTGCGTCAATTCCTTCATACTCTAGCTAGGTTGCCTTGACTTGAGTGGTATTGAGTTAGCCTTAACTGTTCGAAAAAAAGTTGGAGAGAAGACTTTGAAAGATTTGGGAGTGCGATATCCACACACAGCAACACCCACTGTACGGTTGGAAGTGATGATCGAGGCAACATGTGCATGATCGCTCGGTACCGAACAAAGCAGAATCTTCAATAGTCAAGCTAAGCTCAAGATCAACTTTAAAGTCTCCTCAACGGTTGGCAACAAACAGTACTACTGGCACATACTTTGGCCTGGGAATGCTAAGTACGTAATAAATTATCATCATTAATATTATTTACAGTAATTAAACTCTACCGTCTCAAAAAACCAAGTCAAACGACTGTCACTGGCAGTCTACAACAAGCTAGAAGTTGCTGCTTTTCCACTTGTGTGAATGATCTCAACAAGTTTTATTAACACAGGTTGCTTCGGCTCTGCAAATTGTAGATTCTGGTTCAAGCAATCATGTTGATGACATGCCCGCCACCGTCACGACCGCCGCAGAGTCGCAGACTAACTAGTACATATATCCCTCGAAAGCCATGGCAAGTATAAACGCTATGGACCACTTCGTCGATTTCAGCCAAGTCAGGGAAACCCGACCTTGTCGGTCAACAGATTAAGTACTTGCAATATATCAGAAGATGAAGACAAACCAAACCGTGTTGGGCACGTAGGTGTGCTTCCAACTTGCTATATCCTTTCTAGATGGCACTTTACCTCGGAGGTTCGTAGCCTCGGGCGCCTTTCATGCAGGCCCGACTCGGAATGTCGGTCAACACAAATACCATGACTAAATATATCCCTTCGATTGGGGATTCGGTGCCCCCGCCGAGGGGGTCCACCGAGGGTCATGAATGTTTAAACGTGTAAGTAATGATTAGGAGTCGCTGTATGCATGGCTACTCCAAGTACTTATATTGATGTGGCACCTACTGCAGGCGATGACTACGTATTATCGGGGCGTGGCCACGGTACTAGATGGTACCAAGACTTGTCTATTCTGTGTCTTCCATGCATCCCAGACGCGGGGAAGGACAGGCCAAATGACGAGTCCCCTCGGGTTTCTCGCAACACCGTGGATCGGACAGCTCGGCGTATCGAAATTTGCAGCAAAATTTCTCGGACCAAGAGGCAAGCTCGATCGATTGTGCCCACGTGATGGCCCAATTAATACTGGAGGCGAGTTCCAATTACAATGTAAGACGTTGGCCTAGGCAAGTACACCGTCGGCATCCGCTCAAGGTATTTTGCCGACACAGCGGGCTTCGGTGACTGCAATGAGATTCCGAAATCAAAGGGTCTATCTGCGGGTATAAAATCCAGCAGTTCTGTCTACTCTCCCTCAGCTCAAGTCGCCCATCAGCTCCTTGAATACCCACCGCCCAAAATCATCGCTCAGCCAAAGTTTGCCTTTCAGTCTTGCACAATGTTTATTCGTCTCTTGTCCACCATATCTCTCTGCCTTCTCGCAATCGCCAATCCCCTTGCTCACCGCGACACAAGCGGCCAGTGCAACACGGGCAACATCCAATGTTGTCAAAGGACTCAGACAGTGAGTTTAATAGCGCTAAGTATCCCTTGTAAATCATGCTTAAAATTCAACAATAGGTCGATGAGTACAATAAGAACGCGACGGCACATGGAGCGATTCCCATTGACGCCGACATCCTCGGTCATGTCGGTCTTTACTGCTCCCCGATCTCTGTTATCGGTGCTGGTGCTGGCGCAACCTGTTCTCAGGAGCCCCTCTGCTGCAGCGACAATCAATACGTAAGTCGCATATTCAGCCTTTGTCTCATTTCAGATCTCTCAAAGTTACCTCCGCAGTACGGGCTCATCAACATCGGCTGCACGCCCATCAACATCAACATTAAGTGAGCTTTGGATGTAGTAGCAGAATGCAATGCGGAAGATGAGCTATGGACAGTGAATGTTAGTATGTTACCGTTTTGTTCAGGCTTGAAGATGTTCGGTATTAGCAATTTATCGATCATGATGTTCTTTGTGTCGAGTTAACTGACAGCCACTGCTCTGTCAATACGAAGAACTCTTGTTTTGACCTGTCTGATTATCCTCTACGGGCTCTGCCGTCAAAAATTCAATTAATCACGTCTCATACTGGAGTTTAAAAAATTTGAGGCTGCGTCGTGCAATGAAAATTGTCTCACAGCTCGCATTCATCATCACATTGCGAAAAACCAAAAACTCTACAGCTTCTTCATTTTACAGGGATTCAATAGACGTTATTTCCTTTTGCATCAAGACTGTACAGTACTGCAGCTGTTTGACCCCTGACCTGGTGTTGACTTTCTTGAACACCTTCCAGGCTAATTTGATTTCAGCATATGTTTATTTCCAGAACATGAGACTCGCTTATAATTATACGCAACTACATTTGATGCGTGCCAAGGTCTAACTCTCCTGCACTGTTGTTGATCACGACCAAAACAGGAAGACAGGTTATCTTACACATCACCCCTCACATTTGCATAATAATGAAACTACGTATGATACTACTACTTCTCTTCGACGAAGTAATGCAATCGAGTATATGTACATACATGTTTAGTGCCGCAGAGATAAATAGGTGTCGCCGAAATAAATAGGTAGTGCAGGAGGAAATAGATGGCGCAGAAATTGACTTACTAGCAGTCGCAAACATGTACCGCCAATAATCAATGGTATGTCAGGCTACCCAAACTAGTGGCGATGAGAATGTGATTAAAAGTCTCAATGGGCAACTTACATGCAAGTGCGATGACCAAGTAGAGGGTAATGAGCATGAGACCTTCCAGATAATTGGCATTTCCATACCTGAAACAAGCGAGGTAAATCTCGACGAAAGGGAAACTGTCATGTGGTAAAGGGGAAACTGACATGAGCAATAGATTGACCAGGAATACAGATACAAAGAGCATGACTGTCTGAAGGTTCGTTAGAAACTTGGGTGATGACGTAGAATACACAGACCTCGAAGTTGTGGAAGTGCAACGTCAGGGGTTGGTCAACGCTAACGAAAAGGATAGTGAGAACAACGACTCGTGAGATGCTATATAATCGTACATCCAACCGACGATCACAAGAAGTGGCACTACGAAGCAGGCAATTTGCTGTCCGACATTCAGTAAAATCATAATCTCATGATAAACGATCTACACTTACAATCGAACTCCAACGCAAATGGTGATGGTGAGCTCGCATTTACTCTTCGTTGCCATCCAGACTGCAGTGAGATGGTCTGCGGCATTTCCCTATATACGATGTTGGCAAGCAGTCAGTCAGATGCAACTTGAAACATACCACGATCGGCAACAAGATAACACCAATGAAGGCCTTTGAGATGGAATATCGGGCCATAGTTTCTTCGATGGAGGTGATCACTGGCATAATTGAACATAAGACCAAGGGAACAAAGTGGGGGGCTTACAATACTCAGCACAAAATGTGATGACGACAGTGACCAATAAAAGTCTAACGTACGAGAATGAGCACCCGACGTAACAAATGACGAAACAAAGCTGACGCAACACCGGCAGCGGCCGTTCCCATGCGACGTGTTTCGTCCGTTTCCGCCAATGCCACTGTTACATCACTGTTTTGTTCATCCTTAGGTGAAGGCGCGATGAAGAGATTGGGATGAGATTTTAACTAGACCCTTGCATGAGTACACTGATGAAATAAGGTACTAGAACATGCCTGAAACCAGAGGTAGGCACAGTATACCCCTAGGAGCAACATGGCAGTTCCTCTGGAGATGAAGAGAAGACCCGCAGCGAGACATGCATCAAGATCACTGCAATAATTCTCCATTCCAGCTTTTGTGGTACTTGCATAGGCCGCAGGAACAACAAGCGCTGTGAAATATTAGCGAAACTTTCAAGTTCAAGAACATAAACGTACTGATGCACAACAGAGTCATAAGCTAGACTTGATTGGTTATCATTGTGATGGATCAGTAAGATAACTTACGGAGACAGATCTAAAAAAATATTGCAATTCAACCAAGGATTTCAAGGGCAGAAAAACATAGGACGCACGCCTGAGCTCCAGTACCATTGAAAAATCCTTGTATGATATAATCCACCTATAACGAATGAGCCCAAAACCAGAGGTCCCTTACCGGCAAGAAACGAACAACCAAGGACGAGTAACATGTTTGACAATATCGATCCAATCATCTGACTCAAGGTCATTCTATCGCAAATAGTGACCGTATGAAGACACTCACAGACATCTGAACAATTCGTAGTTGACCTGGTAGGATCATCGTGAGTATTTGCAAACCACTTCGGAGCGATGGACAAACCATTGAGTAAAGCAGCAACGCCGACGATAATTTCTACCGCATTCCCAAAGGATGCATTGAGGAGGCCCGACATATTTTCTCCTAACTCGACCGACAACTGATCTGTCGCCTCGCCTAATAGCTAAAACGACGATGTTAGTCTTCCAAGAGGGTGATAACAGGAGTAGTTGCCACCCTAGACAAGGGCACGATGGCCATAAAGCTAAACAAAAATACAAGGCCACCGTCCCAGTCCATGTTGTGTGAGATGACGCTCAGAGGTACAAATATGAGTAGGATATTGAGCCATGACCCAAAAATAAAGAACTTGAACGATTCTTCCCATGATGGCTCTCCCTCGCCTTTCATGAAGTTGACAACGCGACGAGCAAAAGGGAGGTTTCTATGACCTGTGTGGCCACCGTTTCCGAGTAATGGTGCAGATTCTGAAGGGGTCATAGATGATCGGAGGGGTGTGATTGATGGGGTGAACGTTCTGCAAAAAACCACTTATATGTAGCACCAACTGTGACACTCGTCTTGAGAGACACATGAGAGCGATGCTTTTGGAATAGTTCAGGGACACTCACGTACAGAGCCATACTCTAGACCTACTCTCTACAAGTGATATCATGTGACCAAACTTGTCACGGACCCTTTGGTCAATTTTTGGCTCGTTGATCAGCTCTACTTCGTCAACTGATCAGAACGAGCGCTTAAGTGAGAAGGTAAGCGCTCATCACAGCATTTTCAAGCAAAGACTTCATGTGTCTGTACGATATGCCGCAGCCTCATCGGAGAACGTCGTTTACGACCAACTGACATCTGTTTTCGTTTCACGCTGCCCAATGTTCATTGTCATTACTAAATGCCATTAACTGCACAAGAAAGAGCTGCTCTGAAATCCCTACCCAAGCGTATCCAGGTAAATCATATTTTTGAATCTCCTGCGTCATCCCGGACGATGTCAACTAGCTTTTTTCAGCGCTCAACAGAAGGAGCCCTTGAAGGCGTGGTGCATAATGTCCGCAAACTCCACCATTGGGTTGAGAATTCCACCGATGTCGAGGCGAACATGGCTTTGCTCCCCATCTTTTACACTCATCTGGACCCAGCTGTGATCCCCGATCAACTTCTACCGACCGATGATGTCCAGAAAGTCATCACACTGGCTAAATTATCATTGATGAGTATCGTACAAACGTGTGCTAGCGTGCGTGGAGTTTTCAGCGAAAGTCTCGCGGACAAGATGATTACAGATGCACTAGTGCGACGTTGGGACACCTTTTTTCCATGGCTACAGTTCATGTATCGTCATTTTCTACCTTTCCCGCCTCGGAAGGACCCCCCAGAAGGTTTCGACATCTGCGATGTGGAAGCAGTCTCCATTATAACTCGTGCCCTCTCGCAGATAGCAATCTCTGTCGCAGGACAGCACCTGATTCAGACAAACATAGCTATTCAACAGTTCATTGCGAAGCTATGGATTTATATTGGGAAATTGAAGGATGAGGATTTGCTCCGACATGACCGTGACGCATCTTTTCGGCACGACGGGAGGGAGGGAGTCAATGATGAGATGATAGGGCACGCGAGGACGATTACGGTCGGAATCATTACAGCGTGCATGCCAGTATCACTCCCGGCACCACTTGCTCTGCCTACTCTGCACAATCTGCTTGACGCAATGGGTGGATACGAACCATTTGTAGCGTCGGCACTACGATATATTCGGTGGTTCGGGAGGAAGATCGGTGACATGAACAATCGCGCGACTCCAAATTACGGGCTTGTAACCTCGATGCTGGGATTTGTCGATGCTTTATCAATCTTAGTACGCTTTCTTTCCTTGGTCAGCATCATGGATGCTATGTGCCAAGAAGAGCTCATCTTGCATCGCGCACCTTCGGATGTTGTGAAAGCTTTACTTCAAACATGGCCGGTTCTCACTGGCATGAGGGTCCATCCCTCGACGGAAACCTCGATAGCAAAGAGATGCACTATGATCCTGGAGGATGCCTTCGATTATATAGATGGGATCCTGCGTCAATCAGAGGCGTGCATTCCAGCTCTATGTCAGGTCCTCGATGCCGGATTTATCCAGTTGGTGCTGCAAGCTGGGTTTCGCTGCCCGCAGACGGCTTGTGGTATCCTCAAGCTCATTCCGCGATTTCTGATGTACCATCAAGTATTGCATCGCTTCCAAAAAGTGATGGATCGAACTGCTGATGGCATAGCTCATTTTGGACCTCACGCGAAGAAAGACGATGAAGTGCAACAGACATGGATTTTGATCCAGCAAGCGGCCCGTCAGATACTCAATATCTGCAGGAAAACCAGTCCATTACCTTTTTACGAACAAAAGTGTGCGGATTTACAGGTGTGTTTGAGTTTCAGCTTGATTCAACCTATAGGCTTATGACGTCTCCAGTGTCCGTATGACAACAACAAACGTCCGCAGTATCGGTGCTGTGGATGTTTCGTCGCACGATATTGTTCCCGGGGTTGCCAGAGAACAGATTGGAAAAGCAGACATCGTACTGCATGCCCTGTGCTCCATTCGGCTGGTGGTTTGTCTCTCAATTACACACATACGACACATACTAACCGACTTTTGAAAGGTTTTGATGGGTCCAAATACATTCGTGGCAGCCTTCCTCTCATCATGCTTGTGGAAACTTTCAACTACTCGCTATATGCTGACCGAATACAAGAAGCCATGGAACGAGCACGAAAGGACTACCCAGAGGATATCGATCGTCTAGTTTTGGAAACAGACCTCTCAGCTTATCCTGTCACTTTCTCTGCACGACCAGTTCAACAATACGCTGATTTGTTCGATCCCCGGTTTGATCCCGTCATGCTCAAGGAGCTAAGGGGATTACCTGGAAAACATCTCCTGATGGCCCTCAAACTCAGAGCAGGCCGAGATGAATGCGTAGTGCTCAGTCCGAGGGTGGGTCTTACGCTAGCTTTCCAGTGGCCAGCTGCCAGGGAAGAAGAAGCAGGTAACGACGATCATGCTTGAATGGCCAGAGCAGGATACTCAATTGTTCGTTTTTCAGTATTGTCTTCTGTTCAAGAAGCGCTGGTTTCACGCCTCGCAGTAGGCCCAGGTAACGTAATCAAAACGGGAGACGGCTTTAAAGTAGTAGAATACAGGCAACCATCAATGACCCAACCCACGACTTCGCTTGATGGATAATTTGGTTCGTCTTATACCTTTACTAACTTAGTTAAGAATAAAATATACAACTTACACGTTCATAGCACTTGCCCGTCGACTGTTGCTTGGCAGTGGTGACTCGATGACATTGTTCAAAGGGTGCTTTAAGGCTAGTGCCCGCTAGCCTGTGTGTAAAACAGTGCTCCGTATACCAATAGTGCATACGACATTATACAGTAACTTTTTACCTCAGTAGCTCCTGAAACTAACTGCGGCGCGTAATATTGAAAGTGGCGATACCACCTACATCATAATCATGTAACTCATTCTTTCATCACTTACAGGGGTAATTTGAATGCATGTGGAATGAAACGATTGAGGAAATTTGTGATCCGAAATATACTTGGGTCGTCAATGCATCAGATTCCAGTTCAGCACCACCGAATCATCACCACATGCAGCACCCCAAGCACCAAAGAAGCCTCGAGACCATCAAACATCGTATCCAGAATGGCAAGAGATGTTGTGATGCCGAGGAGGACAGGGCGAGAGGGCCACATAGATACTGCCGACAATGTCTGTAACAGCCTTGTTAACACAACGCCCAAAAGTGCTTTACTGAACCGTACCTTCGCAGCGAGGATGCACGCTTTCAGCGTTCTGACCCACGCGATCTTCGGTGATCGCCAGCGTAGGAAATTAAGATACTCTCCGATCAAGTTCGCAGCGTCAGCCCGACGATCAGGACGTGGAGAAGGGAGACGGAGCATGGGACTTTTCCTATCCGATGCCTGGGCAATTTCTTCCTTCTTGTGTTCTGTAGGTGTCGGGGAAGTATCAGGGAGAGTGCGTTCGTTCTGGAAGGCCTCAGACTCGTTATTTTTTCGTCGCAGTGGAATGAGAGATTTGTTGGAAGGAGGGATGAATGGTGTTACAGGATCAAACTGAAAGCGTGGACTATTAACAGCATGACGGAGCGCGGGAAATTATTCGGCTTACTCGTCCTTCTCGCATGGCGCTCACGATGCGCTCGCATGAGGGTCTCAAAGACGGATTTATGCTCAAGAGGCCCTCAAGCAATATCAGGAACGAACGCGGAAGACGCCGGGACTCGAAAGATGTTGAAAGGGCAGACGTTGATCGGAACCTGAGAGCTGGTCTATAACTAGATCACCAAGCGGTTTTGAGTCAACCGCACCCAGTATAACCCAAAATTTCCTGCTCTAGCTTGTCCATCTTGTCAGCTTCGTCGTATGCAGTAGCTTCTCCTTCTGTTGCGTAGCGGAAGGGTAACTTGAAGAAGAGCATCTTGTGCAGGATCATCCCAAGAGACCACATGTCAGACTTCGAGTCAATCTGTCGGAGAACTCTTGTAATAGGCGACGGAAGGGACTCTGGCGAAGCGTATTCAAGACTGTTGGATTGAGCGGGCTGAAGTCAAGCAATGGTAACCGAATACTCACGTTCCAGTATTACCTGATCGAACACCACTCGACCGTACCATATCTCGGGAGGTCCCAAAATCCGATAACATTGCTCGAGGGCTGCATATAACAATCTTGGCATTGGCACCACAACCGGACAAAACACACTTACATGAGTCTTCCTTCGTCCCAAGTCAGTAGCACGTTACCAGGTTTGAGGTCTAAATGAAGAATGGATTTATCATGCTTCAGATGCCAAGCATCATCAGTACGCCAACGTTGAAACATTGACCAGAACGCACCAAGAAGGCTAATCCATGCGTTATGTCCACAAACAAACTTCGCACTTCCTCTGCACTGAGAAGATGGACAGCTTTCCATGATGCATGATTGCCGCGGCTATGGGTTCTTTCCTCCATCTCTCGGCGTAATCGCTCGCGTTCCTCTGGTGGGGCACGCTTCATGGCACGAAATGCACGAATGCGTGCGGATGGAGTCGGATCGTCAGAGGCAGGCGATGCAGAGGACTGCATGTGTGGAAGTCCGACTGAGCGTCCCAAGCGAAGAGCGATGAAATCATCCAAACTAGTAGCCCATTTTTAGTATTGATGGTCATATTATTATACTCGAAGACGTTACCTTCCACCTTCCGCCCATTGCATGAGAACGCTATGCAGTCATGGTAAACCATTGATCATTGGTCAGCGTTCCATACTTACTGTAGGGTAGGCACTTTCGGACCAAAAGCGGAGAACTGATAAGTTTCTAGCCACGCGTGATGATATGTTACTATATTGCGATGGTGGAGAGACTCGAGAAGGCGAATCTTGGTGGGACATTAATGTTAGCGTGCATGACACGTCAGCATATCGTGACAGTTGCGAACCTCTCGCAGTATGTTGAGCAGGTAACAGTGGGACTCTCCTATCGCGATTTTCTTGACAGCGAAATGTCCTAAGATGCTAGTTCAGCACATAGAACTATAAAATATAGCGTGCAAGATGCTAACCAAGTGGTTCCCCATCAAGAACATGCTGCCCACGGGACTTAAGAAATAGTCATATAACGGTGCAGTGCAATTCAGCAGACCTGACAGAGATATACACTTCCATTTGCCCCCATTCCTAATCGATACTCTTCCTGAAAAAAGGCCTTGAAGTAACCTTCAGCCATGGTTTCTGGAGGGAAAGCACCTCGGCTTCCACTGCCACTCGTAAGAGGGGGACTAGACGGCCTCGAGGACGTCTGATTTGCGGCAGCAAGAAGCTGGAAGTAGTTTGACGCTCGAGAGTGCGATCCAAAATCCGACTGAATATTGTCGGAAGAGACATTCCTATCGAATCCATTGGGAAGAGGACGATGACAGTAGGGACACGATGACGAGCCTGAAAAATCTAGTTGACCAGAGGACTTGGTTATAGATAGAGCATGCGATGTTGGGTTATACAACACGATCTGATTAGAGGCCTGGAAGATTGGCTGCCATTCGGGTTCGAGAGGAGCTAACTCTACAACCGGCTGGTTCGGAGAGGCTGGTTGACTCTCGTCAAACATAGTACGACTGCTGAGACTAGCAAGTAGTCGAGCTGTAGTCCTGGATGGTCGTCGTGGTAAGAACTTGAAGTTACGTTTGCTAACAGACGCTACTTACCGTATAATACGTCAAAGTGGTGCACTCGACTCCGCGGCCCAAAATGGCAGTGTTCGAGAGCTTTGGCGCAGTTCTTGTGAGTATACACATGACCTCATTTCGAAAAAGTTGCCGCGTCATTCGGCGCGTGAGCTCGTGTGCAGTATAATTGCTTCATCACAACGCCATTGTCGACCAAGGACATATCTAACTTTAAACAGACAACAATTCCTCCTACTCAACCGCCCCATGCGGAGCAAACTGTACGGTCTCTACAGTGAGTTAACAATAAAGTAGGTCTTGATCGATGTGCTCAATCTCATATCACAGGTATTTGAAAAGAGTGGTGCTCCCTGAGCTAGCGAGCTCAAGGGAAGTTGAAAAGTAGCAGCAAACGCTCAGACGGTGACAAAAGCTGCGCGAAAGGAGCAGGCTGTACTAGTACTCGCTGCACCGAAAAATACTTGGCTGTGGAGAATCACGACGCCCTCTCCTCCACCTAAGCCCTCACCCGCCTCGACTCAATCGAAGTCGGAGCTATTAGGATTACCTCGATTCACAGCAGCCGACGTAGGTGTCGGGGAAGATTGGAGTCATTCAAACAAGCGAAGACAGCACGCGAGGAAAGAAAAAATGCAGCGTGATTTGAAGTGGACGTGGACGCTGCAGGCCGCGAAGAGGGAAGTTGCATGAGAACAACCGCAGCTCAGTGGTTCAGCCCAGTGAAGATCGACAGAATCCGAACAGTTGGATGTTCGTGCATGAGCACCGACAAGTGGCGCATTCCGTCGATCCTCAAACGACTGATAGCGACGTTGATCGCCAATCGGCATCGCATCCAGGCTCTTGACCAGCCTGGCTTTGCGTCAGTGCATTCTGAGAACCGAAGGACACGAGTCTTCTAAGGAAATCTGACTACTCAATATTGCGTAGACTGGCGTCAAGGCTATACGGTTACCCGGTCACCTTCTCTAATTTAGGGCACCGAGGATTCGAGCCACATTCACAATTATCTGATTGTGCACGTGTACTATCATCGCTACCTCTACTTCGACCCTATCATAGCTATCAAAGGTCGTTTCCACGGTGAAAATAGTAGTAACCAAAGCGTGAGTCAGCCTACATTCCACTTGCCTACTAGCTTGAGTCACTTCCATGTTGGACGCCACCAGGATCAAGTAAAACTGACTTTCCCTTCAAAGAGTTTTCGTTATCTGCGATGCCGTTTACACTGCTGTCGTACGCACCGCACTATCAAATGACAAGACCACTTAACTCACAACAGGCACACTTCTGGCATGGACAGCGTTGTATTGTATGAGAAACAGAACTACTTGTTTAGAGGATGAAAATGATGGCATATGTTTTCACATAAACTAGGGTCATCATGCATATTAGGACATTTCATGTATCAAGCGATTATAAGCCGCGGCCGCAGCCTCATCTTGAGCATCAGACTTGCGACGGGCTGAACCGTCGCCATATTTTATACCGTCAACTATATGTTTGGTTAGTATGCACCATCTTCGATTTGACAGCCAACATACTGTAAACGGCCGCATACCATGTCAAAGTGTTGGGAGGGCCTTGTAGATCGATTTTCCATGTTAGACGTGCATGGAAATTGGTCATCTGTAATTTGTTGTGCAACGTTATGCGGGGGTCTAAAGGTCAATAAGCGAACAAACCCTGCATGTCCAATAAGTGAGCACAAGACGTACGGTTAATGTTATCTTTCCCAGACTGGAAGTGAAAGAGAGAGATGTCGTCGTGGCACCATCAGTGTCAGATGAGCAGCTCAAAAGCAAAAGAAGAGATACACACGCTCTAAAAAATAGGACATCGTCGAGTATTCAGTGTAAGATTTCTAGTAAAGTTTCACGGTGACATACAATCTGCCGGATGTGAAAGTTGCGAATAAGGTGCATTTCTGCTTCAGTTTCAGGAACAAAGTCAGTGCCAGAGGATTGTGCGCTCCGCTTTGCACTGGAGCTTTCGCGGGAGATCTGAAATCGTCGTTTGCATTCTCGACTTTCGGTTGTTAAACACCCTCAGCAGCCAGAAGACAAACACACTCACCAATTGATCGAGCCAGTACCCTGGTGTTGAAGCGAATACTGATTTACAATGTGATTGACAGCGCCGCAAAAATGACATTTGTATTCAACTTTAGGATGTGTCACCTGTTTAAAGACGATCCTCATGACGATTGTCGTGCCTGCTTCAATGCCTGTCCATTCATGGCTTGTAAGTCGGGTTACCTGCTTGCCATCATCAATGCACAAATCATACTGTCCTCTCTCCATATACCGTCTCTGAAGTCGTGCTTGAGGCACGTCACGTTTAAACAGAACGTGGAGCATCTCATCGAGTTGCTGAAAAGAATTTGATGAGCAAACTGTCCAGTACATATTCTACACTGGGAGGCAGACCTAAAATGAGGTGCAAAAGGTCACCGACATTGCATGTTCGTGGCCTGTTGCGTCTACCAGTGTCACACAGCCAAGCGCGACAGCCCCTGTCAACTGTGCCGCTGTTGATCCCTGCGCGGTTCGACTTTGCTGCATTTGGAACGACCACTAGCCAAGCAAAGTAGTTAGTAAATGCTGTAAATTTATGAAGAGTAGGAAATAACCAAAGACTCCAACAGATAACGGTCGATTTCAATGGAACACCCGGCGATAGCTTGTGTGACGGATGCGTATTCGAGACGACGTTTTGCAACCTTGTCAGCTGGGCAGAGGTCTCTTGAAGAATCCTTAGTACACTCAATACCGGGCAAACTCAAGGACGCATCAACAAGGCGCATACCCAATTATTGAATCGCTCCGGTCTTGTTCAAGGGGATCCTGTGCTGGCGGAGCATTGCACATATGTGAGCTTAGTCGATGGAGTCGTGTCGTCAGACGAACTAGGTCCGCCTTATTCTGACTATATCTCTGCAACAGCCTTCAAATCAAGAAACATCCTGGTAATGAAACAAACTCTCACATCTATGACTTGGAGGATTGACAATAATCCACTAATAGCGGCTTGTATTGGAGGCCCGGCAACTGGAATTGCACCTGCAACGGACTGGACGACAGGCAAAAACGTCTGAGCTATGTCAGAAGCTGTGCGGACAGAGGAATCGCCATGAGAGGATCTGGTGGAGAAAATATTGATGGAGACTTCGAGACCTAGATCACTCGCCAGATAGCCAGGATACAGTAGTGGTGATGGATTTGAATGTGGATTGGGTGAAGGAACAGGAAAGTCACTAGGGATATCTGCAGAGATGGAATTGTGATGGGCGGTTGTCGAGCTGTGTTGCGTGCGTCCGATCTTGGTCAGGCGCCTCAATCGAACTGCAAACACTTTGCCCAAATCGAAATCCTTGACGAAATCCTTGACTAGCAAAGAGGGCATTTTGATCAGATAGGTCGATTAGCTACTAGCAGGATGAGTCAAGTGGGATACAGTGAAGCGCAGGGGATTGAAGTTGAAGGAGTCGAAGTATTTAACTTTACAACAGGCAGTTCCTCACAGCCCAATGTTCATGCATGTACAGCAACCATGTCTTGAATGTACCATATGCATGTCTTGGCCCGGAAAAGGTTTGCATGGCCATTTCAGAGATAAATCCTTCGAAGGAGTCCTCTATATGTCCTCGATATTGAACATACAGTGGTCATCGTCTAAAAAGGAAGTCGGGTCATAAAGAAAAAGAATTGCCAATTGGGAGGGCCAGACCCGAACAACGTTTTTCCGTTGATAAATTCGCCGCTTGTTCCCGCCTACGTTGTTGCCCGTGGCCACCGTATCCTGTCGTCTTCACTTGCTGTCATTCTTTGATTTTTAACAGTCGTTTGAAGTTCAGGATGAACCGCGAGCTAGGAGCGCGTCAACAACAGGGAGGACAGTCTCAAACCCTGAGCCAGTCACAATCACAATCACTATCTCAAACCCAGTCTGTCAATGGCTCCACCGTGTCAGGCTCACAGTCGCAGACTGCATCAGGCACTGCTTCATCGTTTCTATCCATCCCCCAATCAGCTCCTGCTGGACTTCTTACCATCACCCAGCCTCCCCAGCAGTCGACTTCTTATTTCAAAATTGCTCAGAACCAGTTCATCACGTTTGGATGGAATTTCAGTTATATCATTGCCACTCCCACTCACCTGACGGTTTCCGCTGTCTGCGAGAATGGAAACACATACCCTGTTGGCCCAACTAATGGGATCATACCCGGAACTGCCACTAGTGTTGTTTGGGATCCGTATACCTACCAAACCAACAATCCCAACCTGCCACTCGCTCAAGCCAAATATACCCTGGAGATTTGGGGAGACGGAGGGCCTGACGCTGTACGCGAACCGGGTGTGCTCACGCCCAATAGCGCGCTGCAGTTTGCGCTGTATACGCCGCAGGCTTATACTCCTATCAACAGCGGTAAGCGACGTCTGCACGGCGCTGTATGTTTGCTGACTCGTTCGAAAAGGCTGGTCTTGTGCAGGTTGTTCTAGTGCCGTGTCGCAGCACATCACCCACCCCACATTCATTGCTCTTATCGCCACGTTGATGGTGATGTTCATCTCTGGATCAGCTCTCCTGCGACGAATATAGGATACGTCGTCATGCATGGCTTGTCGCAGTTTGGTTTCTTTTTTTTTCATGTTTAAGAGACATTGTCAGTCATCATTAGCTTCGCGTTCATGAACAGTCGATACGGACCTTTGATTACAAAGATTTTTGGCATTATGGACAACTTTTGTTATCTCTAGCTCATATCATGAGTCGTAATACACCCTGGTTTTGTTTCGTGGATTGCGCAGACTGATCTGCGTTGGTTATTTATTGAATGATCGTCGATCGCAACAAATTTATCTTGTGCAGTCAAGTAGAAATATATCACTTGACGTCTGTTCCCACTGAAACGACATGTTCTTTGTACACATTGTCAATTACTAATGCCGCCTCTTTGTCACATTCGCGTTCACGTCCAAGGCCGATCGTGAGCTATTGTTCATTGCAAATCGACTTTAGCGCCATTCCACGTAAGTACTTATCGATCAAGCGTTTGGATGGAACACATGACGTATGTGGTTACTCCCTCGGACTATGTCAACGGGATGAAACGCGGTTGCGCTGCGGCTAGGCTTTGAGGTACTGTCATGTGTTGCACTCGCGATGACACCCCAAGGCCTGTTGTCATACATCGGTAAGAAATATGATAGTCGCGGGAAATGGAAACCCAAGTCCACGTTCATTCTATGCATCGTCGTAGTCAAGGCTTCTCGAAATGCTATGAAGCAACGTGGAATCGGTATCCAAGGCTGCCATCAGTCATTTAGTACTTCTTACTTCCGAGCCTGGGGTCATCCCTGCCTCACCGAGGTAGGTAGGGGGGCGCAAGCGTATATATAGTCAATCTACGAGGAGAATTTCACTATTTGACCATCGGGCTTTGATCTTGTGCACCCTTTATCTATCCCCGCTAGCGTCTCTGGCTTTTCCTCTGCTCTTCGCTCCATGAACATAGCACCATCATAGGACGTCGCTGGTCCCATCGTTGGAGAGAAGCTAATTAACCGCGCAAGGTGAGAGGCTCACTGATCCGTTGTTCGCGTCGAGGCAGTGCAAGTCCCCATTATAACTCACACACCAACTGCGCGCAACAGATCGCCTCTATTCAGAAACCGCAATCGTTATGTCTGCATCACCGAGCGCGAGGAACACGGATTCAAAAGTGGCAAAGGCGCAGAAGGGATTCTTTTCAACGCTCTTTTCGTGGTCGCCCAAGCGGTCCGCCAAACCCGTGACGGAGCGACCCAGGGCAACAGATGGTGAGGATCATGAATATAATATCTTGTGTCAAGGAAAAAATATATATTGATCATGTCCGTCATTTAGCATTTCCGCGTACTCCCAGCGAGTCAGCGCATGCACATGGCCTATCACGGGTGCAATCCACCCCACAGGCCTCGACGCTGAATTTATCACGAGTACAATCCGCCCCGCAAGCTTTGACGCCAAATTTTCCTGGGAGAAAAGTCGGCGCTGTTCCTGATGTTCCTCGATTCAAGTCTATCAAGGACAATTTGCATGAACTCGGGCTCACGACCCCTGTTGTCTTTACGCAACCTCAAGTTGCAGGCAGTGAGACTGTGTTGTCGCAGTTAGACAGGGCGGCAGCTTCTCGGGCGGATATGTTCTTCCAACGCTCGCTATCGCACAACATGAGTCCCACCTCGTCCAAGTCCAGACATCAATCGTCTCGAGGGAACGCGCTTGTTGCAACAGCAGATCATGCTATTAATATCGACCTACCAATTCTAAATATCACCTCCGCCAATGTACACTTCGCTTCATCACCTTCCTCAGCAACGAGTTATCCGAGTAGTGATCAGGATAGTCAGGTGGATCTTCTGGAGAAGATTACAGTCCCCATGTCCACTACTCCTGATAAAGTCCCGTCATCTGTCCCAAGTGGCAGTAACACTTCAAATAGAGAGCCACCTATCCCATCGTCCCCATCGGTAGCAAGTCGCTCTTCTGTTTCACAGTCGAGACACAGTTGCACCCCTTCATCTACCCGTTCGAAAAGACCTCGGACAGCTCCCGGCGGCTCAAGCGAGCTGAGTAGGCAAACTTCGGTTGCCTCTGCGCGCCCTCAGCGCCAAGTAGCGAGAGAGCCAGCTTCCTTCTTCCCTGTAGATGAGGGATTATTTGGCCGTCCCAAACTGCCCCCACCGCTCAAAGTCATTCCGAAGAAGGTCAAAAAGCATCAGCGAACACAAACTTTCGCTGCTTCCCCCTCACCCACAGCCCAAACTCATGAGCAATCTGTTACGCGCACGTTATCCACACGTTCTCACAAAACACGTCAGACGTCAGCTCGGCTGGCGTCGGCCATTGAGCCAGCAGCATTGTTTCCCATACCCAACGTTTTGACGACCGAGAAATCTGGGGCTCTCAGTCGAAAACCCTCTGTTCTCTCACATAGCAGGGTCCCCAGTCTACCTCCACTCCCGCCAAACGATGAGCTCGAACTTTTACCACTATCACTCCTACGCACGCCAGCGCCTAATGAGGGCTCGTCATCACGAGCCAATACACAAACAACAGTCGCTTCGCATGAGACCCAGTTCTCGACCGCCCTAGCTCCCGAGTTACACCCTGCAAAATGGACGTGGACTCCCCCCTCGAGCTGGTCGGGTCCCCTCTTCGGCTATCTCATCTGAAAGTGGGGATAGTCCGCATAGTAGCAAGAAGGCGTTCTCGAGAATTCGTTTACGTAGACCGAAGAGTTCATGTCGGTCAGTTCCTTCGGTATCCAGGTCCCTCTACACATATCCAAACACCTCATCTCCGATCCTCACCCCGTCCGCCACAACAAAAAATAGCAAGGAGTATGTGCCCTCAACGGTACAAGACAATACCGGCGTCATCGTCAAAATGCAGGGCTGCGAAGGCGACTGGGAGGCTGCAGCGGTCCAGGACGTGATTCCTCGGCTGAGGCAAATGAAGAGCTCCGCTCTATAGAAATAGAAAGGTCGAAGCAAGATCGAATGATTCCCCGCACGGTAGTTTTGTTAATCTGTACCAATATCCCCATGTGTTCCATACCCCCCCGCATTGATTACTTAGCAGTAGTTTTACGATTTGGCTTTTACGATCGACGTATACACGGAAACGACCGGAGGGAATTTTGATCTCATGTTAAAATCTGTATGATATGAAAAAACAAAGTTCTAGATATGATATTCATTTGCAAATTCGGGGAGCACAGGTTTGCTTGGCGTTGCACAGAGGTTTTGTAGCTTTGGTGCTTTCCAGTCGTTTGGACTGCTGGGCCTCTTCGAGACAGCGGCGCGTTGATCGCAGACGACAGGCACCAAGTGTGTTCGGTGGCGTCGCAAGACGATCATGACTCGCCAAAAGCCGTGTCGTAAACGATCGACTAGACAATCGTTATCATAATCCGCAGAAGGGGCTGTGGAGTCAACGTTCAAGACGTTCGACAGCTGCATACCGGAGTTAAAAACTCTGCCACGAGTACCGATCCGCAGTTTGGAGTTCGAATCAGAGCTTGCTGTGCGGGCAGCGCGATTGATTTGGTGGAGCGCGTGCGTGCAGACAACTGAGTCGCACCTGGTGCTGACTGCTGCTGCTTATGCCAAACTGTCATGTTACAAATTATAAATGTAACCCAGCGACCAACTTAGCCGAGAAAACATTGTGAGACCTGCCGCGGAGAGTGTTCAAGCTGCCTTGGTGGCAAGTTCCACGATTTCACCAGTGGTTTCGAAGGAGAGGAATCACAAACGTAAACAATCATCATTTACCCAAGGAAATTCTCGTTCACCAGAGTCCGGCTGGCCATTCAATTCAAATGCTTCTAAAGAATAATAGACACAGCTGCGTGCTGAATGGGAACTTCCAACTTGTGTGTGCACGAGCTGCGGACGAGTTATTACACGCCGTTAAAATTCAAACTTACGTAATAGTTGTTGGGACCTACAACACCAGACTCCGAATTATCCCGAACTTATCACATTCTTTAACAACCGCACACGCTTTGTTGTTGTCCTAGACTTGTGGATTGGTCACTAGCTACTGGAATTACCATGCGCTGGAACTCGCTTGCGAATGCTTCTCAATCCCAAAAATCCAGTGCAACCACAGCACGCTCCACCTGCGATCCGAGGATGTACCATCAAAGGCTGAACCTTGTGCTTGGACCGTCTGCAAGTCATTTTCAAGCATAGATCCTATGGCCATCAATGCCTCCTGTTTACACGTACGTTGTCGGCTTATCATATGTGTATGTGTGCATCCTGAGTTCTGTAATAGGAAGGCTTTGTATTTCATCAATGATGGCCGTGGTTCACCAATCGACCCAGTACTGATGCTCTCTCCTCACAATGTAATCTCAGTACATCCTACTCAGGGATGTACGCGGGTTCATATCTTCCATAATTGTTGCCCATGCAACCGCATTCCCCCTCCAGCCTGAGGGCATTCACGGTGAAGCGATGCACTCCTCCGCTTCGACCTTACGTATCACTTCTCGCCATTGTTGCACTGCGTCCGTCAGCCTGCCAACGAATAGTGCCTTCCGCCCCGCATGCTGGTCCTGGGGTCTACTGCCTGGCCCAATATTTTCCTCATTTTTCTAGAACCCGTATCTTCGTCGGCACTGAAAAATCACAGCCCCCGGACGCCATGTACCTTTCGGGCATTATTTCGTATCGGTCTGTGCTTCCGCCGCTTCACCCTCCAAATCCACATGTGCTGTTTTGGGATGTATGGTTGCACTGCATTCTATCGACCATTTTACCGATCCTCGAAGCTAATATTTCGTAACATCTCGTAGCCCCGTCAAAATGCTCGCGGTGGCGGTGGCTATTGGCATCCTTTAAATCACGGACTGCTCTCGTTCCCAGATTGCCTTCAACCCCCCCTCATGTCCTCTCCTAATTCATCGTGAGCGACCATAAGCCTCTATATCGCCACCCATCCAAAGCGCCACATCAATGTACAACTACACTCCCCACGGTGATCAGGAGGATGCCTTCCCTGATCTCGGTGGCGCACATGGCGGCTATCACGAATTTCCACCACAAGAATATGATCAGACCCAATACGCCACAGAGTTCGAAGAGGCTGGACTCGCTGACGAGTATGCGTATGATCAGCCTCATGTGCCTCAGATGTACGGCCCCCTTCCCGGTGGCGTACCACCGAATGTACCAGTGAGTCAGCTGGACGCGATGAGTGACATCGCTAAGGATGATCTATAGTATCCACAGCAATTTCAATTTTTCAATCAGCTTCCGTTCCATGGGATGGATGATATTGGGTATCAGTACGAGACACCGTTCCATACCATGATGCCAGGTCCTGTGCCACAGGAGGACGTCAGGAACAATCTTGTAGGACTGCCCCCCTCAGTGCCTCAGACTCACATGGGCCCAACCTTGCCCCCCGCCCCAACTACAGAGACCACCAACCCGATGACGACGAGTTTACGGAACAGTCCCGCGTACAGGATGTCGGAAGTTAGCGGTCCCTCAATGCTAAGTCCATTGAACACAAGCGGTGTGACTGTACACAGCCACTCTCAAGCGACGCCCCTAAACAGGGCGTCTCAGAGCCCAGGCTTTTACGGCCCGGATTCTATGACAGCAACGAGCTCCCGGCGATCCCCAATATCACCATCGCAGAAACGTCCCTTGGAATCTTCAGTGGACGATACGCTGGTGTGTAATATCTTGAATTTGGTGAGGATATCGTTAATAGCATCGTCCAGCATGGACGGAGGGTTGCACCACGCATCGCCGGCGCCTCTAATGTCTACTATGTGCCGTCGTCTGGAGGGACTAGTATCAGTGCCTCGTCGATCTCATCAAGTGTTCCTGGCCGAGGTCCGACAATCCCCCAACAGTTGTACAATGTGGGGACAACGCACGCGTTTCATTTTACGACCGGAAGTGGAATGCCGGTCGTTTTCAACGTCACAGAGGGAGCTGGCATCCCTTTGCAACAGTTGCTACTTCGGCAGACAATCCACCTCCAGGCACGTGATGAACGTATTACAGACATGTCCGGGGATACAATCTCCATTCGCATTGAGGTAAAGGATCCGTCTTGTTGAAATACTCGCTCAGTGTTGCTTACGAAAATTTGATGTGATTTATCAGTGGCCTGGATACCCATCATTTACGAAGCAGATAGCTTCAAAGGACTGGAAGAAAAGAAGGTCACCGAACACACGCGAAAGGCTGGCGTTCAAAGTTGCGGGCGCCGTTCAATCTTTCTTCAGGGTCAGTCTGTCGAGAACGCCATATTTGAAGTTTACTAACATCTAAACAGGAGCATGCGAATACTCAATGTGATTCATCGAATTCGAGATGGCGTATCGGTGCCAACGGAATTCTCATCGAGCATCTCGCCCTTGTTTCACTACACCGCGTGTCCCAGGGAAGCTGGCAGCCTAAACTGTGTCTCCTTCGTGACGATGCTCAGCAGTGATATATTCCTTTGTTTGACATGTATGCTATTTTACCCTCCGGTTATCCTTTATTGACGCATTTTTTCGCAGCTGTTACCGAGCATTTTTACATAGCATCTTGTCTTAAATTCTGCATATACCCCCAAAGCATAATAGCATCAAGCATTACATTTGTTTTCATTCTTTTATCTTCAATTCCCGCAGCTGGTATTCATAGATCATTCAGGCATTGCATTTGGGTGCTTATACGCTCGACATCAAGTTTTTATTGCAATTCATGGATCTGGAAGTGGCATGGTTTTCTTATGTGTATTTAATCTGCATTGTTCCATAGGTTTTATTCTAGATGGCTACTGATGATGTACGTACAAATCCTAGCTCAAATTTTGACTCATCTGAAATTTTGTTGCGTTCGCCGCATCATAACGTTCCCTCCACACTCAGGAACACCGCGGGGGTATAAACTGTGGGAAAAAAGTATCTCATAGCTCCGATTGGACTCCGATCTTCGATAAGCACGATATACAAATTGTAATCCAAATTCTTGAACGCCCCTTCCAAATTTTCGAAGCCTGAAGTGCAGTGCATCATAACTCGTATATTACAAGATCATAACTAAGACCTCCGCTGCACCTAGCACAGCAACATCGACTATGGCTCAAACACAACTCGAAGGAGTTCCAGGCCAGCGCGTCGGCTCGTGCTTTCCCAAACTCACATTCATCCTGGACCAAGGGAAACAGTTCGGGCCCCGCGTCGGCAGGCTGTGCCTGACCCGACCGTCATCCGATGGTCAATCCAACCATGTCATCGACATCCCAACACCCAATTTTCTCATCGGAACGTCTCGCGGTGCAGTACCACATCTCTCAAGGGACCATATCCATTCAGCGAATAGCATCAACTGGATCAACGTATCTTTCGAGTCCTTGTAAGTCCGTCAATTCACCCCGCCATTTTTCATGGTGAATGATGCTTCGGATCTGCGCATTCAAGCCTCGAGCAAACGCCCCCAGTACCCACTCATCAAGCAGGATCGCAGCCACTACATGATTTCTTTGGATTCGACAGCTCGAAACATATCGTTTCGCTTTCCCTTCGTGATCCTTTGGACGCTCGAGAGATGCCTCCGAATGGAAACTCGCATGTTACGGCTTTATGCATGCGCGGCGTGAAGAAGGTGATTATTCTTTTATGAAGGCAGAGTCTCCTCTGTCAAGGCTTTTCATCTTCATTTTCTAGGTCACGCCCGCGGACTGGCGATCATATGTTCTGACGATGCAGCCTGATATCGCATTTGCTCTCAGTGACACGCCTTTTACTGTGGCTCCGCACTCGCAGAAACGCATCACTAAAAGTATCGAGCGCAGTGCGGCTTGGCTCGCAGATCTGTTGCGTCCTGTTGAAAACACGATGGATGACTCACCCGCGGAGTCGACTCCTATTGCTTTGAATGTCTTCGTACATATGGCTGGTGGTACTTCGACCTCCGCAAGGAGAGCTTTTTCGCATAGCCTCATGGAGACTCTTCATGGGCTAGAAGCAGACGCCGTGAAACCACTGTTGTGTTTAGATGAAGGCGTAGCTGGATATGCATTTGACCTAGCCGCCCTTCATGTCAGAGCAGCTCCTCTCTCGACCCGCAACGATGAAGGCGGAGGCATCGAAATTGCAGAGAACTCTTTGATTCTGCAGAACTCGGAATCATTAGCTCAAGCGCCAACACCTAACACGGTTGATACACCTACATCGCTCTCGTCCAGCATGATCGAGCCTCTTTCCTTCCTCTCCCTGGCCCCCACATTGGATGAGCTCCTCCGTGCATCATTAGATCCACTCCCAATCGCAAAGCCACGCCTTGTCACGGATGTTCGATCCCCTCATGAAATCCTGCGTTTGATCAGAGATATCGGAGTCGACGTATTTGATGCGGGATGGGCTGTAAAGGCAGCTGATATTGGGGTAGCTCTCGATTTTATTTTTCCGGTGCCGAGCGGGCACGACAGTAGTCCAGACCATCGCAAATGCGACATTGGTCACAACCTGTACGATGCGAAGTACGCTCACGACTTTGTCAGTTTATCGAATGCCTTCCTTGCTGGCTGCAACAGAACATCTTCGTCTAACACTCCCATCTGTTCCTGCGTTGCATGCTCTCCAGTTGCCCCCACGACACCTATTCACCATAGCAAAGTTGATGTTCAATCGCACCAAGCGCATTTAGACGACGGAAAGAGTCGGGAGCAATATTTACCTCCTTTCACGCGAGCCTATCTGCACCACCTCTTACATACCCACGAGATGTCTGCGCACACACTCCTTGTCGCGCATAACGTCGCCGTCCTTGATGCCCTGCTTACTGGAGTGCGAACGATTCTTTCGGGTCATGCTGATCAACATGAAGCAGCAGCCATTTTTGCCCGAGAAGTCACGAGGTTTGAAGAGGTTTACGATGGGGATATGTCAGTGCTCCATACTGCTCGGGATAACTGGAAGGACGTAAAGTACGCACGGGGTAAGGGAAGATTGGCGCGGGAAGCAAGGAAAGACAAGGAAATCTGTTCGGTGCATTCCAATGAATTACAATAGGTTTCGGTGTAATGGCGTTATCAATAGTCGGTACTATCAGGAAGATGGCGTACATGCGGCCGTACGTTTCTAGGATGACATAATCAACAGACATGTACAACCTTAACAGTTGTCATCTGCATTGATTATCATCCTGCATGGGCACAAAAGGGTACTTTGCGTTTCCTCCTTCAATTCCGGGCACGTCAAGACCATACCCCACATCTATACCACAGTTCCCCGATACCAAAGAGACATTCGTTGACAAAAGCACAGCTGGCAAAGGGGATGAGACGCGTAACGAGCCTGATAAACCGCTCCACGATGAAGAACGTATCAATCGACTTCACAAGGAGCGAGAGCTCATAGAGACGAGCGAAATAGAGTGGGTTCGAGGCGGCGGAGTTCTGCGCGACGCCCAAGGGCGCCGCGACAAAGCCCGCACCGAACGCATTCGCGCGGAGCTCAAGCTCCAAGAAGAAGAAAAGACAAAAATGAACAGATGGAGAGAATACGACGAGCGGTGGAAAGCCCTAATAACCACTTCAGATAAAACTCTCGCGTTCGCAGACATCCCATGGCCGCTTCTCACAGCGCCCAGAGGTGCTGATTCTTTCACGTTGCCTGCGATTTCGGAGTTTTTGTTCGAGTCTCTTTCTGTTCGGAATAACGCTGTTACGAAGAAGAATAGGATCCGCAGCTCGATATTGCGGTGGCATCCTGATAAGAGCTCTTTGGTCGTCGGCAGGGTTGTGGCTGAGGATGTGGATGCTGTTCGGGAAGGTATTCATGCGGTGTTTCATTGCCTCAAGCGTCTACAGGATGACGAAAGGGATCATAATAATACCGTGTAATAAATTTATGCACTACTAGCATACTGCCAATGAATGACATCGAGGCTCATCGTGGTACACCTATATGCACCTGGTAAGTTGTATACTTGGTGGGAGTTCGAGTCGACAATGTCATTTAATTTTCATTCACAATGAAGCGGCTGTTGCGTACTTGATCATCCGTGTCGCTTCGGACTGACTACATATCAGACTGCACCCATATCCAGAATTAAAATTTAGATCGACTTGGAACTTGAAGTACAGCACGGGCCCGGGGTATTAGTGGCAGGTTCTTATTAGTATCCCACCATAGCCGGTTACCCCCTCTCCTCAAGCTACCGCAATATACATATCAGTAGTACGATCGCACGGTGCAGCGGACGGTGTACATATAACAATAACATGTACTATTGTAATACAGCGGACCTATACTACTACAACTACTAGTATTTGTGTCAAGGAACGTTCCAAGGCGCCTTTCCTAATCTGAATTTATGCGGGCAGCCGCGGACGGACATACAAGTGACCCCTCAATGATCAATCGAAGACATGCAGCCGCGCTGGTAGTTTTATCGGGAGGCCAATTGCAAGTAGATATGATTCTCCGACTCCGAGCTTCATACCTGTTCAGAATTTGAATTTTTTTGGCTCGAGCCCGTGGCGAAGATCGAACATAAAGGATGTTATGTTTGAGGAGTTTGTCTCCAACTTGGAGGCACCTGCGTCTGAATTCAAGGGGCTAGCTGCGGGACTCGCCAGTCGTTGACAGGTTCGTGGCTGAGAACGTGTTCAAGTCTCCAAGAAGGTATTCATGCAACTCAAGAGTCTGCAAGATCTCTCAAAAGTGAGAAACGCGCACCTTCACTGGTCTTGATCAGATTCAATGCAATGGGAATCTCTGTTGTCAATCGTGAGTAAAACGTCCAAGAACATTAATGTACATTCAAAGGCAATGAACTTATCATAATCTTCCTCAGGGTAGGTACTACATGTCAAGGTCAAATCAGTGGGAGAAACAACACGCGTGAGGTTGGTAACGTCACGTCCAAGTACGTAGCGGCTTCAGGGCGGGATTTCAAACTCCAGGACATTTTGCAGCCTCCTGCGCAGTCTCTGCCCAATCCCGCTCGTGCACACCAAGCTCGATTCCTAGTATGGTCTTGTTTAATTGCATCAGAGTCATTCCGTGAGGTTGGCGGATGTGCGACTCCCAGCCTTCTGGAAGTCGTTCATCATGAAGGAAGCTATGAAGGTCGTTCACACGGCCTCCAAAGACAGTGACTAGGGTCGCGGCACTAACAGAATATTCAAAATCGCCCCTGAAAACGGATGCAACGACATACTTTGTGCTTCCAAAGATCTTGTGGAAAAAGCTGAGAGAGAACTCCTTGTTTACTGCACGCGCGACTGCACGCCGCTTGCCGAGCATCCTGGAGAGATCTTTGGTGGTGATAACAATGTTGTCATTTTCGTCCTTGCCAGTCGCTGCCATAAGTAGTTCCTCAATAAAAGGTACGCATTTTATCGATTGGTCCGGCTGAAAAGCAGCATCGAGGCCTGAAGACAAATAATTTCACATAACTTACAAGAACAAGCGGAGAAAATCACTCACGTACGAGAGAGGCGTCGTGTTCAATACCATTGTGTAGGTCGAGTTCTTCCAAATCAAACAAGTCCTTGCCGTAGCTTTTCTTGAGCATGCGAGCGGCAAAGTGTGGCACAAATGAGCAGAAGGTAGGACTGAAGTTGTATGTTGTCTGGATATGATGGCCAACGTCGACAAACGAGATGTTGCGGCCATTGCGTGGGATGATGCCTGAATTTAAACGTTGTCACACCTAGGCTTAAGCATCGAGGCTGGCAGGATCACTCACCATGGTTGGCCATTGCATTAAGTGCAGGGCAAGAGCAGCGGGAGTCAGTCTCTTTGGGAAGCCTATACTCGGGCCAGTGCCCTCCATAGCCTGGGCAGCCCTGGGGGGTGACATGTCCGATGCGACGCTTCCTCCTCACGAGATTGGAGAGCGTAAGCAGGATATCCCAAGATAAAATCCCAACATTAAAGAAAAACTGGGACACAATGGAGAAGGAACCCATTTTACTTTCCTTGTGTTAGCGCTAGCCGCCTCTAGGTAAGTATGTCGTCGGTGATAAAAGAGATGGGTAGGTACGCTACCCTAAGGAGCTAAAGTGTACACCGCATCCGAGTAACGTCAGGCCCAGTGTCCCGGTCTGACAGGTAAGTAATAGTTACAGAAGCAACTGGCCATAGGCTTTATCGAGCTTCTCCGATCTGGTTCAACGTTCAAATCTCAGAATTTGTGGCAGTTTCGAACATTGAATTTGGCGTGAAATGTTAGCTTGAGCTTGAATATTGACATGACTCTGAGTCTCCAAGTCGCTCGCAGGCCAAGGCGGGCCTGGTATCGAAGTCCGAATGGCAGTGACAGGAGCACGTACAAATTTGAAGTCACGTGATGTTAACGCTCTTGGTTCCAACTTCCGGGCCGTGGACTCGGAGGCGCCTGAGCAGCACAGGGGTTGCTTTCATCTCATTTTCCGTAAATATTATGACTCACTAATCAAGTGCGGGACAGCATCTCCGAGTCAGCTTTGGTCACACCTTGAAGGGCACTGGGGATCAAGCAGAGTTGACTTTGGAGTCTGCTTGGTGACTCTGCGCTATTCTTATGACAACGCACTATAAAGTCACGACACGAATAAAAAGACGTGTTCTACCCACTCCTTATTTTTATTGTAGGAAACTCGGAGCCTCGTTGAAAGGTATGAAAACAACGCAAGCACAGTGTCAGTTCCTCCGAGTCATTTTAATATATTGATAACAAACTCTTCCAAAAGAAGTACTTATTTCCTTGGTCCAGGTTTTGATATGCTCCTGTGATGTGGTGGTCACGAACCACAAATGATTTCAACCTGCCCGTTGACGTCGTTCCACCACAGAATTGGACAACGCAAGCGAGCATGGGGCCATTCATGGCTTGTAAGTCTGGTTGCTTGCTTGTCGTCGTCGATGCAACCGTATTGTCCTAGCTCCATATACTGTCTCTGTATTCGAGTTTTGGTCGACTCGCATTTGAACAGAACTTGAAGCATCTCATTGAAATTTAGGAGGACTAGTTTCAAGACATAAACTGTGGTGAGATCCTTTGGTAAACGTATCGAATCAATTGGGACAGAGTGTTGTGCTTGAGGGGTGAAGACAGGGTGTAAATCGGAAGGGCGTCTGCTTTATCAGAATGTGTTTCACGTGGCGTATGACGTGGGCTTATTATGGAAGTGGAGAAAGAGAAGTGGAGGCGTTGAGATTGAGAATGTTAGATGAGGGTGAGAAATGTTTCTGGGAAGGCGACGATTGAGATAACATTCACGTAATCTCAAATGTCTGAAGAATCTCTCGAACATGCACCTTTACTGGTTTTCGATCAGATTCAATGCAATGGGAATCTCTGTTGTCAATCATAAGTAAAACAACAAACGACACTGATGTGCATTCAAAGGCAATGAACTCATCATAATTGCCCTAGGTGTCGCGGTCAAATGAGTGAGCAGACAACACGTGTGAGTTTGGTAACATTAGACAAGCTCCCGATGTCATGTCCGGGGCGGAATTTCAAACGAGAGCTTTATCAAATTGTGCAGCTTCCCGTGCGGCCTCTGCCCAATCCCGCTCGCGCACACCACGCTCAATTTCTAGTACGGTCTTGTTGATTTGCATCAGAGTCATTCCGTGAGGTTGGCGGATGTGCAACTCCCAGCCCTTTGGTAGTCGTTCATCATGAAGGAAGCTATGGAGGTCGTCTACACGGCCTCCAAAGACAGTAACTAGGGTCGCGGCACTAACAGCACGTTCAAAGGTGCGCTTGAAAATGGATGATGCAATGACGTACTTCGTGCTCCCAAAGATCTTGTGGAAAGAGCTGAGAGAGAACTCCTTGTTTGACGCACGCGACACTGCACGACGCTTGCTAAGCATCCTGGAGACATCTTTGGTGGTGAGAATAATACTATTGTCTTTTCTGTCCCTGCCAGTTGCCGCCGCAAGTAGCTCTTCAATGAAAGGTGTGTGCTTTGTCGATTGTTTCTGTTTGAAAGCGGAATCGAGGCCTAAAGACAAATTATTCCGGCATACACAAACAAGCATACTAAATCACTCACGTAAGAGGGATCCGTCATGTTCAATACCATTGTGTAGATCAAGTTCTTCCAAATCAAATAAGTCCTCGCTGTAGTCTTTCTTAAGCATGCGAGCAGCAAAACGCGGCACAAATGAGCAGAAGGTAGAACTGAAGTTGTACGTTGTCCGGATATGACGTTCAACCTCGGCAAACGAGATGTTGCGGCCGCTGCGCGGGATGATGCCTGGGTTTTAATGTTGTCACACCTAGGCTTAGGCACCAGACTAGCAGGATCACTCACCATGGTTGGCCATTGCATTAAGTGCAGGGCAAGAGCAGCGGGAGTCGGTCTCCTTGGGAGGCTTATACTCGGGCCAGTACCCTCCATAGCCTGGGTGGCCATGGGGGGTGACATGTCCGATGCGAAGCTTCCTCCGCACGAGATTAGAAAGTGTAAGCAGGATATCCCAAGAGAAGACCCCGATATCGAGGAAAATACGGGACACGATGGAGAAGGGGCCCATTTTACTTCCCTTGCGTTAGTGCTAGGTATGTAGAAGATAAGTCGGGGATAGGAAGAGATGGATAGGCACGCTTCACCAACGAGCTAAGTCAATTATACACGGCGTCTGAATAAGATAAGTGGTGGTGTCACAGGACTGACAGATAAGGTTCTGTATCCCGGTATTAAACGCCCAGCCTGCAGAATCACATCTTCCCCAAGGATACACCGAGACTGATGTTGGAGCTGCACAAAAGGAGAGATCAATAGCTTGATAGTTTTTTCATGATTAGCCGGACCATGGACGAACCCAAGGAACTGAAAGCAAGAACTGTCCGACGAGTCCGACATTCAGAATTCGCGCGTGGCCGCCATGGCGGTTTCGAAGAAGACTACAAGTGAAATTTTGGGCGTTCGATAGCTTGAAAATTGACGCGACTCTCCGATTAGGAGCGCTTGTCTGTTAGACCACTGGATATTAAAAGGGTGCTTCGTGTTTCGGAAGTTCTACTAGAAACCTGAGACCCATGGGTTCCAATAAGTTTTCTCACCAAAAAGTGTCCGATACTGATTTCGCTGAGCAATAGCCGTACAGTCCATTTTTATCAATATCAAACTCAAGTTGACGTTGGGCATTGGGCGTCTCTGCAGACTCAACGACTCAGTGACCGATGAGTGGGACAAAGTTAATGTTAGCAATTGCCGACAAAGAGGTTTGAAAGAAATTTTGAAATCAAATGCAAGTCACGTGATGTAAGTGCTCAACTTGGACCGTCCTCTTATGATTCTTTCAGGGCAATGACAAGCATGGCAGCAGCAGCAAGACGCACGCCGGGGCTTGCTTCCACCTCATACAAGGTCCCTTCCATTGCTTCAACACTGAGGTATAGATGTCACCGTAATGCCCGCTGCTTCTCATCTACCTGTCGACGAGCAGCCCACTTGCGCGATCACTATGCGACTCTTGGAGTCCCAATCACAGCGACGAAGGCTCAAATAAAGGCATGGGTCACTCTTTCAAATTCACAAAGGATCTGCCCCTCACAAATTTATGATAGACACACTTCTACCAAGTGAGTCGTTCTTATTGGTAGCACCGCATAGCTGCTGATGGACCACGCCGACTCTTAGCTTAGCAAGAAATACCATCCCGATGTCAGTCAGGACAGTACAGCACGGGTAAAATTTCACGCAGTGAGTGAAGCTTACGCAGTGCTTGGGGATGATCGGAAGCGGTACGTCGCAAAGTGCTCACCCAATATGCCGCACTAATGACTGGATGGCAGGCGAGAATACGATCGTAGTATCCGCCACGCATCACCGTCACAACCATCCTCTCAACACCCACAAGCTACCACAGCACGTCCCTCCAACCGACCAGGGTCACGCAATGCATGGCAACATAATCCACGTCAGCATCAGCACCGTGACCCCAAATCCAGTCATGACTCAAACGCAACTTACGACCATCCATGGGAGCGCGCTCGGGCAGGAAAATACACCTATTATCAACCTCCCCCCGGCGCCCATTCGCGCACGTCCTACACATGGTCATCCACAAATCCATTTTCCAGCCCACACGTCCAACGAGCGACCGGTCGTATGTCTGCACATCCACCACCAGATACAGGCCCGGCTGGTAGTACCAGTGAAGGTATGGCTAAAGAAGGACCACGACCGGAAAGAACTCAAACCGACGAGGACACAGCTGCAGCGGAGAGTGTTATAGGGCGTGTGTTTGCGGTGTCTGGACTTTTAACTTTCATGTTAGTGATAGCCCAGTTTGCAGGTGCACCGTGGGGCAGCGCGCATGCATGAATCAATTCATTGTAATCAGTTTGTCGAACTCCGTCGAAACTCGTGGCCAGTCAGAGAGAGGCCTAACACTAACAGCAATTGTTCCTGACACATACATTAACTGTCTGTCTACGCTACCTTCATTCTGCGAGTATATGCTTGTATCTACTATCCATCGGCGCAGGCGTCAGTAGATTGTGACGTAGGGTCATCTATGCATCCCTGCGATGCACTGCTTTCACTCTCGTTATCTTGCAGTGATTGCACCAGGGAGGCCCTGGTATATCCAAGTAATCTCTCCATGGCCAAATTCACGCATATCACTGCGAATACCATAGAGAAGGCCGTAAGGATTGCTTTTGGTTTGAGTTCGCTGAACCGAAATTCACTGTCGGTCTCATTTTCTTCTGGTCTGTCATGAGAAGGCATGGCTTGCTGGGGAGAGGACGAAGCTGCCCAAGCTTGTAACTTCGCCTTCTCCCTTTCCTTCAACTCCCTCTCTCGCGTGATCTTGTTCATAATCCACCAGTATCCAGCAGGCGGACGATAAAGCATCGATGGGCCTGACTTGACTGGGTCCCAGAAAGTGGGATCAACCGGCCGGGGTGAAGACGAAGCAAGTTCCCCCTCCCGTTGATGTCGTAGTCCCATGATAAGAGCAGAATGCAGCTGCTCGTGTTGATCGTATTTCCGTCTACGATGACGTTCAGCACCAGTATATTATGATTGACCGAGCAAATAAAAATAAGCGCACCGAGTCTTTTGCTTTCCGAGTACAGCATAAGCCTCGGTGACCTTCTTGAAAATTTCGGGGGAGCTTGGATCTTGAGAGACGTCAGGATGATGAGCCTTGCTCAGCTGCATGCGCGTCACTTCAACTATATGCACCGACTATGAACAAACCACACCTCGTAGTACCTTTTCTGTAGTACCGTCTCAGGCCACCAGAATGAACCTCAAGTAAGATAGAAGGACTAACTTTAATTTGGTCCTGCGAAGCATCTCTCCATAACCCAAGTGCGGTATAGTGAACCCAACGATCCGTCTCGCCTATTGAACGTTTGGCGGCTTGAGGTGGTACAGTATCTCCACGCGAGTGTATCCATGATGAAAAACCAAGTGCGAGAAGGTGAATCAATGACGGTTTGCTATCATCGCGTTTTCGACTTTCGGTGGTGGCGTAGTGGTGTTTGGGGTGTGGTGGTGCGATGTTCTTGTTCCTTGATGACCATGAGGAGAGATTGAGAAACGGAAGAGAAAATGGAGACCCTCTGGGTCTCATCGGTTGATGGCTGCAGTTGAAGTTGTTGACATTCAAGTGGGTCGTTGGTCCCGGTCATCTCACGCTGACACGCTTTCGGCGCATCCTCATTGGGAACATTTACCGATTCTATAGGTGACATGGTACGTGCCACATATAATTTATCATCCAGGCCAAACTAATAGCCGCGTTTGATTGTTGTGAGCAATTCGCCCGTCTTTGCATCTCAGGTGCTTTACTCTGTTGTCTCCGCCCGTCGCATTTTTTTTTTCAACGCCACTCTTGACATCCCGTCTTTGGATCACCCGTTTTGACGTCCCACAACCTCACTACTACTGTCCCATCGCTTCCGCTTGCCAGTGCTGCCGTTTGGAGACAGTGCTATGGTGGACATTTCTGTTTTATCCACCCCATCGCCGATCTGTACGCCGCTCTCCAGGTCCCATAGTCGGAATGAGCCCTGAGGCGAACATGTGACGATGCGTGGTCCTCCAGGCAGGTGCACAACACCATTCACCTTGCCAGCATGACCTCGCATCGTCTAGTTTTGTGTGAGTGCTGCAAGATTTTCCATCTCAGTGGTGGGGGAAGAGATGATTGGCGGTCGGGGCACAAACACCAACGACAATGGACTATGTAGGCGCAAGAAGACTGGCGGGATCGTTGAGTTGGAACGGGTTATTTGACGGTTACTGGTGAGTCAACGAGCCTGTCTCATTACATGATTATTAATATGAGCTTGCTATTGAAATTGGATTCAGAGCCAGAGGACGGCCGCAGGACTACGTATGCTGACGTTGTTGAAAATTGGTAAAAGATCATTTCTGGGATCCGCTGGCAAAAGAATGCTCGACATTGCTTGGTAGAACAAACCAAGTATCACTCATGAAAGCCACCAACGCCAACGCGAATTTACGCAGATATACTCCGATCACTGAGGAGTGGGACAGATCTGGGATTGATATCGTAGATGATTGGTTTCGAGGAAGTTTGGAGCTTGACGTCCGAATCGTTTAACAAGGTACTCATCTTACGTCTTATATTCATGTTCGATACGCATCTTAATTTAGATGAAGCGCCCAACCAGGATTGTATCCATCTTTGGACCCGGTGTCTTTAATTCTATAGTATATACGCAGGGCGGTGCGGTGTGCATTTCCACTTGGTGTGTAGTATGTAACAAGTCATCTTCACTGTATGGCTTGCAGCCGCCTTGTTAGACGCTGGGCGGCTGTACTATCTCACATCACTCCCTGCTCATCTGGGACAGGTGCAACACATTTTTCGCATTACAGTCTCCCTAGTATCGAGGCAGAGCAGGGATACGACTGAGACCTGACTAGAAGACGGATTGGTACAATCTCCAAATTCCTTGCGGGGGCAGCCTGAGATGGATGGATAGACATGACGGCCGGGAAGACTATTTGCTACGTCAACGTAGGGTCAGGTATGCAGATCATGTAAGCAATAGGATTTCATTTGATAGATGTTGAGTGAAGGTGCGTTCTCATTGGTTGCGTCTGTGGACTGATTTGGAGCATTAAGATACTTTACGCTTCGTGCGGCGTTAAGCATACGGAGTTTCGTGCTTCTGAATATGATATATCGTGGACACACTCTGTCAAAAAGACTTTGAGTCGTGCTATTCTGGTTTGGGCGAGCGATCAGGTCACAACGGTCAGCGGGTGTCTATTTTCATCACATTGCAACAAGTCTTCATCTGGTATTCCATTTGGCTGCTATTACTTACTACCAACTTACTACCGATATCGTATACAGAACCGGAGAGGCCGTGAAAGGCGAACGCAAGAGGAAGCCAAATTTCGAGAGTACCCTTCTGCAATTCAATGGCGCAAATAACTACCTGGTAAGGAACTCAAGAGATGATGGTGTATCGTGTATTCCGCAGAGTAACGTGGGTGGAGCGGACGAGACAGCGGTGGACGTATACTCATCCTCAGGTAAGAATTTTCTTGTGTGATGAACCTTTGAACGACCAGCAAGTCTGTGAAGGAACCATTCAGTTTGAATTGATGCAAATAGTGACACTCTGCAGACAATATTGAACGTGAATAAATCGAAGAAGGATACGCGTCAAACACACAGTAAAGCTTATAGTCAGACCGTTGGTGGCGCGGAGGGAAGCAATGCATAATCATTGGTCTGCATTCCATAATAAGTTCGCATATCCATAAGTTTAGTAACAGGGATGTATGATGGAAAAGTAGATTCATAGAAAAAACCCGTGTTTCGTTATATACACATGTGACAGTCTACGGGGAAGGCACGCTACGCCATTCGTCACAACTCGAAACCTGAGCCTGAGTGAAAAGGGTTGAGTACTATAGCATGGATGGCATCACTGGAAAGACTCACTCAAGACCCAAGAACGTAACTTGATCTGGGTAGTGTCATTACTCATGTTCATCGCGAGATGGTACCGTTGGAAGGCCTTTCCAAGACTGCCAGCCCTAAGGTGCGCAAGGATAAGTTGCTCGTTGGAGGTTAGCCACAACCTCCCAATGTCCCATCCGAAGAGCTGCAAAAAAGGCGCAGTTGAGCACAGGTGGGCTTTCCGGTGACGTCATATTCAACGTACCACAGTGAAAGCCTCGAAGGCAGCAGGGACGACGTGTTTAGTCAAGACACTACCGGATTCGACAGCGATAGTGTATTGCTCAACGGCCTCACTATAACGCCCGCCACTGAAAGCAATGTCTCCTAGTTGGAGCCGCAGACTCACCTGATGCGCGAAGCGCAGAGTCACCGGACGAACATAAGGGTGATCGCGAACAAAAAACTCACCATCACGACACCACAAAGGAGGGGATCGACACCATCACGACGAGCAGACAGTTCCTCGACACGCATAATTGCCTCTCCAACTCTGTTAGCATTGAAGAGCGCAATAGCCTGAAAGACAATGAAGCGTGGAGCACGCAAGATGAAAAGATAAACCTGCCTTGACCAAGTAAATGAAGACAGTGGCATCCATGTTTCCCTCGGTATACGTGGATGCCATGTCAAAGGCTGTCCTCGCTTCGTCGAGGAGCTGCCTTCCACAGAGGGCGATACCTTGGGCGATATAGCCGACCAACGATTTTTTCAAGTTAAGGGACTACGAGATCATCGAAGTCAGCGGGGTTTTTTTAGTGCGTGATGGGTCGTTGTTTACCTCGTCTGCATCCTTAAACGCATCCTTCCAGCGGTGCTGGCGTGCCAAAACGAAAGAGCGGTTGGCATAGGAGGCGAAGTTCTTGGCTTTGGTAGAAATCTCTTGAGTGAGGGCCTTTTCAGCTCGAGTGAGGGCCTGTTCAGCTTCAACGATAGATAACTTATCCCCTGTGGTAGATGCGTCACGGAGGATCCTGGTGATAGGGAGGAGCTGAGCCGTCACGGCAGTGATGCTAAGTTTCTGCGCAAAAAAGCTTGAATGGCACCACACAAGCAAAACGCAAAATCATACCTTTGAAACAGATATATTGTATTTCGCCGTGGACAAAAGTTGGCTGTTCGTGAACTCAGGCTGCTCGACCTCAGCAGTAGACTGTTCGGCCTTCGATTCAGACTGCAAGTTCACATTCGTTGAAGTCAATTGCAGAGGCTTGGAATTGGAGCTTGCGGTCGTCGAAACTGACTGCAGAGGACTGGAATCGGAGCCTGCGGTCGTCGAAACTGACTGCAAAGGACTGGGATCGGAGCCTGCGGTCGTCGAAACTGACTGCAAAGGACTGGAATCGGAGCTTGCGGTCGTCGGAACTGACTGCAGAGACTCAGAATTGATACTTCCAGTCACCGAATCAGATGCTACGAGTGTCTGTATGAAAAAAGCTGGTCAATTGTGCCACACAAGCAAAGGGTGAAATCACACCTGTTCGGCCTTTAAAACAGGCAGCTCAGGCTCGGTGATATATGTTGTAACCAACTGCTCGGGCTTGACAAGAGACTGTTCAACCCTTAGAACAGCCTCATTGGTGACACCTGCGGCTGCATGGATTGTCTGTGTGGGATCTTCGAACACCAAGGAGGGGTTGGTGATAGGTTGTGCCATTTTACTAGAGGTTGTTAGTGTCGAGCACTGATGAGTGAACTTAGTGGAGTGATTCTAGGTGTAGCTGGAGAGGCGTATGCGCTCTGCATTTTATACTGCTTCATCAGATGCTAAACACATGCATAAATCTCTTATTCATACAGTACCTTGCTCAGCACATTTCAGGGATTCAGGAACATAACACCACATGCTTCTCTAAATAATGTAAACAATCATCCGCCCGGCGACATGTGAACTTTGGCTCCGAGTCCCTGTAATTTTTTTTTTTCGGAAGTTCGAGATCTACGCTGCAGGCGTGCACGCTATGTACAGATTTCTATTTGATCGACTGTTCTAACTCTGCTATCATTGGAAAAGTCAGTCACGGGTAAACTGCAAGCAGATCTAAGTTCCCTCACCGCTAACTCTCAACCAGACTGGCGTCGAACGAATGCGAGTTCCTCGCATCGTTATAAAATTCACAGTCAGACTTTTGATTGTATCATCTTCCGCTCCTGAGATGTGTTAGCATGCGCGTGTGTGTTGCAAATAAGTGCGACGATGGCGATGAGGGTGATAGACTCACTGTACAATATCACAAACGGTCCATCAAACAAAGACTCGGAAGAAATAAAGATAAAAATGCCGCGTCCGCCTCCTCCAAAGGCCGCCCGTGATGGTGTCTTTTCCGCACCTTTCCCACGAATCGAGGCCACTGTGCGCAGAACGCTTTCACGCACCAATTGAGGCCTCATCAACATTGTGCAGTACTTGTTTATTGTCTCCTCATTGGCGCGGTCTTATTGAGCATGGGATTGACAACTTAGAGTGTGATCTACAGTGTGACAATTGAAGCGCAAGTCCTTGTTATCCGATGTCAGATCTGAGGGCCCAGACCAGGTCTACGAAAAACCCACTCCGGGTCTAATAAGTTGATGCTCGTTGAGACCTTTTGTCAGGGCGAGATAACTTTGTGATACCAGAATCGAATCACGGTATTGCCCTGAAATGTTTCCGCGCGGTCATAGCAGATGTGCCATTGCGCCCAAGTTATCAGAATTGTTCGGAGCTCTACAATGGTTTTCTCAGGAGATTTGATGGCTGCGAGGCTTCCTTTTATCTCCTATGAGTTCTGCGCTACAGGTTTATACACTTGTCGCAAATTTGTACATGACTTGGCAATCGTTCTAACTCTGCTATCGTTCCCTGTCCACTGGTGCCAAGTCGCACGGTACACACTTCTTGCCATGTTCCCGGTATCTCGTCAACCGTACGATCTTCACGACGTTCTGTAAGAAGATCATAACACTGCAGTCAAGGGCAGGGTATGTCGAGCAAGGGTTCACTTGAGAATTACCTGTGTCGTACTGAACCTCTTTTTAGCAATCAAATCAGCAGACCACACATTCGTTATCGAACTGCATACTCCGAATAGCACCCGCATGGATGGGCCAAGACCATGTCTCATTGTGCGCTTTGTGGACTCAGCACAGCGTACATGAGCTTTTGTCGACTATTTTTGGAGAGATCGGGATTCTGGAAGCCTTTGTCTATATGTGCAAGGACGTGCGACCCGCATCAGAGCTTCTGGTGCGCTGGATGTCAGTCTTTCAGAAATCCTCGCACCATCACGGGGATTTCGGATGTCCGACAGTGATGACTATGTAGCCAATGTGGGTTGCCGCAAGAAATATGATTTTAGTATGAGCCATCGAAGCTTTTCTTCCGGATCAATGTCACAGAAACAAGCGCGAGTACTTGGAATAAATTCAACGCCTAGGATTGTGATGTTCAGATTCTTGATCACATCACCTACAAAATGGAATCACACGGTCACCGCGAGGAGCCATAGGATGAAGGGCAAATCACTCTGCTCCTCAGCCTTCAAGCTTCAGCTTCAGGGGCGAATACACATTTAGAAGTCTTTTCCAAATTGAACTTTGACGGAAGGCAGAGATCTACGAGTGAGATATAGTAAAAAAAAGTCAAATAACCCCTTTTAGCGTGATAAAGGCCCAGACCAATGAGACTTACAAACGCGCGTCCATTGGGAATGAAAAGACAGGAATCCCAGCGGTTCCACAATCATACCGTTGATATCACTTACAACTTGTTGGCGAATTGGATCCTACGTTGTGGCATTCTCACTCGGTCGTCCGACTCGGACTCGGTGATTCTTCAGTTCCCTGTATCCTAACTTTGCATGAGTAATCAAAAGTTACCGCAATTGCTCGGGTTTCAGAAGTAATAAAACGAGTTCAAAAAGTAACTTATTTCCATCGCCTTGAGTAGTGCATCGACTCGAGAGGGCTTGAACTACTGGGGAAAGCATGAGATTATTTCCAATGCACCAACAAACCGAGAAGTTGGCAGACCTTGCTTGATATAGCAGTATTGATAGTTAAGCGTGTGATTGTCCAACATTATAGATTCGTCAGAGCAAGTACATATCCCACACCTGGTCATCATGTTTTCTGCAGAAACACTTACGATACATCACACTGATTGTTTTAAAGGTCTTATAACAGGCAAGCTAGCTGCCCAACCCGACTCGTCTTTCGCTTACGTTCAAAGTGGAGACGACTAATGTTGGTTCCGGCATGTCTTAGCAGACACTGTGTCAGAGGTGAGTCCATTCTGCATGATCGTAGATGTCATATCATAGCAGGTTTATTGAAAGATACTCGTCCTTCTTGTTGTAATCTCCACAAACTCTGACCGAGACTTGGGTGCTCAGCACTGCATGAAAGGTCCTCGCACACTGTCTTGCAGTCTGCGTTGTTTCCAAACACTTCTGTGGTCTGCAACAACCACCGACTATTTTACAGTGTCAATAAAAACACACTTTGCAGCGTGAGCTGGAGGTCTACACGAATCAGGTTTTCTGCCTCAACCTCGCTTTGATATCCAAAAATCTTGGCACACTGATTCTGTGACTAATGTCTATACTTGGCCACTACTGATCGTGTCTGCCTCTTGCGGGAGTGATCTATGTCGGCCTCTGACTTTTTCCAATTATTTGTGGTGGGATCATGCCTCGTCCCCGATGCCCGAGAGTATCACGCCAAGTTCGTAGCCAATACTAGTACTGACGTATACGTAGGAATTGCCATGAGTGCAATTACTTTCCAAAAACATATACACAAACTCTTGTTTAGAGTTCATCTGAAGCGTGATTCGGTTACTTGGATATATAAAATGGATCGTCAAACCAATCACCCAAAATGCAAGTTAAGTATTACATAATACTTGCAAGCGCATGAATCTTTCGATGGTCACCACAACAATAATGGTATCGAGCCATCTACAAACTACGGATATACAGGTTTTTGTTTTGTTTTAATGGCTCAAGAAACCGCTTGCTTCAGAAAGGTCACTCAGTGGATCTTACGCACTTCGAGTCACATCAAAATGGACACGAGGCTTTTTGTAATTGGGGTGTTGACCACGGCATCATGATAACTGTCCCAAAGCTCGACTTATATACCAAACATCGACTAATCTCCACTTGTTCCCCGCTGATGCATATCACGCTCTTAGAGTTCATACTACACCCATCATGCCATTTGCTGCAGTGGGATCGAGTTTGAAGATCACCGCAGATGAAACACAAGCACTGAAGTCTTTGCCAGTAGCAGCACAGGTCAGATCCCTTATCATATCAATCCGTTCCATCACTAACATACACTCACTCAAGATCACTGCAAAGAAAGCTATACAGGGATCCGTCGCAGATCTGGGAAGGCTGGTCGATTTTATTTCGATGCTCAATTCTTCCCGTTACTGTTGCTTGGCGCCCATCTTTCACGCTACGCTTAGTTCAATTCAAGTACCAAACTACATCAATCCCAAGACTATTCCTACCATCATGCGCGCCAAGTGGGCTCTCGTGGGATTGGTGAAGATCTCCACTGTTACCCCTTCAACTTATGATGACATGGACGACCCCGTGACAAAGTATCTCGTGAGGAGGTGGGACGACGCATACCCTTGGATGCGATTCTTTGCTAGGAATTGCCTCCCTCCTCCTTATGATGTCTCGGTTTCTCCTCCGCGCCCTGACCTTTGCAATGTGTTCGATGCTGCAAAATTGTGCATCACCCCGCTCTCATTAATCTGCACCAAATCGGAAGAAGGGCGTCATTTGCTTCGTTCTTCTGTTTCTGTCCAGCACTATGTTGCACAGTTATGGATATTGATCGGAAACCTCAAGGGAGATGTACTCCAAGGCGACCCTGGAACTACATCGGAAGGCCTTATCTCTATGCTTCGGGCGTCTTTTGCTCTAACGAACCATGTTTGCGTATCTGAATCTGAAGATCCAAACAAAATCATTCTTCCTTTATCGAATTATATACAAGCTGCAGGAGGGGTGAAGCCCGTTGTCTTTACCCTTCTCAGATACATCCGTCGGATTACCAGAGATGCTGCTGCTGTAGAAGCACCTCGATCGTGGACGCCATCCGATCGGAGTGTAAATCAACTTCATCTTTATACTGTTGGTCTCCATTATTCCTTCGAGTTCCTCAATACAATCAGTCGCCAGGACGCTTCATGCCGCGAACAACTTATCCGCCAAGGTTCGATCCGCACGGTGGTAGGCGCGATCACTGAGATATTGCCGAAGATCTTGGTGCAAGCAAGCAAGGAGATGGATTTTCATCCACAGCTGGGACTCGCGGGTAGGCAGAACGTTCTGTGGTCAGGGTACTCGTATATTGCATCCGCTATCCGTGATGCAGAGGACGGGGTGACAGCTGCATGTCAGGCAATCGATGCTGGAGTCCTTCAAATCTTGGAGAAGGGGGTTGTTTGCCCACCTCACGCCGATCGCCGCGATCACCCCACCCGTGGACGCATGGGCGACATAGAATTGCTCTTCCTTCTCGCCACGTTTTTCATGTACCACAGGGTCGTTGAATCAATTTTCCGACACTGGATTCGCATGCAAAGTGCTCCTATGCAAAAACGAGAGATACGCGACAAAGGGTTGGGAGTCGCCCTCGAACTCGTTCTGACATCTACTATCGATGCTATGGACCATCGCAGTGTAGAACCTATTAACTTCCATGAATACAGGTGCAGTGGTCCAGGAGTACGCTGATAATCTCTAGTTCCATCATGTGGGTGCTCATATGTGTGCCAGTGTCCGATGTGCACATCCGAGTTTGTAAGCAAAAAGCGTCGGTGCTCAGGCTGCTTGGTATCAATATATTGCTCGGAGAAATGTCAAAGGGCTGCTTGGCGCAATGGACACAAGAGGTGGTGTCAAGTTCTGAGATGCACCGTTGGTGAGTCCATTCAATCTGCCTCTCATGCTTCTCGATTGAATCGCCAACAGGGCCGTGGGGCTCACGCGATATTCGTACGAGTCTTCAAGTCATCGCAGGCTTTGAAAACAGCGAGATCTCGGGAATGGCCAAAGATGTGGAAACGCGCGTTCGTGAAGCACAGCAGCAGTTTCCTGCATTCCGCGATAGACTCGTGCTCATGCTGGACATGAGTGTGTATCCGCCAGAAGTCCACGTGCTCCCTGTGCACAAGCTTGAGCAGTTTCCTGGAAATGACCCCATATGGCCGGAGATCGCTGATGAGATCCGCCAACGAAGCGAGTCGCCACCGAAAGGATATATGTTTTCGGTGGTCAAGGTTAACCTGGGGAAGCCGAAGGTTACGCTGTTCAGCCCGAGCACAGCGTTGCGTATGGCATTTGAGGGCCAGTATTTTTCGGATGATGAGATATCTGTAGATGAAGATGAAATTGATGATTCAAAAACTCCAGGCCATGAGGACTTGGATCATGGTTCAGAGTCATTGGATGATGGATAAGTGCTACGATGTTTGACGGTCATTATGCTATGTGTTCAGTTGCTTTCGTTAACTATGACCTTCCTTTACTCTGTACAGAACACACGCAATACCAATCTTGTAGGTTGATTGGGCTGAGAAGTGGTAGAATCGATCGATCGGTAATTCACTTGATTCCCGACATTGTGTTCAGGCGACGTCCATGGTTCCTAATCTACACACGATGAAAAGAAACGAGTACAGAAGTAGGATTGTCTAGGATTGAGTTCTAGCCCGTTCATCCACAAAACTCAGAATGTCTTCGTCAGAGGGCCGACGTTCCATATCTTTTAACCAACAACTCTGGATGAAATTCCACTCGCTGTCCCCGACAACATCTGTGGGTGGCTTCTTGGGTGTGGTTCCGCGTAATATGAAGGCGAGTATGGTTAACTGGTTGGAGATATAATGGTATGGGACCTTGCCCTCCAATACCTGCAGAGATATGAGCTAATTCAATATTGATGATCTAGGTTACGTGCCTGTAGCATGATCCTTCCGAAAGAGTATACATCACTTTTCGGAGAAAACACCGGCGCCGACTCGTTGCTATCATCATCGAGCGCCAAACATTCTGGCGCCATGTAGGGTGCGGTGCCTCCGCAATAGGTTGGTATTAGTGCTTGACTTCTTCTCTCAGGAATGAGAGCAGAGAGACCAAAATCGGTCAGACTCGCTTTTCCATTTCTATCGACGAGAACATTGTTCTAAGCAAGCTTCAGTTGGACTTTTACGCAACCCATAAATATGTACGTACGCCACTTAAGTCACCATGGGTAATTGACCGCGAATGCACTGCCGTTAGTGGACTCTCGCATCAACAACAAGATATTAAACTTACGATACTGAAGCCCTTGAGCTATGTCCTTGAGCTAAAGAGACCTCAGCGTGCTGATTATGATGAGATAGAAAATTGACCGAACCAGAGCAAACTTCTTGTTGTAAGAAAGCCTTTCGTGCTCACGCTGAATGTATCCAGTCAGCGCACCATTTTCCAACCATGGCGAGATAAGTGCTGGGAGGGAACCAAAGTCATCTGCAACTCCCCAAAGAGGAACGATATTCTCGTGCTCAAGTTCCAACCATAGCTTAATTTCTCTGAACAATCGCTGAAGGACCAAAGTCAATTGAATGAACGTGGAACCTCGTGGCTACTGACATTGATAATCGTCAACATGTCTGCATCGCCTTTCAAAATGATTTCCTTGACTGCGACCTAGATTGTTATGAGAAACGCAGAACGAAATGATGGACGGGGTACCTACGTCAACAGAAGTTGACTTGGAAGGATACTGGTAGCGGAAAACAACTTGTTGGACGGCACCAGTGCCTCTCAGATCAAGTTTGCACCTATGAACATTTGCAAATCCTCCGGAGTTCTGGTGGACATTGTTGAGTCGTTTGACCGAGTTCGTCAGATCGGCAGCACTGAAGATGATGAGCCTAACAGCGGCATGCAAGGAAAGTTAGTAACTCACCCGAAACTTTGGACTAAAACTAAGTGGATAACCTTCTCGATTGAAGGACGGGATTTCTCTGCCGAAACGCACTGCTGCATCAAGTTCATGTGCACTTCATCAACCTTTGAATAAAAAGGCATTTGAGGCCTGCACAAGAGAAACTTTGCAAGGATTATACCTCCCCAGTAGAACGAAAAGGACGTGCGCCCTTGTTTTTTCTCTTTTTTCTGTTCTTCGTATGCACTTGATCTTCCTCAGAAATCCACCAGTACGGCACCTTTCCCCACAATACCTAGAGAATATCGGTGTAAAATTCATCGAAAGTTGATGAGGTTCATGACATACCAGAATTGCGACGCAGCCATATGAGTACACATCTCCTTCTTTGGTCGGCTTTGGTGCTCCCGTCCGGCCGCCAGTGAAAATAGACTCGGGTGCACTGTACCTTACATCTCCCGGGAGCTGCTCTTTGAACATCCGACTATCTGCTTCACCCAGGATTACCGAGTGACTGAAGTCTGCAATGCGCACACGGCCTGAGCCGTTGAGGAGAATGTTGTCCTAGAGATGCGGTGAGAATCTTTAAGTAGTGTAAGTAATCGAAGCATACACCCGTTAAATTGCCATGCACAACGTCCTGCTTGTGTACTAAGGATGCACGTAAGTTCCATGCACAGGTGACTACGGGGGACACTGACGATATTCGATCCCATGCGCCACCTCCAGTAGCTGCCCATTTGAGGTTAGAGCTAAAGAACTTATGTATGTCACGAATTTGTGAATCATTAACTTACAATATCCAGCTTCCGATGGGCAGATAAATTGGAGAACTCTCGTTTCACGTACTCGTGCAACGAACCGCCTGCCATCCATGGGTATACAAAGGAGGGGAGAATGCCAAAGCCATCAGTCATTCCATAGAGGGCAAGGATGGTCTCGTGCCTCAACCTTTCCCTGACATACATCTCACGACGAATCCTCTGCCAAGCAATACATTGTTTAGCGATGATGTTGCATACAGCAAGGCTGAATTGTGTGTTTACTCACATTCAATATTTTGTTCATATCATTGTAACTGTCAACATTATCCCTCAAAGTCTTGACGGCGACCTGTCAACTGATGCATTACATACGATTCCGTGAATCCATAAAAATGCACTAACCTCGGTCTCAGTTGATCCTTGCACCCACTTGCATTTCAAAGGCGCACCAGGTACGTCAAAACCATCGGAATGATAATCGCACTTCGTGAGAACTGCTTGCGATATTCGTGTCACTGTGACTGGAAGTTGCGACAGCATCGTCTTCATAGTCTCCGCGATATTTGTTTGTGACCATAAGAACTCCACGATTTTTTCGACCGACGGGCGGTATTCCCTGTTCTTTGACCAGCATAGTTGCACAAATCGCTGTATTTCTTCGTCGATACCAGCCAATTGTGCGAATGGTATGTGCCCCTTTTCAAGTGCTGCCATAATGTGGATAGTGCTCTTCATATGGGCAAAAGGTTGATGACCGGAAAATACCTGCATGATATCAGCAATGTGGCATTTAAAATGGGAACATGCGATTCACCTGCATCATGATACAGCCATACGAGTAAATATCGCTGGCCTTGGTTGGCTTGCTAACCACCTCCTCCTCCCCAACTTGAAGTAGCTCCGGCGCCATCCACCGGATATTACCGGCGTAACCTGATTTAAATATAGTGTTACTTGATTCTGCGAGGATCATCGAGAGACCAAAGCCCCCGAGACAGAGCCTCCCGTCACTACTGACTAGGATATCGGTCTAGATTGTAGAACGGTCACTTCTGCATATCCGAGTACGGCGAACGAAACCTACATCATTTATGTCACCATGAACAATCCCATTTTCATGCACTGTAGTATATTAGTCGATTGAAGCGGAAAACCTGTGTTACTCACAATACTGAAGACCAACTGCTACTTCCCTTACCTGAAATATCGAGTCAGTGTTGAACCCGTCTCCGCGGATAGAAAATGCATACCATGCTTAACTTCCTTTCCCACGAAAGGCCAACTTCCCGTTTCAAATAGTCATTGAGTGATCCATTTTCCATCCATGGAGTGACAAACGCGGGAAGAGGCCCAAACCCTTCGGTAACACCCTCCAGAGGGAGAATGTTGTCGTGCAACAATCGTACCCAAACATAGACCTCGCGGCGAATCCTCTGGTAAGTAAATCCATCAGCAAGTGCAATGGGGAACTAATTCATGCCTTCACCTTGCCTATTTTTTTCAACATTGTCGCATCTGCAAATTGAGGGAGACATGGATCAATCAGAATAAAGCTTACGGATGAAACCCCACTGTACATACCTTCCGAAAGAAGCCTGATAGATTTGACCGCGACCTTGATTGTGATAAATAAGCATGATATTGGAGCTGTTCGCCTGTTTCTAAACTTACAGCACGGGCCTCAGATTGTGTAGACATGGAACATTTCCAGATATCGCCAAACCCTCCCACAATATCAGGATACTGCCCTGATCTTCGGATGGCTGTCGCAGGAATAATATTTGGTTCAATCTTGAATTGAACGGTGAGATTGCTCTCCTGCCCATGTTAATCAGATATTATTGATAACGTTTGTAAAATCAAGATTGACTTACATCCATTGTGAGGTAAAATCTTCAGTGAAGGAATCAAGACGAGAGGCGTTAGAGTAAATAGCACACGACAGCAATATTGTTCCGTGTTTATATGCACGGTTAAACAAGTCCCATGGACACCCACCTATCATACTGAGGGTCTCTGGCTATCAAACCATCGTGTCATGACGAGGCTGTGGCAGCGCAGAAACGGCGGTCATCCCTGAGCGGCCTGAGCACTTTGTCCATATCCGTCCGCTGCGGTGCAATTGCCAATTAATAGTTTAGATGCCAAAAAGAATCGACGGTGCATACCTATGCATGTGGGCGCTCGGCCGTGCCAGTCCCCGACACCTTCAAGTTTGTCAACCTTGCCGCTTGAATGGCAATTGTTTTTTTTATCAGAGTTTTGGTCATTGTTCCTCCTGTATAACACGTTTTATTGTCGAGATTGCCTTGCAAATTGAGCCGCCTGGACTCGGATATATTCCTGAACTGTCAGGTTCGTCCAACAGCAGGTCGACTCGGACGCACCAAATACGAAGACCTCCGCCCCACTGTCATCGGTAGCAGTATACGTGATTGTCGGCAACTGAAAATATTTTTCCACGCATAAACGGCAGCAGAAGTTGAACCGTGTTGGGCATCGAAGCCTATGAATCAGGCTAAGCACGTTTGATGATGCTTACCTCCTGACAGCCTGATAAAGGGTACGTATTGTACTAGCTCTTGATTAGTACAACAGCTGGTCAGCCCGGTTGCCATTCTAAACAGCTATCACATCCATATGGTCGACCATGTCGGATACTGTCAATTATTATTTATCTGCTCAGTATCATAATTGCGATACTTACATATCCCCATCGAGTTTTCTTGCGACTTGCTAGTCTCTCGATGGCATCACGCTGGTGGCCTATATTATGTTGTACAAAACTCAAGACAGAGAATACAAAGATGCTAGGAAACTGCCATGGTATCACGAGTCGCATGAGAGTATATCAGAAGCATTTTTCTTCTAGCATTCCCAGCTGTCCCTGTATAAATACCAAGACTTTCCTGGCTGAAGGCCTGTGTTCCGGCTTATCAAGCCAGCACTCCTGTATGAAATCCCACGGACCATCCGCCATGGACGGAGTCACTGGTCGAGCAGGCTTTCGGCCTCTGAGTATCTGCACAGTAACCTGATGGTCACTTCGAAATTCGGAATATGGAACTTTTCCTGTGAAGACCTACAAAGAGAATGATAATCAGACTGCATGGTGCCAAGAACCGCCCACAAACCTGCAACATGACGCAGCCGAAAGAATAGATGTCCGATGCCAATTGAGGCAAGCTTATTGACTCGTCGTCTTCCGGGACTTGAAAGTTTTCAGGTGCAGCCCATCGCACATTGCTTCGGATATACGATGTACCATGGAGCTCGGCACAAAATGTGAGGATTCCATGGTCAGCCACGAAGGCCTCACCGTTCTCGTTGATGAGAACGTTGTTCTGAGTCGCATCATTATTAGCTTTGATAAAGGAGGCGTCTGTGGTACTCACGCCAGTGAGATCCCCGTGTACTACGTTTTCAGAGTGCACTAATATTCACGTTAGCTTTGCGCCAAATACTGACACTCGTCACGTACAGTATCGAAGAGCTGAAGCGACGTCTTCGAGCTATAACAGCAAAGATTAAGATGCGAGCTATACCATAAAGAAAAACCCACGATTTGAAGCATTTGAGTGAGAGTGAGTTGCTGAAAATCACGTTCCAGAAGCATGGTAAGCGAGCCTTTCTGCATCCACGGGGAGACGATGGCAGGTAGCGGACCAAACCCTTGAGTTATGCCCAGAAAAGGTAACAAATTGGCGTGTTCTAGTTTGATGTTCCGCTGCAAGTTGTGTTCTAGCCTCTGAAGCATTGTACATCAGCAAATAAGCAGATGGTACTAGCGCGCGGAGCCACCCAAACCTTGGTAATCTTTGTCTTGCAGTCATCGTTCGGAATTTCGAGTCGCAAATACTTCACTGCAACCTGGTAGACAGGGCACATCATATTAACAAGTGAAAACCTAAGGATCTACTGGACGTCTTTACCGTGTTTTGAGGGTGCTTCAAGCTGCAGTGTACGCACTTCCAGACATCCCCAAAGCTGCCTTGAGCGACAGGGTATCGGGATGATTCCTTGCTTATTTGCTCAGTGAGATCGAGTAGACTAATGTAAATAATCCGGTGCTCAGTAAAAATTGCGTGAGATATAGATGCATAGAAAAACAGACTCATTCTTGTCGTATGGTGACTTCGAACCAAGCCCAAGGCTGGCAAGGAGCAAGCGTGACTTCCTCCCCCAGTCCTTCAACCGGACTTGAATCCAAGCGGGCAACAGGACCTCGATATCGAAAGAAGAGAACATGGGAAAAACTACAAAGGCATGCTTGGTTCTTGTGAGAAAACTATCGTGGGTTAGTATGCTCAGCGCTCACCAGCGTTTAGATATGTACATGATGGATGACTTGCCATTCTATTCATGTATCACAACCATGTTCGGAACAAGATGCTACTAGTACGTATTAGTCCATCTATGATGCTCCAGGTAAGTTCTCCGTCTTCGATGGAAACTTCGACTTCAGCTAAACGCCTATGATAAGGTTGCTGTGCACCGCTGGTTCTCGAGCGTTCAAAATTCATGTTTCATCACGTCCGTCAAAGATTTCCCAGAAACCAGGTATGTGGTCAAAAGTTGCCCCAGCCGTTCTCACTGACATATCAGTCCCAATGAAAATAAAACGGACACCCTCTCACGAAGATTGGCGGAAATATATGTAAAAGTTCGGTGTCCCTAGACGAGCGCTGAACGTTCCAGCGCTCGGTCGACCGGTCAGGATCAGTGCTTCTATGATGCGGCTGAAACCTGTGCACAGAACTTTATTACTAAAGTGCAAGCGCTTGCTGGTATGTCACATTCTTCATCGAAGATCTATGACTTGTGTTATATTCGTCCAGGAGATGCGCTTATCATCTATCTGTCATCTGTCATTTAGGGGGAACGCTTTTTGTATTTGCTTATTCGACGTATCACTTGCACTCACACTCGTCCAAGGCAAATAATAATGCCACCACACGATGTTAATTTCAAAACTTCGCTCAAAGAGATTCCAGGGGCTACTAGTACATTTCTATTGTGTTATTACAAGGTGCGCGCGTTGTATCTGTGTAGGATAAACTGCGCTGTACTGTGTACATGCATGGCTTATTATAATTTATGTGTCTGCACCACGATAGGCCTTCAAGCCTTCACTACAGCTTCGAACTAGTGAGATCTCGAGAATGGCTAAATATGTAGAAACACGCGTTACGTGAAGCACAGCAGCAGTTCCCTGTATTCAGCGATAAACTCGTGTTGTTCGACGGTCCTTGTGGTATATGTTTAGTAGCTTTCGTCGATTATGATCTTGCCTGACTTTGTACAGGACACATGCATGTAGTACCTACTTGAATATTGTGGTTGATCAAGCCGAGAAGTGTAGGGTTCGGGAGAAAACTCGTTGCTTATTAGCCGGGTGCTAATTAGCGAGATATTAGCAAGCTAATAACACGCTAATAATTCAATCCCAAAAATCACCATGCTAATAATGCTAAGAACTGCCCATGGCTGCCTGTGCGTCATATATCAGAGGTACATTGTCAATCAGGTGATTCAGGTCAGGAATCGTGTCGGAAGGCTAAATTCCTGACATATAATGAACTAGTTACCATATATTTATTTCAAATTTTCTAATTGGTGCAAGCCTGCGCGTTCAATGATAATCCTTAGGTCCTAAGTTCTGTCAAATTTTCAACCTTGAACCCATGCAAGGTATCACCATGGATGTCATCGAGCTGCACGACGACACTGAGCGTTCCAGTGAGTATACTTCTGGGACACTGATGTACTCCGACATTCCGGAGTCCCTGACTGCAACACTTTTCCCTCCCTCAGACCTTCCCATCTCTGCATTCATCAAATTTGCGATTCCATCTATCACTTCCATCCCTCAGGCTAACCTGCCGAACATTGAGCAATACTTCTGCTTGGAACCCCCACACCCCATCCCAACTGGTCACGCACTCCTATCTTCATTACCAATCCCAATGGAGTCAATCAAAAGAGAATGTGATTCTCAAAAAACTAACTGGTCATGAGGCTCAGCAATCGTTCCTTCGGCAATTTGAACGTTACGCACATGGACAGTATCCATTTGATACCCCCTCGAAGATGGTCAATCAACACTGTCATGGTGGACGCACTTAACAAGAATTCCTGAGGGAAATATCCTCGCGGTCAGTCCATTTGTTGTATACACAATCTGGTTTGCTCACTCCGGTAAAGACCCTCGCTGTCAAGGTATTTTCCGTCCGACCAAGCTCAATGCCAGAAGAGCGCACAATGTCAGTATTCACGCGGATGAACTCTGCGCTGCGAAATCGTCAAAATGTTAGTACACTTGTGAACATGACACAGATCCGGCAGTGGTACATGTATGATTCTACTGTAAGTAAACCCCCAAGTTTCTTTGGCTCACACTCACACAAGCATAGTCCAAACATCCAGAGCGTCCGAGCATCAATTTTTATGACCTCGACGCCCAACTGTTTGGGTCCGGACCGAAAGTAGGCAAACAGCACCATGATACGAGGAACAGCTTGTTGTCGACCGAAAGTGCTGGAGGAGATGAAGAAATCGAAGATGATGAGTCCAGTTCTTGGTTGGACAATGCGGAAGAGAGTTTCACCGCATGCAATGATGCTGATTTCAACGTCGAATCTGAGATAGATCTCAGTGCAGAGAGGTTGTTGGCTGTATTGGCGGAGGTAAGTCCTGGTGGCACACACAAAGACAAGGGAAAAGGCAAAGTCACAGCTGAGGTTGAGATCGAGGGGAATGATAACGTCGATAACGAGTGGCCGGAAGAATGGGATCCATGAGCGGCTAGCTAGGTCATTAGCAATGTTTTTGCCCGCTAAACACAACGTCACGTGACTTGCTAAAAAGTGGCTAATAATCCGCTAGTTAATAACTCCCCAAGAGCCGCCTGGCTAAAAAGCAGGCTAATAATTCGTCGATTAATTTTATCCCTAACCCTAGAGAAGTGGTAGAATCGATCGATCAGTACTTCACTTGATTCCATACATTCTGTCTGGCCACTGGTCAGGTGACCACATCCATGGTTCCTAATTTTGCACGATGAACTTGAAAGGAACAGGTACAGGGGCAAAGATTAACTAGGACTGAATTTTAGCCCGTCCTCCCACAAATTCCAGAATGTCTTCGTCAGAGGGCCGACTTTTCATATATTTTAACCAACAACTCTGGATGAAATTCCAGTCGATGTCCCCGACAACAGATGCGGGCGGCCTTCGAGGTGTTTGTCCGAGCGATATCTTGACGATTATGGCTGCATACTTTTGGACGTAATAGTATGGGACCTTGCCCTCCAATACCTGTAGATATGAGCTGATTCAATATTGATGATCCAGGTTACCACATACATGTAGCATGATCCCTCCGAAAGAGTATACATCATTTTTCGGACTCGGAGAGAATACCGGCGCCGACTCGTCTTCATCATCGAGCACCAAGCATTCGGGCGCCATATAGGGTGGGGTGCCTCCACACATGGTCGGCACTAATGCAAGAGTTCTTCTCTCAGGAATGAGAGCAGAGAGACCAAAATTAGTGAGGCTTGCTTTTCCATCTTTATTGACGAGAACATTATTCTAAGCAAGCATCAGTTGGGCTTTCACAAAACCCATAAATGTGTACGTACGCCACTCAGGTCACCATGGGTAATTGACTGTGAATGTACTGCCCGATTAAGCGTCAGTTACTCGTATCAACAACAAAACAATCGACATACGATATTGAAGGCCTCGGGCAACATCCTCAAGCTAAAGAGACCTCAGTGTGCTGGATATGGCAAGAGAGAATAATCGACCGAACCAGTGCAAACTTCTTGTTGTAAGAAAGCCTTTCGTGCTCACGTTCAAGGTATCCGGTCAGAGATCCATTTTCTGACTACGGTGAGATAAGTGCTGGGAGGGAGCAAAAACTATCTGCAACTCCCCAAAGAGGAACGATATTCTCGTGCTCAAGTTTCAACCATATCTTGACCTCTCTGAACAACCGCTGAAGGACTGGAGTCAGCTGAATGAACGTGGAACCTATGGCTACTGACATTTATAATTGTCAGCATGTCTGCATCGCCTGTCAAAAGTATTTCCTTGACTGCGACCTAGATTGCTGTGAGAATGGCAGAACGAAATGATGAACTGGGCACCTACGTCAATACAAGTTGACCTGGAAGGATATTGATAGCGGAAAACAACTTGTCGGACGATATCAATGCCTCTCAGATCAAGTTTGCACCTATGAACCTTTGCAAATGCTCCGGAGTTCTGGTGGACATTGTTGAGTCATTTGACCGAGTTCGTCAGATCAACAGCACTGAAGATGATGAGCCTAACAACGGCATGCAAGAAAGGCCAGTCACTCACCCGAAACTTTGGACTAAAACTAAGTAGATGACATTCTCGATTGGAGGACGGGATTTCTCCGCAGACAGGCACTGATGCACCAAGTTCAGGTGCATTTTGTCAACCTTTTTGAAAAAAAAACTCCTTTAAGGCCTGCGTAAAGGAAACTGCATGGCTCATACCTCCATAGTAGAATGAAAGGGCTGTGTGCCCTTTGCTTTTTCTGAAAGCACTTGATTCTCATCCGAAATCCACCAGTATGGCACCTTTCCCGATAATACCTAGAAAATCGTGGTGTAAAACACATCAAAGATTGATGTGCCGTGTAACATACCAGAATTGCGACACAACCATATGAGTACACATCTCCTTCTTTGGTCGGCTTTGGCGCTCCTGTCCGGCCACCAGCCAAGATAGATTCGGGCGCAGTGTACCTTGCATCGCCCGGAAGCTGCTCGCTGAACATCCGACTATCTGCTTCACTCAAGATTACCGAGTGACTAAAGTCTGCAATGCGCACATGGCCTGAGCCGTCAAGGAGAATGTTGTCCTAGAGATATGGTGAGAATTTTGCCGTAACGTAAGTAATCGAAGCATACACCTGTCAAATTGCCATGTACAATGTTTTGCTTGTGTACTGACATTGCGCGTGAGTTCCATGCACGTGGAGTCATGATGGACACTGACAATATTCGATACCATGCGCCACCTCTATTAGCTGCCCATTCGAGGTCAGAGCTGGAGAACTCGGGTATACCACGGACTTCGAAACGACTTACAACATCCAACTTCCGACGTGCAGAAAAATTGTCTCGTTTTACGTAATCGTGCAAGGAGCCGCCTGCCATCCACAGGTATACAAAGGATGGGCCTGGGGTAATTCCAAAACCCGCAGTTATTCCATAGAGGGTAAGGATGACCTTGTGTCTCAACCTTTCCCTGACATACACCTCACGACAAATCCTCTGCTGAGAAATACATGATTTAGTAATGATTTATCTGTACATCGACGCTGAATTGTGTTTACTCACTTTGAATATTTTGTCCATACCTTCGTGATCATTTACATTATCCCCCAAAGTATTGACTGCAACCTGTCGATTGACGCATTACGTCTAGATCCGTGGATCCATGCAAATACACTGACCTCGGTCTCACTCGACTCATGCACCCACTTGCATTTCAAACCTGCACCAAACACATCCAAACCACTGGGGTGATAGTCACATTTCGTGAGAACTGCTTGCGATATTTGTGTCACCGTGACTGGAAGTTGCGACAGCACTGTCTTTATACTCTTCAGGATGTTTGTCTGTGACCACAAGAACTCCACAATCTGGCCAATCAACAGACGGTCTTCGCTGTTCCCTGACCAGCATAGTTGCGCAATCTGTTGTATTTCTTTGCTGATACCAGCCAATTGGGAGAACGGTTTGCCCCCCCGCTGCAGTGCTGCAATAACTCGTAAAGGATTTGGAATCCATGCATAAGGTAGACAGCCAGAAAACATCTGCTTGATATCAGCAATGTGACATTTGAATGAGAACACACAACGCACCTGCATCATGACACAACCATATGAGTAAACATCCCAGGGCTTGGTTGGATCCCCATCCTCATCATACCCAACTCGAAGTGCCTCCGGCGGCATCCACTGGACATTGTATTTATCACAGGAGTTAAAAGGAGCGTAGTCTGATTCTGTGAGGACCATAGAGAGACCAAAACCTCCGATACGGAGATCCCCGTCACCACTGACTAGAATGTTGCGCTGAGTTGTGGCACCGTCATTTATGCATAGAGTACAGTGAGTGAAACCTACAGCAGTAAGGTTACCATGGACAATATCCTTGTCGTGTACTACAGGAGATCAGTCAATCAAAATGCAGGGCCGAGTGCTACCCACAATACTGAAGACCAGCTGCTACTTCCCTTGTCTGCAATGTCGAGTCAAGGTTTAATGTGTCTCCACAGATACAAAATGCATACCATACGTAACTTCCTCTCCCATGACAGACCTACAAATTCCCGTTCCAAATAATCATCGAGTGATCCATTTTCCATCCATGGAGCAACCAACGTGGGAAGTGGTCCAAATCCTTCAATAACACCCTCGAGAGGAAGAATGTTGTTGTGCAACAATTGTGCTAAATTGCGGGCCGCTCGACGAACCCTCTTATTAGTAAACCTATCAGCGATGGCGATGGCGAGCCACTTCATGCCTTCACCTTGCCTATTGCTTGTAATGTTTGCGCATCTACGAAATGAGGGAGACACGGATCAATCAGAATGAGGCTTACAGATAGAACCCAACTATGCATACCCATGTGTAAAACCCTGATGGATTTGACCACAACCTTTATTGGGATGAACAATGACACTGGAGCTGTTCCACTGTTTGTAAACTTACAAGATGTCAGGTCCCACTGGCAGATTGTGTAGACATGGAACATTTCAAAACATCGTAAAGCCCTCCTATAATAGCAGGAGAATTCTCGTGTCTTTGGATGGCTGTTGCAGGAATCAAAACTGGTTCGATTTTGAATTGATCAGTGACATTGCTCTCCTGTCCATGTTAATCAGTGACTAGCCATTATTGATGACATCGACTTACTATGTCCATTGTGAGGTAAACCGTAAAACCCTCAGTGCTGACAAGAGCACATGGCGTGCGACAGTATTGTTCCATCCTTTTATGTGAATTCCATCATGGGGCAGGTCTTCATCTGACAGTCCATGAGGCTCAGAGTCAGTGTCACACGGTGGAAACAGGGGCTGCCTGTAATCAAGATAGGAAGATTTGACCAGATGTGCAAAGAATTCATCTAGATGTTCTGATCTGGCCTTCTCTTATCTATGAGTGCTTGAGATTGTTTGAATCGTCTGCCTGAGCCTGAAGTTTCTGAGAGTCTACCCTGTTCGGATCGAGTTACTGCGTCACATGTCACTATATTCGCCACCCCAAATATTCATCCATTAATATTCTTGGCTCAGTGAAAACTTGTATTCGATTCGTAGTACGTACCATCTTTCCACCTGACAAACTCAGAGGGCCGGACTCATCAACACTTTTTGCTCCCGAAACCTCTAGACCCTCACCTGTTCCAATATGTTCCCTTCAACCATCACCCTGACAGCCTGAGCCTCGACCTCTTCACGTATAGCGAGGATCATCTGGAGACGGGCCTGAAGTAGATCCTCACTCCTCTTTCCCCACTTCCATTGTTACGACTTGGATGGTATCTGTTGGCGACGCTCAAACAGAGCGTGTGTCGTCAACGGTCGAGGACGTCCTTGGGCTAGCCCAAGGTTAGGGGTCTTACTTGGCGAGGCTTCGGCAAGTAAGATTTGATGCCTATGTCCGAATCGGGTAGCTTACGTCAAGCGGATGCTAGATGATGAGCTGTATCTGCCAAGGCTTATGACACCCGAAGGTTAATCGTAAGATCGTCGTTAATTAGAAGGACGGAAGTCCGACTAGTTAACAGGGGCTTTGCTCGTCGACAAAGTCGATGAGTAAAGATCGAGACTAAGGACTTATCCGCAAAGAGCAGATAAGAAGATAGAATATAGACTGCTGGCTAGGCAGAAAGGATCACTCTGGTAAGAGTAGGAGGTCAAGAACCAAGTAGATTCAAGTTAGGGAATATAGTACATGGTAGCGAGTTTATATAGAGGACAGGAGACGTATTAGTGGGTGATAACTCATACTACCAAGAGAGGCAATCGGTAAAGGGCATAACCATAAAAGGAAAGCACGTTCGCATTGAGACACGGGCGAGGCAGAATGTGCTGGATAAGAAAGTGAGTCAAAGGTCAAAACAAGAAGTGAAACGCGCAGGGGCACAATCGTGCAGCTGCGGAGCTATCTATAAGTCGCATGTGCGACTGCGCACTGAGTCAGAGATCAAGAAAGGGAAAAGGGCAAAGGGGATGTGTCGTGCATCATATCATAGGTTACTGTCCAGACGGTAAGGGCAAGGGGACTGTCCACAGGATCAGTCAGGTGGTGGAACGGAGCATGGGTATGCTTTGTCAGTGAAAGGATCCGGCCAGATGTACTGGCTCTGCTGAAGCGACAGGTAGAGGGCGAAAGGGAATGCGAGGATGACAAGGATGACCAGGGTAAGGTTGGGGTAAGGGTATGATGCAAGGGCTGATATGAGGAGGATTAGGAGAAAAATGGTAGGGGCCCAAGCGTCTAGATGTTCTTGTAACATCCATTGCAAGTCCACGTCATACAACGTCGAATTCTAAAACGCTTGGCTGACCTTCATTCTGATAAAGCGAATACCCTTCTGATTTTCACCCCATCTTCACCCCTCAAGCACAAGACTCTGTCCCACTTGATTTGGATCTCACTATACTACTCAAGACTTTATGTCTTGAAACCAGTCCTCCTAATCATTAATTACACAGCAAAATGCTGACCATGTAGATTTAGGTAGAGAAGTGGACAACTCTGAATGCCAGTGGTTCCAGGAGCCGCCTCCAAGGCCAGAGATACATTCTATCATCATCACCAACCAAGTCAGACGCTAATGCCTCATGCAGTCATGCATCAGTCCGTTCTCATTACTCTGTCTTTTGCAAGGTGAATTAATGGTAGGTTTGTGTGATCGGCGGAGAAGACTTCTGCAGAGTAAGCGGTTACTACAATTGCTTGATACGTGTTCTCACTTTGTCTGCATTCTAGTTTCATCATGTCTGATGCACGCATACAACACTCGCTCTCGATGGACATGACTATTCGTGTATAATGTGAGTTCAGACCTTGCGTCCCGTTGATGATTTATTTTTGCGCTGCTGATGTTCATGTCTTGCAGCTAGCTTCCTTACAGGTATACACATACACAATCAAGAACCTCATTGGTAGGTGCAGCTCATTCGGCGCAAGTTGCAATTGACTGATCATCTTGAGACAGTCTCACATCCTTGCCTCCATTCCCAAGTAAGTTCGCTAATTTGTGCACTTCAAAGGTTGTACTGAACTTCAACGCATTAGAGTCTTCCTGTATGTCTGTGTGGATTACAAGTTCACTCAAGCCATCTCTCATGAACAGCAACACCATACCATATATGTTTTTTATATACAGTGCATTTGTTACTGCTAGCTGGTTGCATGAAGCAAACTTTCTGGGAGTGACGATAACAGATGTGTTGAGTGATCTGCCCTGATGCCTGCCATTTCCGCTCAACTGACTGCACTTCTACAGAGCAATGAGATTAAACGGCTACATATCAAATGGTAAGTATTATGGGTGACTGATCAGGCTCATCAGCGAGGTGCTTGACCTCTTTGACACTTAGCAGTTAGTACGCTCAGCACGAGAGGTTCTGGCACTGTGTCTCAGCAGTTCGAGTTGTTTTCAACAATTTCATAAACATCGACTGGGCGATCTTTTGAAGATCTTCGCGGTGTTGGTAAAACTCACTTTATCTTGCGCTTTGAGCTGGGATTTCAGATCTGGAATCCGCTGATGCTCTGAACTTCTGCACTGGTTATGCTTGCAATCACTTCGTGACTAACATTTCTATCTGATCATTTTACACCATCTCCTGCAGGAGACAATGTGTCAGCCTTCCTTCACTCATACAGATGAGTCTCGTCCATTTGGTATGAGTACAACTGCTGTGTATCAATCAGGCACTGCGGCAGTGGTGTATAATACCATATCGAGCAGAATTAAATTTGAATTTTTATGTATAATTGACTTAGCGTCCCAGAAGTGGAAATCTCAATGACAAATATTATAGGTCCAGACCAGTTTGAGGACAAATAGATCTGCAGAAACTGAATTCTTGATATAAATATCTTTGTGTCCAATCAGAAGCGCTGGGCGTAAGCTGACTCAACATCTGAAAACCAAAAATCCACAAACGAGCCTTTGAGGTGCTTTCTGGGAGCCATAAATAGCAACCGTCGGCTCACGCACCATTTTAGTACTTATTGCATCAAAGTAGACTCGGCTCTTTGCAATCATGAAAAAATGTGTTAAAACATATAATCTCATTGTAAATATTTCATTGTAAAATTACAGATAGCAGATATGATCTCGAGATTGTACTATTAGATAAATCTGCGTAATCTAAAGCCCAATATCTGCCTCTCCATGCCTGATGATCAATTTACACAAAGATTCGTACCTCTCCCTCAACACATCATCAAGCCTTATCCTGTTGATCAACACTATAATCGAACTGTAAGTGTCGTAGAATTGTTCAGCAGATGCATCGACTTTTTCGTATGTGCCCTCATGATATGCCTTGAGGGCATTGTGAACTGCGGCTCCTGCAAGGCCGAACACGCAGTCGAGTCTCTCAGTGTCGATGTCGACATAGAGCCCTTCTTGCCACACAACGTCGACAATCATGTCGATAAGGTAGTCGGCCTCCAGAAAATGCGTGACTTCGATTCTGTCAACCTGTTGGTGCGATTATTAGTTGCACAAATATTGTAGAATGAGATACCTACCATTTCAACTTTGTGCAGGAAGTTCAGTCCGGAGAGATAGCCTTGTACTACATTAGCCCTTTCTGCAGGCGGGAGGCGCAGATTGAGGGCGTTGAGAATATTGTGGGAGGCATATGTTTTGAAGAGTCTCCGAGTATGTGACATTGACGTCACCATTTCTTCATGTGCCTTTGGTGTCTTGAATTTTTCGTACGGAACTACAAAAAAAAAATTATTGATGCGCATTGGTACAATTGTGACTTACCATCGCTGATCAAATCAATCCTTGCGTCCCGCAAGGCATTCGAAATGTGCGCATTTCATTGTTTGCGCGTTGCTGAAACACCCTCCATTTGCAGCATTGTGCAATGGAGGTTCATCCTTGCCCTAGTCTTGATTGTCTTGATTTCCTTTTTTTTGAGCTTGACTAGGGCTGTGACGGCTGGGGGAGTGGCTGGGGGAGCGGCTGGGGGAGTGGCTGCAGGAGTGATGGCAGAGGCCGGTATCGTTAGTTGTGCTGGTCCAGGAGCTGGGGTAGGAGGGAGATGGCGGCCGATGGCGCGTTGACGACCGACCGGACGCTCCATCTCCAGCATCTTGGAGTAATTAGTATTGAATAAATATTAACAACAAAGAAAGAAAACACGTACATGTATCACTCCATGGGTAAATTCACCTCGCTCTCCTTCTTGCTCGCGGGCCAACACCACACCAACGACTGCTGGCCCTGATGTTGGCGCTGGCACCGGCAGTGGCATTGGCGCCAGTACTAGTGCTGGTGCTGGTGTATGTGGTGCAGCGGTGGTTCCAAGATCCCACTGCATATAGCGTGGGACGCCAGAGCCTCTGAATGGAAAGAATTCGTTGTATTGAAGGTCTTGAAAGAAGTCCGGCGGGTCCTGCTGCTCATCTGGGGAAGACATCAGGTGGAGGCTGCTGTGGGTAGAAGTCGTGCTGCTGATGCTGTTGAGGCTCGTGAAAGAAGTCTGGTGGGTTTTGCTGCTCATCGGGCAATACATCAGGTTGAGGCTGCTGTGGGTAGAAGTTGTCTTGCTGATGCTGTTGGGGCTGCAGGGGGTAATTGATGGGCTGTGGGGGGTAATTGATGGGCTGCAGAGGGTGATTGGGCTGCAGAGGGTGATTGAGCTGCGGAGGGTGATTGATGGACTGGTAAAGGTCGGGCTGATGATGCCCTGGAGGCTGGGGGGGGGTAATCATTGGGCTGGGGGGGTTGTGGTTGTGTTGCTGAGGGTATTGGAAGTGACTGTGGCCTGCATGTGCAGCCATCAATGCAGACGACGTGCTGCGGAG